CTATTTTTTACTCTCTCCTTTTTTTTAAACTAAGAACATAGAAACTGAACAACGCAATCGTCATCGCCGTTACCGGAAACTGGCGCTTTCCATCGAGTGGCCGCAGCTCCGACTAAATATCGATCCGCGCCTTGAATGTTGCTTCGCACGAGCAACACGTGCACCAGGCAGCGAACCAACTAACCAACCAGGTCAACATCGAGTACGAAGCATCGCTTTGGCACTCGCACACGCGTATCTCCTCTCTCTCTCTCTCTCTCTTTCTGTTTGCTCCAAATAAATAATACATGCGTCTCCGCCGGAAATGCGCTCGTACGCGGTCACGTCGGCTTCGATGTCTTCCGTTGCAGTCAGGTGAACATCGATGACTTCCTTCGGGGAAGGACTGAAAAAGGTGCAGTAGAGTAGAGATTGGATTAATACACAAAACAACTATAATCTTCCGTACTGTCACATTTATCGAATTTATAACATCAAACTTTTTTTTACAAGATATTTTGATTCACGGAAATAATTTAAGACCTTAATTGTATTGATTTTCTATCATGATTGATGGATCCATGAATAAATAATAATTGAAAAGCGATAATTTAGGAAGATTTGCACATGAAATTTAAATTTGCACTTTTTCTAAAGACTTCCCGTTTTCTTCGTTATTTCAATACTATTATCTGATGCATCAAAAAGTTATTTGCAGAGTTTGTGAATTATTTTATTTATTAATTTTGTATTATGACGGATTACCAATAAATAACAATTAAAAAATGACGATTTAATCAGATTTGTATAAATAAAATCTAATTTTGTACTTCTCCTTTTCTTCGTTACTTCAGCTATTATCTGATGCATCAAAGTTATTTATAGAATTTGCGAACTATTTTATTGAATATCATTTATAAAATCGCTTGACCTATTTTATGTAAACTACTTTGAATGGCCTGTATATTTATAACACATCAAAATTCTTCTCGACGGTATTAAAAAAGTTAAAATTCCATTGTAGTTCTATTTATCCGTCTTTCTCGTAACGGATGAAAAAGGGAATGTTCAATTAAAGACACGAGGGTGAAACCATTCCGAGTAATCAAGATAAGTGCATCCTATGCACCGCTACAGATATGTAAATCGTATACGAGCGTTTAAAGCGTTTGTCGTCTGATTACAGTCCACGACATGCTTTTCGCAAACGCAGTAGTATAGCCAGACATTTTGAAGCCTAGGACAAAATTATCGTGTTAAAGAGAAATCATATGTACACAGAGAGAATTTTTTTTTAGAATTTACCCTCAAAATTATAGTAATCATAGACAATATGGTATTGGAAGAATTTTAGAAGAATTTCTCTGATTAATATTTACCACAATAAAAATAGTAATATCTATCATAATAAAATATGAAATATGTTCGACGCGAATTTTACTATATACCTAGTAAAATTTACTATGTACATACTAAAATTTACACATATTAATATTTTTTATTGCGATAAATATTAATCAGGGAAATTCTTATAAAATTCTTCCAATACCATATTGTCCATAATTACCATGATTTTCAGGGTAAATTCTAAGAGAAAATTCTCCCCGTGTATAAATCTTTCAAGATGTAGGATGTGCTAAATCTTTTAAAAACTTGCATAAATTTGTCTTTAAACCATTATTGCTATAATAAGAAAGTATATTCTTTATTCAGGAGAAAACGTGTCACGTGTCACATTTTCGAATGCATTTATTATGCGGCTGACTATTCGCGGACCGTAACTACTCGCAGCCAGAAACTTAGTAGTGTTATACTACTGCAGTTTCTCTTCCAAGAGTCAATAAGACGTTTAAATAATATAAAACAATGATAGCTAAGATTACATCCTGTACAAATTATATAATACATATAATTTAAACTGTATATACTACATGGAGAGAATTTTCTCTTAAAATTTACCCTGAAAATCATTGTAATTGAAGAATAATATGGTATTGGAAGAATTTTATAAGAGCTTTTCTGGTTAATATTTACCACACTAAAATATTAATATCTACCACAATAAGATATAAAATATAATTAATATGTTTGATTAATTTTTAATTTTTTTATAATTGTTATATAGATTGCATATAATTATTACTAGTGTCAAGATTTAATCTAAAATATTCAACAATATTAAATTCCAAATTCCTACAGATACTTTAAAATTTATGGAATTTATTTAATAATTGCATTGATTAAAATACGAAATATTTATTTCAACATTATGTACATACTAAAAATGTACTATGTACATATTAATATTGTTTATATGTCATGTTAATTATAGAACCGTAAAATTCTCCCAATTATATTGTCTCGCGATTGGCATGATTTTAATTTTAAATTCCAAGAGAAAATTCCCCGTATATACCATATATTGTATTATATATTGACATATTAGATAAGAAAAATCGATCGGGAGAAACTTGTGACGGTAAGTCCGGTAAGTTGAAAAGATTTAGGTTGATAAGTGTAAAATTAATCACAGGACCGTGAAATTCTCCCAATTATATTGTCTCGCGATTGGCATGATTTTGATTTTAAATTCCAAGAGAAAATTCCTCGTGTATACCATATTATATATTGACATATTAGATAAGAAAAATCGATCGGGAGAAACTTGTGACGGTAAGTCCGGTAAGTTGAAGAGATTTAGGTTGATAAGTGTAAAAATAACACGAATAGCGATGCTATTGGCATGTCCCTATCGTGATCTGTCGGTCCAACGAGCATTCGTTTCCGTTGGCGCGACGTGTGCGCGCGTTTACGAGCATCCCTATCATCGGGAGATTCCCGGACGCGATGGCAAACGGGGCGCGCTTAGTTAGATAAGTTAACCCCGTGGACGGATCTCATTGTTCGCGCTTTCCAGTCCGACAGCAACGACATCGATCCGCATCCACTTGCTGGCATGTCGTGTCCCTCTGGAACGCGATGCGTGACGTGAAGACGCGCGGAATGTGCATGCGCCTTTTACGCGATGCATCGCGTTAATGCACCCGGAGGCACTCGAGAGGCCGCTTTTTTTTTGACGACAGTCGAGTATGCAGGATGATTTATGCCGGGATAAAACGCGAGCTAAAAGTGGAATCTGAACATTCGCGGAAAGAAACTCGAGTATTACGAGTTCTTCCTGAACTCGATTCGGTAAAGAATGTGTATATGTTTTATTTCTTCCTTTTTATTCTGTCTTTTTTCAGTAATTTATTTAAATCAAGAGCAAATACATCAATCAAAAGTTTGCTTGTTAACCTCGTGCAAATAATTGGATATCGAGCATAAAATGAGTTTTTAAATCAAATTAGGTATTAAAACTATGTGATATTAATTTCAATTTCTTTCTTTTGCTGAAAGTCCACAGATTTATTCTCCAGTCTATAAACAAAATAAATTCTTCATTTTTCATCTTTTCGTTGTCAGAATTTTTAAAATAGAGCTGCTAAATTATCTTGATGCAGAGAGCACATACATCAAAGATATTTATGCCAATAGAGAGAAAAAGCTGCTCCGAAAACCCTCAATCTCGAGGGAACGATTAACTAATTAGCGTTCTGAATGGAAAATAATCAGAGGATCGCGTGCTGGCTTTAAAATTATCTCGCGGACCATCGCCTAAATTCACAGATATTCCGTCGACGAGCGACGTTATCTGAACGCTGAAACGATTCATTAATAATTACGCGGTGACCCACTGCCGTTTTTGGAGACTGCGCTGTTTTAGAGCGTTGCTTAAACGATGTAACCAATAAATCGCTATATGTCTAACTGATCCACTGTGCACGTGACTACACTGACCAAAATATTTCTGAGAAATTGCATGATTATGCAAGGTTCTTTTCGACCCTGTATAATCATGCAATATTGCAACCCATATAAAAGATTACAAATTATATACATATAATTTCATATGAAATATATATATTCTACTAAACATGGAATTACACATTAAAAATACTATAAAATGTTATAAATAAAACGGCTAAATGCTTATAAAATTAAGTTCTAATAAAGTAAAAATACTAGATTGAAACACAAGTGATTTTACATAAAAATAGTAATTTTATCTATATTTTACATTGATATGTATTTTTATTTTAAAAAATTACAGTGATAATTAAGTAATTTTTCCAGTTTTGAACAAGTAATTTCCATGTAAAAGTACCTACATGTAAAAGTATTTTATTTAAATATTCTATATATAGAGTGAAACAGAGCTAAATTACAAAATAGTTAAACATTTTATATATTTTATATAAACTGTGAATTTTTTTCTTAGCAAAGTTGAGATCTAATTACAGAGTTCCTGAAGATTAGAGATAAGGACTTCTGGCGAATAAAAAGCTTTACGGGAAATATATGTTATTATTTTAAAAGTAGATTTTAAAATAAAAAAGCAGATGTATAAGATGTCTAACAGTTTGCTGAATAAAACGAGCATTTCTCTTAAATTGGAAAATATGATCATCCTGGGGGCAATTGTACGGATAACATGATCGGAAATTTTCGATGTAAAAGTACGTATTATTTTATTTTATTTTTTCAAAAATATTTTAATAAATATGTTTCAGAAAAATATATCCCTAAACAGACATTATTTTTATTTAATATAAACTTAAGTTATTTTTATCAGGAATATCTGTTTTGCAAAACAATATTAATTAAGTATTCAATGTTGAAAAAATTACACAAATTCATTAGCTTTGTTATATTCATTCGATAGGTCTATCAGCTTATAATTCTCTATCTTCTAAATTTTTTTATCCAAAAATCTATTTTAAAAAATTATCTTCAAACATCTCTTAACATTATCTAATATCAATTAGAACAATATCTCATGGTAAAAAAAAATTACTTTAAATTTCCTTCCGTTTCGATTAAGAGAGAATCTAGGTTTGAAAGAAAATCCAGATTCTCTCTCAAGTTAGGTAATAAAAACTTATTCGTATTCATAACGTGTTCACACGTATGTGTTTCAGACGTTCTGCGTGGTGTCCAAGAGGTTTCGCAAGAACTACATCCATAGATTTACGGCAACGAATAGTTGGTTCATCTTCTCACCGTGGAATTGTGTGCGACGATTCTGCATCTTCCTGAGTACGAATCAGTACTTTGATTACGTGGTCATGACTACTATACTTCTTAACTGCGTCTTCCTGGCCATGACCGAAACCATCGAGGAAGCAGAGTGAGTACAAACTCTCATGATTATGCAATAGCAGGGATTTTAGTTAGTTAGCAGCTAACTATCACTGAATAAATCTGTGTTTGTTACTTGTTTGCGATTTCAATATAAAATTATATTACTTTATTAGATATACATAGTTCTCTGAAAATAAAAACGCGTATTTTTCTTCAGCAGAAATTTGATCAAAGTTCATTTTTTAATTTAATATTTAGTAAAATATTTTATATATGTATATTATAGGATATCATTATTGACATATCTAATAAATAATAATATTTTTTACTATTTTTTAAATATCTCGAGAATCATTGCGTCTATATTAATTTATTTGTATAATAAATTAAAACAAGTACTTGTCCAATAAAAAGAGTATAACATTGATAACAAATCAGAACATTATCTATACATTATCGTTGCGCGTGTCGTTTTCAACTAATTATATAAGTTATCGAGTCGGAGTTAATTCAGGCTTTTAGCTGTTAATCGAAATCTGTGCATTCGAGGAGTTAACGACGAGGATTGACGAGGATTCGCTTTAAACTTACATAACTGGCGGTTCATTTCATATGTGTTCACTTGGCATGTAATCCTCTTAAGCTAAGTATTCTCCAGCGAATGACTCGCGACAGTCCTCGTCGTCGACTGCGGATAGCAATTCGTTTAACGTGCTTCCGCCGAAATATGTCCCGCGGTAATTTTCCGCAACTGCGGTCTAAACCGCGAAGGCGTGTCAGATTAACAGGCTTTTATAGGACTGTGAATAAGTGGGTCTCTTCAAACTTCCCTTGGGAAGTTAATTGGCCTAACTCGATTAAAGAGGCCAAGTTTCGATATATACATGTATTTACAATCTATCGGGAAATATTTATTTTCGTGTTAATTTTTTTATTTCTCTCGAACAAAAGAAGAAGGAATTAAATTTAAAATTTATTTTGATGCATTTATAGATGTATCTTAAAATCCAAAAATTTAATAATGAAATCTTATAAATTATAGAGGTAAAGTTTCAATTTACAATCTGTCGCAAAATATTAATTTTCTTGTTAATTTCCTTATTCCAAAAAGGGAAAAGAAAATTAAATTTAAAATTTATTTCGATGCATTTAGAAATCATTTATAATCTGTCAGAAAATATTAATTTTCCTATTAATTTTCTTTTCTCTACGAAAAAAGAGGAGAATCATTTTTAAAATTTATTTCAATGCATCTAGATAAATCTAGAAATTAAGCTTTATAAATTACAAAAATAAAATAATTTCGATCAAAGTATATTGCCAACAATCAAAGGTATCGAAGAGCATCGATATTTCGCTGATATATTGCGGCGTATTATTTTAATATCGATAACTCACATATGCACTCGATGAGCTTGCATGAGAAATGTTCATTAAAATCGTTCGAGTCGCGAGGAGAAGAGCATTTCATCTCGCATTGTACGGAAGCGAAAATAAAGGCGGACCGCATCGCGGTTATTCCACGCTCTCGAAGCAGAATGCAGGGGATGCGGGATGCACGGCGGTGCAGTAGTGCATCTGCGGAGATATGGAATGCCGCAGGGCGCAACGCCCGAGATACGCGGATGGAGATTTAAAGATTTGCTCTCTCTTTCTCTTCTCCTGCTGCTTTCCTCTTATTTCAAATTGAACCGAAATTCTCCGCCAGCGGAGAAAAAAATTCTCGTTTAATCAGAGTCAATTGGAATTAAACTAATTAATTAAATTTTTTTTTTTTTTTTTTTTTTTTTTTTTTTTTTTTTTTTTTTTTTTTTTTTTTGAAACGTAAGTAGAATTTTTCTTCATGACAGCTTGCGTCCAATGTTTTAACAATCAGCAACAGCGTGAATGTGATCTAATGATTCATAGATTTTTCACAAAATTACTGCTCCATTTATAAACATGATGTTTTTGCATTAGTGAGAAAGCTAAATTGATTGCCAGCAGTCTGTATTTGTAACACACTTGACATGATTGATGCAGGTGTAGTTAGACAAGACAAGATGATTGATATAAGTCCAGCCACGTAATTTCAATTTATTAATCAGTTGTATAAAAACATTGTTTTGTGTGTGTCTGTTAAAATTAGCAGAGATTGCTTATTTATTTATAATTATATAATTTTTTCGTTAGCATCGCCAAATTTATCGCTCGAAATATCGGGATAAAAAATGTATAGATTTATTATATTTATAATTATTTGTATATCGAAATACAGCAGCTTTAAATACATATCGAAAATAAATAATATAGAAATGAAATAACGTTTTCGAGATTAATAAAACTCTGAAGAAAGATGACTTTTATAGAATAAATTTCCGAAAATTAATTATAAACAAACTCGCTTGCGATTTCCATAAATTATTTTCCACAAATTTATTCTATAAAAGTTGTCTCTCTTTGGATGATTTTGATTACAAATATAACATTTTAACTTCTCGGATAAACAGGATCAGAGCGTCCATAACGAACGAGAGTGCATCACCTTGATCCGAGGTTGGAAGTAATTCACGCGATGTGTTTCTCTCATGTTTCAGATATATCTTCCTAGCCATATACACGGGGGAAATGGTGGTCAAATCAATAGCAAAGGGATTTATACTGAACAAGTACACTTATCTACGGAATCCGTGGAATTGGTTGGACTTCGTGGTGATTACCAGCGGATACGCGACTATCGGGATGGAAGTCGGGAATCTGGCCGGTCTCAGAACGTTTAGGGTGTTGAGAGCACTTAAGACTGTATCCATTATGCCAGGTAATCTAATTGCGAGGGTTGCAATTTTTTGCGATTTACGTCCGACTCGTACGTTCAGCTTTAATCGGGAAAAGTCGAGCGTGAAAGAGATCTTTATTCATCAATTCCGTTCTTTCGCGAAAAAAACATGTTCAGAAAATTAATCTCTCTTGATTGACGTACCATTTATACATTTATAATTAGTTTACAGAATTAAGCATGAAAATATAATAGAGACAATCGGCTTTTCTTTCTGCGATAAAATGCGCATCGAATATCTCGCGTGTCTTTCCTGTTACATGTCACGATTACACAGGTGACATATATTGTAATATTAGACATTATTGCGCTACGTTAAATGCGCATGCGGTTGTGTATCAACAGACGCATATTAATCAGCTGCAAAATAAACCAGTTTCATATTAATTCGAGCTTTAAATCAAGCCCGCATTCACGTATATACGTTTTCGCTGAAACGAGCATAAATGATAGCTCTAAATAACGAAAAACCATTCAATTTTGTGCTATTTATATTTATATATAATATATATATATGACGATTTATCGTGTTAATTCATTCGCGTGACAGTAGAACTAAATGATAGCAGCAACTGAATTCATGCACGTAATATTTGCGACGCTGCTTATTTGCTAGACATTTATATTTTTCTTTGAACGTTATTATACTAATATTATCTTGGTAAAATTGTATCGTACAAAACCTGCGATCCCCCTTTCTCTTCTCTTCCCCCATAAATTATAATATTCGACAATAGAAAATTTCCGATTTATTTCGCGTACGTTTCTTTTGTCATCGCGTGTGATTGCTCATTAATATTTGCATGAAAATGTTTACATCGATTACATTGGGGACAGCGAATCGCGCGTGTTTGTGTTTATCGCTCAATTATTTATTCCCTCTAATATTCCAGGATATGCATTTTAATCTTGCTGCACCATGCGTGCGGAAGCACATTATAAATTTACAATGGTATTACATTAAAAGGAATCGCGAAGCGCGTCATAAGCTCGTAAGCTTTCACGCTCGTCTCGTTTGCGGCGACCAATGTGGACTTACAATCACCTCCGATCGATATCGCATAATCGATTGCATAATCCAGGATCGAGTAATAAGCTACGGCAGGATATATTTTGACGTTCAGAGAGAAGATGAAAAATGTTCCTCGACCGACAGCTTATGCGTGCGAAACGAGAATAAGGTGTGTGCATGTATGTGGACATTTTAAATGGCTCGATTTTTATCTTTGATTTACTGACCAGACGAACTTGGAATTTACGATGTTCAGGGAGAGAGAGTTCATTTTTTATCTCTACCTCCCTTTTGCGATATTTTCGCCGAATCGAAGAATACTTTGAAGTTAATCGACTCGAAATTCAGCGCAAAACTTTAGCGTTGAAATAACAAGGAGGTGTGATAAAAAGCCTGGAAAAATACTGCAAAACAAACTTGGCAAATTAAAGAGATGAAACGGTATAACGAGAAGCCACGAACTGCAGAAGTGAGTCTGTCGCTGACCACTGGACCGGAAATACAAAGCAGTTGAAATGGCGGCACGTTTGTGGAAGAGGATTTAAGTTTCCGCAGGACGACACATTCAACATCGGTTTACGGAGAGAACGACGAACTTTAACCAACTGACAAACATGGATGTGTCGTCTTTCTCGGTTCTGGGGACAACCGCGGATTATTCTAGATCTTGCCATCGAGGCCGGATCATTCTGCGTCTGTCAATATGTTCGTACATTTTCAGGTGATTTATCATGACGGTTCGTTTTATATCGATTTCGAAGCGCAAACCTGTCGCAGGAGTCACGATATATATAGGATATCCGATTGGCATCGAGCAGATTGACGAAACGAAAGGGATTTTTTTTTTCCTGTCATGGATATCGGTTTTTACTAACTATTCATCGCACGATTTATTGATTTGACTGCGGAAAGCTTTTTCCTTCCCGTGATATTTGAAAATATTAGAGCTCCGAAACTAAAAAGCGGATAAACATTCTTCCCGAATATATTTAATTTCGCGCTGAAAAAAATGTCCATCTTACTGATTAAGTATATATATTTCGTTGCTGATGTGCAACATCAGAATTTACGATGAAAGTGATTTGTCGTTATGCGCAAATTGAGATTTATAGACTATACGTATACGCATTTTGAGTATGTCCGCATTATTACGAATTTGTATTTTTCACATAAATTTTTTACTCATGTTTTAAACTTTTTCCTTTATACGAACCGCACTCTTTTTTAGATTTGAAAATATAGCTTATTGCGTGCAGATGCGTTGTATTAATACAAATTGCGAAAGAATTTTTAATGAAAAAAATCTTTTCTCCTAAATTCCGCGGATCTTCATTCGGGTTTAGCGAAGTGTGTCGACGATAAAAAATAAGTCTGCAAACTCTGCTTCGTGCAAGATGCAAACTGACGGCGTTTTCGGGAACAATAGAGGCCGCTGGGTAATACATTCGTACTCGCCCAAGGGAAAAAGCCTCTTAAAGGCCGATGAATGAATGGCCCGCTAACGATACATTGAAGTGAAATCGATATGAATGCTGCATTTCAGACAGCGATAGGTCAATAGGAGAATTTTTCAAGTAAAATTGCTGACCGCACGATCCTCAGTTGCATCAGTCATGATTTATTTTCGACAGGTTGATATTAATAGCTCCGCTTGTTTCCTTTGCAATTAAGTATTAATCACGATTTATCCAGCTTGAATTTTTAATAAATTTAAAAATAATAGAAAAGGATTTGGAGTTTGTTAAATAAAATATGACGTTTTTGTAATTAAACAAAGAATTATAATTTGTGTTATTGCTTGTTACAGGTTTAAAGACTATCATCAACGCACTGTTGCACAGCTTCAAGCAACTTGCCGAAGTAATGACACTGACGATTTTCTGCCTGATGGTTTTTGCACTGTTCGCCTTGCAAGTTTATATGGGGGAACTTAGGAATAAATGCGTGAGGCACCAAGAGCCGAACGCCACGCAAATCGATTGGATCGAGTAAGTTTTTTTTCATACGTATAAAAATAAATGTACGTATAAAAATATCTAGTTATTTACAAATTTATTTTAATCTAAAAATATATATAACATTCTCTCTCTGCGTCAGTCAATGATGCAATAATTATATTTCGTTAACAATGAAACTAATTTTTGATAGAAATATGTTAAGAAAAAAATATTTATATACACTTTTATTTCACACACGTTTATATTGCTTATCTCGCTTTATGAAGGAGTTGATTTAATTTTCGTTTGTATCGTATCGGACAACGATTGAATTGGAGAAAATTGATTTGATAAATCGATCGCCGCAAAAACACATAGATACGCGAAAAATAGACCATGTAGAAGGTGTGTTAGTTCTCTCGCTTTAAATCTCCGGAGATCGCTAGAGCTTGCAAGAACGCTAACGGAATTTTCGTGTCGCCAACAGGTGGACTTGGAACTCATCCAATTGGGCGTTCAACGAGGCTGAGGAGCCAATCATCTGCGGCAATGTAACCGGCGCCAGGTTGGTGTTTTTGTATTTATACGTTCAATCCTACTTCAGATAAGCTAATTCTCGAGACACGAGAGCCGGTTACCCACATCAGTATCTCTAGACAAGTGCTCTAGTCGAGCTCACCCTCGCGAGAAGGATCTCCTGAGCGAGAAAAATTGAGTACTCGCGTGATACTTTCTTGAGTTGATGTGTCTATCCTGCCGAGAAACTTGCCAAACTTTTCAATGTCACGTCCGGGGTCTTCGATACTCGAGAAATCTATGGTTCTTTTACCAAATTTTTTTCCACGCTACGTAAAAATTTATTTTTAAATGCAATAAAATATCTGTGAAGAGAGCTGACTTTAATTTAAACTTTCAGAATTTTAAGAATGCTGTTTAGAAAGAAAATTAACATATGGAAAGTAGAATGAAAGCTTATAGTAAAAATTAGTACGCTTTATAAAATTTTGATGTTAAAACTTTGCAACAGAAAATTACAATTTCTCCTCAACATCAATAACGTTTTTATAACAAAATTTGATCGTTCTATTTATAAATATTGTAGCAAAAACGTAATATGTTCGCTTTCGCGTTACGCCGAGACATAAATCATCTATCAAGTGTCGACAATTACACAGGATCGTCAACAAATTGTTACGGATAATTGCCAACGATTCGTGTTATTAATCACTCGTCACAATCGCACGGATATATATATTTCCATCGCGGTATCCGGTTATACTTGATTACCCTCGCGGTATCGAGAAGCTCGCTCTAGTTTATCTCGTGCACTTTTGTTGACGAAGCGTACGAAGCGCTCATCCATATTTATCGATTTTACGGCAGCATCCATTCCGCAAATGATTACGTGCCGGGCCGCACGTACGCGCGACGGAATTCGTTCGACTCGTATAAATAAGTTTGCAAAAGCTTTACTACTTTACGTGGCGCGCGAGCTTTACGGCGTACTTTTGGCGCCCTGTGTTTTTCCGCGGGAGAGAGAGAAAGTAGGCTTTTTATTCGATCGATATACGTCCTCGAAACTGACGGTTTCTTTGCACCTTCGAGACATTCCCGTAAGAATTTCTCTCGGTCGAGCAAAGCGTTTGGTGACTTATTACACCTTCGCCAGTCTCGTTTCGCAAATATTAACAGATTTTGAAAAAAAAATTATAATTTTTTCTTTATAGTAAAAAGCAACCGTTTATTTATGTTTCATGTTTCTTAAAAAAAGTTGCTTGTTGTTGCTCCAGGACACAGCTTGATGCATTTGGAGATATCTACTTACAATATTTAAATTTAGCAACATAATAAATAAAATAATATCGTGAAAATATTTTTGTTCGACTGAGAAGTAATGCAGAGTAACAGAATTTTAATTTGTAGAATAAAAGTCTCGATTATTTTTATTTAACGAGTGCAGAGGTAGTCGATATAATCTTGCTGTAAGACTATACATATAACGTGGAAAAGCTCTACGTAGTAGAGACCGCGCCGCAAGTAATATTTCCGCACTTGATAATGATAGTGCAGACAGAACTTGAAACGGTTCTCACGGTTTTCACGGCTATCACGGATATTGCGGTGTCGGCGATGTAGGTCTTACCTATTTTCCAGGCATTGTAACGAGAGCTACACTTGTCTCTGCGTTGGCCCTAATCCAAACCACGGTTACACCAACTTCGATAATTTCCTGTGGTCAATGCTCACCACCTTTCAGCTGATTACGTTGGATTACTGGGAGGACGTCTATAACAAGGTCACCATCCGACAGATTTCTCAAGCTTATATATGTAGATACAGACTGTCGTAAAGTTCGATTTTCTCACTCCATTCTTCACCTACATATTGAAAGTTAAAAAGCAATTGTTTTATCATATTTCTTTCTTTTTTTTAAATTGGCAATTATATTTAGAAAATTAAAAGAGGAGTGAATGTTTTTATAAAATCAACTTTCGTTAAATTTGTGAAAATGTGAAAACAGAATTGCAATTTGGATCATTTAAATGGATTCTCCGGAAAGAATATCAATAACCATTATATTTGTTACATTTTATATGACACTATAAATGCGTTGTTGGGATGATGATGATGAATAACGTGTTTTGTGGCACAGGTGTTGTCGGCGTGCGGACCTATTAGCGTCACGTTCTTCACGGTGGTTGTATTCTTTGGCTCATTTTATCTACTAAACTTAATGCTGGCCGTCGTGGCGTTGAGTTATGAAGAGGAAGCCGAGATTACAAACGAGGTGTGCACTCTACTTCAAATCTTGATGAATGTACACATCTTACATTAAAGCCATTAGTTAAATGATTACGTGTTACTTGAAGAAATATACAAAAATGTCAGATTTCCACGACAAGGATAATAAATAATTTAAATAATTATAAAATATTAAGAATAATTGTAAAATAAATATAGAAAATTGCCAGTATCTAATTTGATGATATTATTTTATATTTTTGCAACTTTATCGATTTTTTTTCTTCGCACAACGATAGGAACGAAGGAAGGACTTGACGGATCATCGGGAGGACTCGACGTTTAGTTTCGATCCGTCGAAGATCAACATCAAGACACTAACGAAAGATAAACAAAAGAGGATAGACGCCCGTAAAGGAGTGTTGCTCAGCAGTTACACAAGAAAGAAGACACGTAGAAGAAAACGTGGGAGGAGCAGCGCTGGTCAGGAGAAAAACGGTGGTGCTCGCAGCAGGTTTCTATATCTATATTTACGATCGGACTCTCTTTTCTGTAGCTTGATTTGTCACGTCCATTGTGCAAAACATTCGCAGCGAGTTATAAGAATAAAGTACTGTTTTTCATCGCGTATAACCGAGAAAACGCTTTGGATAATATGACTAGATAAATTGAGTGCTTATTTATGCTTCAAATTACAGTTTTTATATACTTTTCTTTCTTTCTAAGAAGAAAACGTGACGCTTATATTATACTAATTATACAAAGTAAATGCCATTTTAATGCTATTTAAAAGTTTTGGAGAAGTATAATTTTTTATTTCTAAAGACTTATATAAATGAGAAAGTTAAAAAATATGGATTTTTAGAAGATTTTATATAAAACTTTACCATCTTTTTATTTAAAAGGAAAAATGAAATTTTTTAAATAATAATGAAAATATTTGAATAAAATTTCTTAACATGCACGTACATAGGTAAGAGTGTAAAATGGGAAATAAAAAGTTATAGCAGATGCAACGAAACTGATCCTAATTCTGTCAGCATCTCCGGGCTGAAAGTATTGGGTGCTTTTATGTGTTTATCCCATACATAGAAAAGTAATTTCTATCCCCGGTACATGTAGCTCGCTACGAAGTCGTTAAACTCCAGGGAGTTTGTTCCAAAAAGATAGAAAGAATGGAACATCATAAACGCCCTCATTTTCAAGGAACTGTAATAAAAGCGAGGAAAGAAAACGAGCTTGCCTTGTAATCTTACGACGGTAGGTCGTATCATAGATTACGCATTCTTCGACAAACTTTATTATTTATGCACAATGTATATTATCACTCTTTATCTACCAATTTTTTATCAAGTTGCAATCTTCTTTTTTTGGCTTAATACATTGATTTTATAATTTTATATCAAATGTTATTCTTCTAATTATTTAATTTCAATTACAATTTTAATAAATGTAAATTATCTTGGAAAACGAATTATAAAGTGCAAAGCTTTATAATTTATTTGTGTCTGTGAATATTAATTCACCGATATCTTTTTGTTTCAATTGTTTGTTTGAATTGAATTGTTGATTTAAATTATTCGTGTTTTGATATTTTCATTAATGTAAATTAGATTCCGAATTGATTGAGAAAACTAGATGTGAAAAGAGTAGCTAATAGCAATAAGCGTATTTCGACATGCTTTTAATCTCGATATATAAATTCAGTTTTCTATAATAATTTTATATCCTAAAGGAAAATTGATATTACAAGAGAATTGAGATAATGCAAAGTATTTATTATTAAATGTATATGAGAAATTATTTAAGATTTCAATAATGTAAGATTGTGAATAATGCAATCTTTTTCAACTTACTCTAATATCTTATCTTGATCTAATAATATAAAATTTATCTTCAAATTCTTTTCTTCATTCTTTATCACACATCTCATAATCTTTTTAATATATCATCAATAATTAATAGCAATCAATTTTGTACTTTCCTCGAACAGACTGTATATTATACAGCTTCGATAATGTCTTGAACGAGATGAAATGACCCGACTTAGTGACGCATATAGACAGTGCCTGATATTCCCCATGGTTAATGTCGCTCATTACTAGAAGCATCGATTTCGCTGCTTGAACTTGGCTATATCTCCACGCAATTCCGAAACTAATTAGTTTAATGGTCCGAATAATTGTTCATTTGTGCAGCAAGATAGCGACTAGCGCAAGCTAGCCCTTTACACATTTGAATCTTGCACATTGTTTCTTTCTGTAAATACAAAAACTTTTAATGAAGTATCGAAATAATTTCGTTGGAATAAAATATCGCACGTACGACCATGCATAGCGAGCTGATCATGTGCATTTCCAATTTCCATTCTTTCGTCTAGACTTTGCTCTATGAGGTTGCTCTCGTTCCTTCTCCCTCGACGACGAACTGCTAAAATCGCCCTGAAGTATGACGGGAATTGCATTGCAGGTCCGTGACACCCAGTCCGAGTCCGAGTCCCAGGCACTCCAATGTACGACCCTCTCACTTGCCGCTCCAGAACGTCAGTCCCAGACCGCCGGAACCCAACACGGTTCATCGGCTGGCGCCGAACCGGGGCATGCTGCACTCCAGACAGGCCAGCAACAACAGCAATCAACAGTCGTCGCTGGACGACTCGGGGGTGGTGGACGACCACGAGGGCGACGACGTCACGTCCGCCGAGGAGCAGCACGACAGACGCGAGTCGCGGGAGCATCGGACCGAGAGGACCCAAGAGAAGTCCCCGAGGGAACACGGCAGGTCTCAACAGGCCCAGGTGCAACCGCGTCCAGACTGTCCCCCGGCACCGGTCACCGTGTCGGTGAGGACCGGCAACCGAGAGATTCGGGTGCTCAAGTGCAATGGGGTCAAAACCAAGAAACATATGTACACGCTGCCGCCAGAGTACCTGTCGCACATTGTAGTTTTAGGTGAGCGAAAACTGACCGTTTAGAAACGGTATTTTTGTTGAAAATACCGTTTTTTTTTTTTTTTTTTTTTTTTTTTTTTTCAATTTGTTGAAGATTTAAAAGTAGTAACGTATAATATTTATTGTTGGACGATATATGTATTTATTGAAACAACACTCGCTGTAAAGTGTATTAGTAAATTTTTCTGGCTAATTTAACGTGAAAATGTTTTTACTCAACTACTATATACTCGTTTAAAATTGCGTTGAAACTTGCTTTGTTAGAATTGCACAATTTTTGGTTTAATTAATTAAAATATTGAATATCTAAGCTGCAATAGTAAGTATTGGCCGCACGTACTGCATTTATTTATTGAAACAATATTGGCTATAAATATTGACCATATAACTGAATTAATAAAATTTTCATATTGCATATTCCACGAAAGAAAAGAGGGATAAAAAGAAAATTATAGTTTTAGCTATTGTAATATTTTTTAATTAAATTTGGAATATCGGGATTTTTTTTTAATTTACATTGCAGTTGATCTAACATAGATATATGTGCAATATGTGTGTTTACAGATGATCTTCCAGATAGAAACTGCGATAAATGTATTCAATGCTGCGTAGATTACGAAGGATGGCTACGATTTCAAAATTGTCTGTATAAGGTAAACTCATGATATCCGCTATTTTAAAGATCTCAAGTAAACTTATATCCTGGGGAAATTTGCATTTGTTGTGATTAATTAAATGCTTAGAATTACGCGAATATTATCTGAAAACAGCAATATCGAATTTTTTAAATTTTTATAAAATTTAGAGAAATGTGTATGTATAAAATAATAAGTTTCCTATAATTTTTTTCAACTTTAATAACAAGAGAAATAAAGTCACGCGAATTGCACGAATTAAAGAGATTCTTTTCGTAACCATATGGCGGCATTAAAATGAATTGTGTCAAGGTGGTGAGAGATCCTTTGTTCGAGCTAATGATCACCCTCTGCATCGTTCTAAACACTGGTTTCCTCGCGATGGAGCATCATGGCATGAGCGAGTCGATACGGCAGGCGCTCAACATCGGCAACAAAGTGTTCACCAGCATCTTCACATTCGAATGCTGCCTGAAACTTCTGGCGCTAAGCAAGGACTTCTTCAACAACGGCTGGAACAACTTCGATTTGATCATCGTCTCCGCGTCGCTTATCGATTTAACGTTCGAGCTGGTGGACGGTTTGTCAGTGATACGTGGTCTCAGACTGCTGCGTGTTCTAAAGCTGGCGCAGTCTTGGACGACCATGAAAGTTCTTCTCAGCATCATTATTTCGACGATCGGCGCGCTCGGTAATCTGACCTTCGTGCTGGTGATTGTGATCTACATATTCGCTGTGATCGGCATGCAGTTATTCAGTAAAGACTACACCCTGGACAAGTTCTACCCAGACCCAGTGCCACGCTGGAACTTCAACGATTTTTTCCATTCATTCATGATGATATTCCGTATTCTGTGCGGTGAATGGATCGAGCCCCTGTGGGATTGCATGCGCGCAGAAAAAACGATGGGCCAGGCACGTGCTTCGCCATCTTTCTGCCGGCTCTAGTGATGGGAAACTTCATGGTCCTGAATCTCTTCTTGGCGTTGTTGCTCAACAGCTTTAATTCCGAGGAACTGAAGCAGAAGAAGGAGGAGGTCGGCGAAGAGTCGAAGCTCGCGCGATCGTTCGATCGTATAAGATCGATTGTACGCAAACAGAAACATCGCAAGGAGAATTCCGAGAACGAGAAGAACATTCGACTGGAACAAATCGTACGCGAGGTGATGGACAAAGAGAATAAGGAGAAATATGCGATCCAAGAGACCGTGCTGAGCCTTCCTAAAGACAATATTTACAATAGGTCGTATCAGGAGAGTCTCAATCAGCCGGTCTTTACATACGATCCGATTTATCGTCAGGCCACTCTCACCACCTACAGCCAGAGCAGTCAGGAGACAGTTAAGGAGAACAAGAAATTGACTGAGAAGGGTAACAGTAACGAGATCAATCCTGAGGAAAGTATAGAGCTGGAAGTGCTCAAAGACGTTAACAAGACGGATGAAGAAGCAGCTATGCTGCCAGAAGAGAAACCACCTCCGCGCAAGGAAGGTATGGAGAAACGTCCTTGGCACGCCCTCGTGAGTTACGTGGACGAACTCACGGTCGGAGGTAGAAGAGACAGTAAAGGGAGATACATCGACGGGATGGGCTCGTTCCCGGGATTCGGCAGGAATAAGGAACGCAGGGAGCCGCTCGATTGCTTTCCTCAACACTTTTATCAAAAGTAAGACATTTCTCTACTTTCTTTTTCATTCACGTCGACTTAAACATTTTTTAAATAAAACATACGCTAAAATTACTTAAAATAAATTTTAAAATTATCTCGAGAATCATATTTTAATTAATACTTACACTAAATGTTTCTATTGCGCTCAAATACTTAATATACATATGATTGTGTTCAGATGTAGCTGTATTAATCGTTGCCTCGCCACGGATATCGGCAAGAAGTGGATAAGAATTCGTACGGTTGTCTTGTCGGTGGTGGATACGCCCGCTTTCGAATGGATGATACTAGTTTTAATTTTCGCATCTTCCATAACGCTGTGCTTCGAGGATATCTACTTGGACGACAATCCTTTTTTAAAGAACATTCTCTACTGGACCAATCTTGGCTTCTGCACGCTTTTCAGCATCGAGATGCTCTTAAAATGGCTAGCCCTAGGCTTCTGTAAATACTTCACCAGTTTCTGGACAATCCTGGATTTTATAATCGTTTTCGTAAGTACGATCAGAATCTTTAGATCTAAGCAAAATGCAAAAACGCGCAATCGCGCGCGTGTATCATTGTAGCATGAGTTGTATTTGTCAATTTCCTTGCTTGCCCTTTATCAAGCATTATTATACGTATTTGTATTCAGAGTGAGCCACCTAACTTTGTTGAATGAATAGCTTTTACAATTTTCATTACTAACGAGAAGCGTCTATTATACATACGTGTATTATATATGCCATTGTATAACGCACAGAATAATAATTAATATAGATATCCTTTTCAAAACTGATTAAAATAGTGATTAAAAGTTTTTTTTAATTTAATATTTATTTCTTTCGTTTGCAATGAAAATTGTAATAGTTATTTTATATCATAAACTGAGATGGTTCACCCTGTACACACGATAAGAAAAAAATAATTGGGAGCATACATTAGACAAAATTTGCGTGATAATTGTTTGAACATTGTTTCCGTATTTCCTTGTCTTTACATGTTTTTATATGTGGCCCCATGGATCCAGGTACGTTGAAAGTTAATGTCTCAGTATCTGATTGTACAGTGTCGATTAAACATATAATTTTTACATAAATACATGTTTCACATATCTTGTTTTTTAATCGTATACGAATTAGCAGGTGGGTTAATGAGTCGTTAATTCAAATCGCTCATGCACGAAAGAGATAACTAATAAATTGGTAAATAAAGAAAAGATATCAAAATATTCTGTTAAATAATCAAATATATATTTTCTGGTTTCTTATAAATAGCATTGTTTTTCTTTTTATATAATTTTATTTAAATTGATTTTTATATATTTAAAACTGATTTTTATATATTTTACATGATACTTTATATTACAAAAGATATATCATTGATTTTCCATCATTTAAAAATTAAATAGAAGATATTGTATAAACTCTGTATAAAACATAATTTTATTTTTAATTAAAAAAGTACAATTTTATAATGTCTAATATATATGCCAGAAGATATATTGGAATTCTCTGCATACATATGTCTTCATAAATATAACTAAAGATAAACAAACATCCTATTTTTTCATGCATGTATGTACATACGCAGTGTCAATCTTGCTTAATCAGTGATGCTTGCAAATCTCTGAATTTCTGCACAGCTTGTTATTTATAATTCTTTGCACAAGATTTTCAATACATTTTTTATTACATTTACTCTATAATTACATTATACTTCTAGATATATGCAATATATACATATATAAGATTTTATTTAAATTAAAGATCGAATATTACACAGAAAAAGAAACTTATTTTAATTTTTTATATATCTTTTTTTGCACATAATCGATAGACTTTTAGAACATTTGTGCAATTATATCTGTGGCAATTAATTAGATTATCATTTAGAAATATGTGATACCTCTACTCTTTGCTCTGTCAAGTAAACTGTCATAAAAATTCTTTCACGCACAAATGCGCCAAGTAAAAATAGTATAATTTTGTTGGATTAGCTTCAATTTTAGATCAGAACACAAAATCGAGATCTATTTCTTTGCATGAATCTCTTTAAAAGTTAGACGAGCAATATTGGGATTAAATTGTACTTTTTTTCTGAACAGGTATCCATGTTTAGTCTTTTGATAGAGGAAAATGAGAACCTCAAAGTATTACGATCCCTGAGGACGTTGCGCGCCTTGAGGCCATTGCGGGCGATCTCGAGATGGCAAGGCATGAGGGTAAATATCGAGAACAGGCTAAAAAAAACTCGCGTTTGAAGTCACGTACGATATATACATACAATACACGAATTGCACTTGCGCATACATCACTAAGAGGAACCTTTTCTTCCCGACTTCGCAGATCGTAGTGAACGCGTTGATGTATGCAATACCCAGTATATTCAACGTGCTCCTCGTCTGTCTCGTGTTCTGGCTTATTTTCTCGATAATGGGCGTTCAATTCTTTGGCGGCAAGTTTTTCAAATGCATCGATGAATACGGAGAAATGCTGGACACCTCGGTAAGTGAATCAGTCTGAATGTCGAAATAAAGCGATGAGAGATTGTCATTTAATATTTATGTAGTATATTGATAAAAATAATTTTTTTAACAGTTTTATTAATTTTGAAACTGACGGTGATATTTTTGACGATGCGACTATTTCGTTTCCAGATAGTGAATACCAAGGAGGAGTGTTTCAGCAAAAACTACTCTTGGGAGAACAGCAAGATCACTTTCGATCACGTTGGCATCGCTTACCTGGCTTTGTTTCAAGTGGCGACTTTCGAGGGATGGATGGAGGTGATGGAGGATGCTGTAGACGCGAGAGGGGTGGATTTGCAACCGCAACGGGAAGCAAATCTGTACGCCTACCTTTACTTCGTCATCTTCATCGTCTGCGGTTCATTCTTCACGCTCAATCTATTTATCGGAGTGATCATAGACAATTTTAACATGCTGAAGAAAAAGGTGAGTGTTACCCTCGCCACAGACAGTTTTAAATTCTTAAAATATTGATCCGTTTTTTATCACGTGGAAAAAATATTTTGTTTCCATTTCAATTCGACACATAAAACGAGAATAATCTTTTACGTATATAATTATGAAAATTTTGACACAAAACGAAAGCAGCATTTGTGAATAGACAGTCATGATGCAAAAGAAAATGTAATTGTATATAATTCGACAACTTTAAAGATGCATCTTTCATTGATTTATACATCCTTTTATTGAGAATTAAATTTAGAAGCAATTGAAGTATAATAATTTAAAATAATTTTGATTGCAAGCTTTAATTTTAGTGTTTTGAATTTCATAAAACTCGCGCCTGATTTAGCTGTGAAATAATAAATTAACAATTTTTCTTTCAGTACGAAGGTGGAGTGTTAGAAATGTTTTTGACCGAAAGTCAAAAACACTACTACACTGCCATGAAAAAGCTTGGCCGTAAAAAGCCGCAAAAAGTTATAAAACGTCCGATGAACCAATTCCTCGCAATGTTCTACGACCTGTCCAATTCTCGCAGGTAATTATATGTTGCTTTGTGGCCAACAAAAAAAGCACATTAGCACTTGATGTAAAGAACTGTGTTGCTTATAATTGTTTCTCTGGTGATTATCGTACAAATTGATGTAATTTATAACACTTTGGCAATACCGAGACTTCATTCTTTATTATAATCGCGGCAATTAAAACTAATTTTCTCTATACGAGATATTTTATATTTTTTATTTTAAATAATAACTTAATTATTTTAAGGAAAAAATAGGTTTTTTTTATATTTAATATCTAATATTAAAAATGTTTTCTACATTTTCTTTATAAAACTTTCTTCTCATCTTTCTATCATTGCAATGCATAGGATCATTATAATAAATTATCCCTCTTTTCCTTTCATTTAAAAAGTTTATTTGTATTGATAATAAATATTATTTTGTAAATTTTACATTAATACTAATGTGTAGCCTAACAATTTTATATGTAAAACATTTTCTGATTTTTTAAATTGTTTTGTATTATCTATATCAAATCTTTTCATCACAATTTTATTTCAAATTGCCAAAGTGTTAATCTGGCTTTTTTTTTAATGCAATTGGATTCTGTGTATGTGTATTTTTTATTTAAATGTGAAATGGAACACATAATGAATGCGTAGAAATGGTGCGGTCAAAGTGACGTAAAAAGTATTATGCGACGGATTTGATGGCGATCGGACTGTGCAGCATGTGTGCGATTGCAGCGTATGCGCGAGCAATGCGGCAGGTGCATATTCTCCTGTGCAAATCACAGACACCTTACACTAAATCGCTGACAACGTAAATTGCCAGCTCAATCGACGAACACAAAACGATCGATATCATACACATCCAGTGTACCAATAAATTCCGAATGTCGCATTCTTTTTTTTTTTTTTTTGTAGATTTTCTTTCTTGAAGACTAATTAATATTTGTATATTAATATATTCTATTTGATATATATATATATATTTTTTTTTTTTATTTTTTATATTTATTTAATATATTTTATTTGATACACATTTTATTAGCTTTTCCATTCTCGACGATTCGACTAGTTTGCTAGTTTGACAGGACGGTAAGTCTATATTCCTTTAACGATAATATATATGTACGTGGAAACGGTTTAGTACAAAGTATGTCTGTGTCGCAAATTGTTCTACTTCACAAAGTAGCTTGAAAGAGCTACACGACTGCACCTCTTCATTGCTCACGCCGTTGCACTTGGATACGTGCTTCACAGGATTTGCATCGCGATGTACTTTGTTCAGATTTTCGATCAAGCTCGTATAGGTAGGTTCTAAGAGCTCGCAGAGATTGCTCGAGTTACGAGTTGTTATTATTCATCGGCAATCAACGACGTATAAATTAAAAATGAAAAGGTCGAAAGGAAACATCGTGACTTTCAGCAACAAGTTTGTCATTATTGGGAGCTATAAAACTTATTATCTTCAACTCCGGTTCATCATTCATCTATGATGACAGGATGGTGCGGATCGAAGAAGAGGTAAGAAGAAATATACTTTATTAAATACTTTATCTCAAAGCTGATTTTTTTATTTTGTCCTGTACATTTTAAAAATTAAAATGACATAATTTTCATTTTATCAATTTTTTATCAATTATTCAGATCAATGAAAATTAATGTATAATATTAAAGAGTTGAAGGATTTTTCTTCTATTTGCTCGTTTCTCTTCATTCTCGATTGCCAGATTTAACGCAATGCGGTTCAGTGTCGGATAGTTAACATAAATTTCTTGGTACACATGTGGAATATTCGTTTTTCGTGCGATAACACTTTTCTCTCCAATGCATTGCAATATGTATACAAATCGCCATGACACAATGCGTGAATTTTCTTTTCAGCGTTTCCGGCCAAGAGGCAAGAGACCGCGGAAGATAAATGTCGCGACTCTGCATTCTGTTACTCGGAGTAATGGAAAATCGATACCCGAAGGACATTTACGCTCGCCGCTTCTAAATTGTAGATTCATTGTCGGTATATAGTGAGATACAACGGTACATAATAGACGAGATAAGCTGCTGCCTGAGAGCTTACGCATACATCGTGACTTTATAATTCCGCTCACTGGTTATTAGATGCGAACTCTCTCTTCCTATCTATCTTCTCATAAATAAAATCTACGCGAATGTAAAATTAACTACACAATGGGGAAATGTATGCTAGAATTATTACAGCGGTCTCGATGCGTGAGTTATGAATGAAAAAGTTTTGTTCTCTCTGTCTCTCCTTTTTTTATTTTTTTATTTTTTAACGAGTTTAGAGTTATGTATTTATGCAGCCTTATTATAATGTATATCTCTGCAAAACCATTGCAGAGAGACTTGAATTATTTATATCACCGTGTTATATCTTTTTTTTCGTGGTTCTATGTAATTTGTTTTCTTTCAACTAATAATGGAAAACGAACGAGAGTTAAATATAAAGTTTGCCCCGAGTTTCAGCAGCAGACACTATTTACGCCATTTTTACCGCACGAATGTTAGACGTGCATGCATCATGTTGTGTTGTAACACCGTAAGAAGACTGATGATTAATCGCTGATCAATCGAGATTACGAGCAAATTTACTGCAAAAGAATGCGATGACAAAATCTAACTTCCGCTCTTTTCAGATTTGAAATAGCTATCTTCGTTTTGATATTTCTCAACATGCTGACTATGGGAATCGAGCACTATAACCAGCCGCATCCAATTTACTTCATCCTCGAAGTATCTAACGCGTTTTTCACGACAGTCTTCGGCCTGGAGGCGATTGTCAAGATAGTGGGTCTGCGTTATCATTATTTCACGGTGCCATGGAATCTGTTCGACTTCCTACTAGTGTTGGCGTCCATTCTGGGTATACTTATGGAGGACATCATGATAGACTTCCCTGTGTCCCCGACGCTCTTGCGAGTCGTGAGGGTGTTCAGAATCGGCAGAATCTTGAGGCTCATCAAGGCCGCGAAAGGTATTCGTAAGCTGCTCTTCGCCCTTGTCGTCAGTCTTCCAGCGCTCTTCAACATTGGGGCTCTGCTGGCCCTGATCACGTTTATCTATGCCATCATCGGCATGTCCGTTTTCGGACATGTTAGGAAACAGGGCGCATTGGACGATATGGTAAATGAAGATGTATTTAGATTAAATTAATTGAATTTGTATATTCTTAAAGACAGAAGATGTAAGAATAAAATAGAAAGTGTTTTTTTATTTATCTTGCAGTATGATATAATCTAGTAAAATTTGTTTTATCTCTTAGGTGAACTTTGAAACTTTTGGTAGAAGTATGCAGCTGCTATTCCGTTTAATGACCTCGGCCGGATGGAACGACGTATTGGAATCGCTGATGGTGCAACCACCCGAATGTGATCCCACTCCAAACAGCCGGCAGATGAACGGAGATTGCGGATATCCATTGCTCGCGATCACGTACTTCACATCATTTATTATCATTAGCTACATGATAGTCATTAATATGTACATTGCCATCATCTTAGAAAACTTCAATCAAGCTCATCAAGAGGAGGAAATTGGTATCGTCGAGGATGACTTAGAGATGTTCTACATCCGATGGTCGAAGTAATTAAAAAAAAAATTTAATAAATTAAAGCAACTTACAGAAACTTTCTTTTGTTTCCTTTAAATCTCTGTAATACAACAAAATTTACGTATATTTGACGGAATTTATGTATATTTAAGTTTTGCAACATTTTAGAGACTTTAAAAATAATCATAATAAGATAACAATTCTCTATAACTTTGAATTAAAATTTCCATTTTTCAGGTACGATCCACATGCAACTCAATTTATCAGCTTCTCGCAACTGAGTGATTTTATAGCGAGCCTGGACCCACCGCTGGGGATATCAAAGCCCAACGTCGTAGCGTTGGTGAGCTTTAATCTTCCCATCGCAAAGGGTAACAAGATTCATTGTCTGGACATCCTACACGCGCTTGTCAAGCACGTTCTCGGGCACGTCGAGGAATCAGATGACTTCAGGAAACTGCAAGAACAGATGGACATTAAGTTCAAGAAGCAATTTCCGACCAGGAAAGAATTAGAGATAGTGTCTTCCACGAGGATCTGGAAGCGACAAGACAAAGCTGCCAAGTTGATTCAACATTGCATAAGGGAATACATAGCGTGAGTATAAACTCGAAAAGATGACATTTCTTCTAAAATTGAATATTTTTGCATACATTATAAGAGAAATTATTATTAAGTATATTTATTATCATATTTCTTATGTCAACATATATTGGAGAATTTAAAGCCACAATTACAGTTAATAATATTTATAAATAGCTATATAATATCATAATAAATATAATACATATACATTTGGAATATTATTACATTCGATAAAATGACATAATAATGCAAGAAAAACGGTATGCTCGTAGGTTGAAAAGGGAGCGCGAGAGAATCGCCCAAGAGGTGGACTCGCAGACGCAAACTTCGAGCCCTGGTGGGGCGGATGGTAGGGGCGGAAGTGGATGGGGCGGTAAGCTGTCAGCTCTGCTGCACGTGCATCGGGGTAGCCGGGCTAGTAGTCGCAAGTCCTCCAGGGCCAGCGACGCCAGCGATCTCAGCGAACTCGGCACCGCTTCGGCGTGGCTGTTTCCAAATCTTCCTCTGCTGTTGCTCTCAGGCGCCACAGGAACCCACGAGGACCTGCAACCTCCGGCACTGACCGTCTCCCGTCCCTCACCGACCACCGAACAACCTTCCGCCGCTTCCAGCTCCGGCTCGGACTCCCACGTCACTGTCAGGTTGATCCCTTTTTATTCATATCTTTTTAATAATGATGAGCTTATCTTTGAAATATCACTCGAAGAATTCCGAGGAGATCGATTGACCGTACGACGGGATGTTAAACAAAGTTCGTCTGTCAGTATATAAATGTGTAATTCGTGTAAGATCGCTTTATTCTGGCTTATTTTTCAAAATTACGATTGATAGGAATTTACTCAATTTATTGCATCACTCGCATAATTAAATGATTGGGTTAAATTGACTAATGTTGATCAATTTATTTAGACCAATCATATTAAATAGCCATTTCAGCTATTCCGAGATTCAATTACTAATATAGTATTTCTGTTTTAAATTTAAATATATCGCCAGAATATAATTTTGCAAATTAATATGTATATCGTCAATTTATGAAATATTAAGTACGAAAACAAAACTACTGCAAAAATATTTAGTTCAAATTTAATTTTAATTATACAATTACAGAGGATAAAATACACATAATATATATATATTTATTGGCCTGAGGAGTTTGTATTATCAATTATATTCATTAACCAGCTCTATATTACATACATCGCAGTTACAATTAATTTTTACATGCCAACATATGCTCTATACGAAAGAAAATTAATCTATTTTCTTTCCTTTCCAAAACTCCTCAGGCAAGAAAACGAGCAGGTAAACCTGAATATATCTATACGTAGAATTTTTCCATTTTTATTGTTCGACTTGCATATGATGCCACATGAGATAAAAGTTGAGATATTGATTAGAAGTTGAAGTATTGTCTACATTTTATCGCCAGAAAATATATTCATTTGCCCCACACATTTCATAGTTGATGAAATTAGTGTCAGTATAAAGTTAAACGCAGATTTTAAAAATACATAATTACTTTAGCAGTAAATACATTAGCAAATTAGAAGATGCCACGGCTCATTGCGCATAATTTAATCCTCATAATAATCCATGGCTCATTATCGGTTTGCGATGAACGTAGTTAAGTGAAAGAGTATTGTTGTTATTGTTACTACATCGATTATTATATACGGTATTGATAAGCGCATTTCGTATGACATTTAGGTATATCATTAGAATAATTATCAGCATTGTGTCATGCTTCGGTCTAGCCGGCTTCAAGTAAGACACATTTTTTCCAATCGAGATATGTGATTTCGAATTCTTGCATGCAATTTTAAATCTGCATCTGTAATAATTTTATATAGCGCGTATCAAAGGCGAGAGAAAAGTATTAATTAAGAGTATTAATTCAGTATTAATTAAGAGGCAAGACATTTTATTCGTATTATTGCAAGAAGTATATTGTTGTTCCTGTTCTTATATGTATATTTATCGCTTTATATAGATAAAAATTATATAAAGCGCACGAAAATTAGGATATATTCAATTTTATCCTTGTAATCATCGTGTTTCATCCCCCGAATGTTCTTAAAAATATATTTTAATAGTTCGTTAGGGTAAAGAAATCAAACTCGAGGTGTAGCTAGAGATGTAAATAGAAAAAAAACAAAGTGTTTTTTTCTCATAAAAATTTTACGAAATAAAATTAAAAATCTCAATAAAATTTATTATAAAATTACTTTTAAAAGACATAAATTAAAAATACAATATATACGAACTTCAACTGTTCTTATGATGTTAACAAAAAATATAAAGAAAAGAATATATTTAAGAAAATAATGCAAAAACACGATTTTTTACATCTCTGGGTGTAGCGCGAAAACACAAAGGAGAAACTCGCTGATAACAATTCATCCTTGTCTGCAGATCGCTGGGTCCCACGTTGGGCCGACAGGATGCAGTGGAGAAGTATTCGGAGGAGGATGCAACCAGTCCGCCGATCTCGAAGCGCGGCTCGACTCTGAGGCCGAGCGGCACCGCTCTCTCACTGAACGCGCTGCAGCGAGACATCAAGGAGGCGTTCAACAGACGCTGCGGCAGCTTGAGACGGCGGACGCCACCGTCGGAACCGGTGCAGCTGCCGATCGAGAGCAGTAGCGACCGGGTAAGTATCCTGGTGACGGAGCCGAGTCCGGAAAACACGGCACCGCCTACGAGACCGCCGTTGATCCGGCAGCAATCGGAGGCGACGGTGGTGCACGTGCTGGTGCACAGGGAGAGCGAGGAGTATCAGGACACCCCGGACGATAGCTGATCCTAGTCGACGGTGAGCGATCACGAAGAATAGCGGGCAGCAGCGATGCGACTCAGTGATAATACATACGTAGACGTATATATATCTATATACATATGTAAACTTTTCACACAGCGCGCAGTTCTAATTAGATAGGACGATGACCCACGTGGCTTCCTCTCCCTCGAGATGGAGTTGCGTATGTGTATGCGTGTGTTAACGTGTGCGTGTGTCGTCGAAGCGTCGAATGAGAGAGACTGTAATATGTTATAGCGATGGTTCTCGGCCGAGGAAAACTAATGGCGACTCAGTAAAATGCTTCTTCTTTCGAATCGATTACGTGCTTTTGCGAATATCCGTTCTTTCAGAAGCGCATTTTATATCGAATCTGTGATTTTAGAAATAACGGATCAAAATTGGCCGATTTTGTGCTTGTAATTTACTATACGAAAATGCTTCCTAATTCTAACGATTGTCGTAGACATCCCCGTATGATCATTAGCAGTGATATTAGACTGCAAGAAATGCTAACGATCTGGCGCAATCTTGTTGTATGTAACATTTACAGTGAGATTGGCGTGACGTTTTATTCTGAACAAAAGTAAAGTTTTCGATTTACAATGCTTTTATTAGCTGAAGAATTATGCCTTGCAAAATAGTGTATAACTATAATTATAAAAAAATTTATTGCACAATTTTTCAAACATCTGCCTAAAATTAAGAGATGTAATTCTCGAGACGGTAAATATTTACTTCATTATGAAGAAAGAAAGGTTGAGAGCCATTGCATGCAGAGAAAACGAAGAAAGGGACAAGGATGAGGTTGAAGAGAAATTTTTTACAATTTTTCCATTAAGATCATAGAATGGAACAACGTCGTTCGAGGAACCTGGATCATTACTATGTATGTTAACGCCATCTTGCTCTTTTTGAAGATGCATACGCATACCAGGTTCCCCGTAATGACGAATAAATTATTTAAAAAATTGCCAGCGTAGCGGAAATACCAGATGTAGCCGTTTTCGAAAAACGAGAGCGCAATTTGTTGCAAGAATGCATCGAAGTTCTCGAAGTGGATTGAAATTTAATCTAATAAGATTCCAATTTTTGAAAGTTAAAAATAATAAATGCAAGTTTGTGGACAGAATTTGCAATGATTTCGACGATTGTTTCGATCAATAATTATTATCACATTATTATATATTATATATAGAAAGTTGAGATTCGCAGAATATTAGATATCAGTGTATATAGTATAAATAACGAACACTTTATTAATTTTTGCTACGTAAAAAAAATCCTCATCGACGCGATTGACGAATCATTAATGATACTAATACTAGTATTAAATTCTAAGAGCAATTCTAACGCTTTTCAAGAACACTTTAAGTATATAATATAAATGTATAAACACACTTTAGTCACGCACTTTCGACACTTTTTGATTATACCTATATGTACAAATTTCAATCGCAGCATTAGTTTACATTAGCAGTCTTTTGTCTATGCCATATATAATTAGTATTAAACGTAAGATGCATAGGAAAAAAGTAATCTTGTCGAGCAGAGAGAAAAATATGTGCATAAATCGCGATGAATAAGAAATATAATTATATTATGAATGCATTAAGCTATAAATTATTCACACAAATCAATCAGCGCTAAATCGATGCTCTTACGAGTACATTCGAATTTATTGCATAATATCGATTACAAGTAACTATTTTGAGATAAAATAGAATTTTGTGTGTATGTGTGTGTGTATGTCAAAACGATGAACTTTCCTTCGAGATAGCGACTATTTCTAGTAAGTTACGCTACCCTGGTAAAAATATACTTTGGATCTAATTCGCTTCTTCGAATAAATTTTGAAGAAATTTAATCTCTTTCTCTCCCTTTTTCAACATATCTATTAATTTTAAAAATTATCACTTTATCTTTAGTCAAATTATATAAATAGCAAGACAAATCGTTGCTTTATTATTTATTTATTGTTTGTTAATAGAAAGAAAGAAAAAGAGAGAGAGAAGAAGAGAGAGAGAGAAATAATTTAGTCATTCTATATGTGGATCATGTACATGTGCCCAAAACTTTAAATCAAGAATTTTTGATATATATTAAAATGACACAAGATGGATTTTTTTCTATAGAGATAATTGGAATTTTTAACAGTAAAATTTTAAACTAATTATTAAAAAATCGCTTATGCATGACTTGTAAATGTCACGTACAAGTGTTTGCATTCATTATCTCGTTAACAATAATTAATGAGATAATAAGTACAATTATCTCATTAACCACAAGTTTATCTCAATTACTCGCTTACTACTTCGAATAACATTTCAGAACTCAGTATTACTACTAAACTCCATTAAATTATAGTAGAGCTCGTCCGGTAGCTTTTTAATACTGATTTAACATGGCTTCAGCGATATCGAGGGAGTAATATTTGCACTCGCGCGTACAAACACACACACATAGAAGCGCTTCTCTCTCAATAAGAGGATTTAATAAAACTAAATCTTTTTATTAACGCTATACATTTATACACGTCGCGTGCGATCCTTGTCTCTTACATCGTAATTAAGGGTGGTCGGACCAAATCTAGGCACACACATTCGACTCCGTTGAATGGTTTTGTTTCCTCGGGGGAAAAAAAGAGAAAGACAGAATATCTAGATTGTTAGCACATAGATAATGCAGACCGCCTGGAGTTTGCTACGAAGAACGAATTTTATCGGTATACAAAAAGAGTACTGCCTCAAATCTTAGGATAAATTACTGACGACGAGGAAGATTGAAAATAAACGAGTAAAACACAGACAGAGATATAATGTGGCTTCCTTCGGTGATCGTAATTATTATCGTGATTAAAGTATTTCGATTTTGTTTCTGATTCTCCATGATAATTTCTAACAATTGGCGGAAAAATAGATATGTGTATCTTTACTCTTTCAAAATTAAGTTTCTCCGTAAAAATGTCGAGGCATGAATGGTTTTCATAAACTGGAAACAAAAAAGACTTTTCGCGAATCAAGCTTCAAAGATGTAAAGTGGCATAAATTATCGGTCCATTTAATTTTAATTTATCATAAGTCCTATTCTATTTCAATTTAATTAAGATATTAAAACATCAAATATTTTTGAAGAATAACGTTCTTTTCATTATAATCAATTTTAATTTTTTTCACTAAAAAGATAGTGTTAATTATTTTTCTTCAATTCTCTTGGATACCTTGTATACATTTTCGATATCATCTATCATATCTACCATATAATTGTACCATTGATTACGCATGTTTTTATTCATATATGTAAAAATTGTCAAATGAACGATAAAATCAACGATCCATTTATTAGCGATATTTTTTATCTGTCTTTTTCTCGACTCTCAATTGTAATCGCATTATAGAAAGTTAGAATTTTGACAGCAAGATATTACACTTTCTTAAAATATAAAATGCCTCAATATAATCTTCTCTAGTCTTATTCATGTATTACGTTATATATTTTAACCATTTTATGAATCTCAATTTTTATTCGTATCTCGCACTACAAATGTAAAATACGTAAACCAGCATTTGCGAACGTATATAATTTATGAAAAATCTTGTATCAGAAATTGTTGTGCATTGAAGATTAAAATTACATCGAGATTGCATTAAAATCACAATTAAAAGAGGATTTCTTTGTCCTGGCTGATTGAGTTTTATGCGATCTCGATGCAATTTCAATTTTCAATATGATGGTCTAATGGACATAAAAGAGACACAAACAAAGTTTTCGAATTCGATTATTAATATTAATCGCATAATCAGTAGATTCCCTTTTTAATCATGTAGAAAAATCATCTAAAACTCGCCAACAACTCATATATATTGCACGTAGAAATTTTCTCAAGTTTTATGTCATCGTTTTCAATTCAACCAATCATACTCTTCAGAATCTTTCTTTCTCACTATAATTATAATAATTTATTGTATTTATATTTTTATGTATCAATCAATATAAGCTTCGGCTTATTTATATAAAGAATTTTGCGAAATTAATTTAAGTTTCGACAAATTGCATTAAAATAAATTGTCATTTTATAAACTCTTTTTGGGGGAAAACAGAAAACGATGATTGAAATGGCGATCTTGAAAATATCATTATTATTTTTATCCAATAAGCCATGAATCTACGTCTTATTGTTATTATTTTAAAAAAATACTGTCTTGCAAAAAGGAAAAGCACGTGAGGCTGGCTTCTCGCTAGATTTCATTTAGAGTTCTAAACATTGTAAAAGGGAAAGAATACATGCAGGTGCACATTTTCGGATTTCCATATGTACAACGAATTATTTTTTAAGAGACACCTTGTAATTGTATTTTTTATCCTAGATAAGCGTTATATTTTGCGTGCGATATGAATTTTACGAGAAATTTTCGACATTAAAAGAAAGAGGAGATATCGAAGTCTCCTCTTTTCAGTTCTTTCTCTTCTTCATAGATGAAACGTTGCCGCTAAAATGCCACAACCTCACGCGTTGACCTATAGTGCCTATTATCAATTAGCGGACACACCGAATAATTAGATATTATTATCGAAATCCATTTTACAAGCATCTCAGCTCGCACAGGGTAAATATTTGATCGATATCCTCAGACATTTAATAACATCTTCACATTATATACATGATGAGAATAATTTTTAGGCATTTAGTTTGCCTAAAATATCACATGTAAAAATTAATTTAAAAAATGAAAATGAATCTCAGTTTATTGTTTAATACAACAATTCTTAAATAAGTAACTTTTCATCAAACATCTTTATTATTTAAAGACTTGTTTATTGAGATATCTCTTCAGGGCTGAAGAATACGCTTGAACTGATTATGTATAAAATTATATATATATATATATATATATATATATTATATAAGATTTTATTCATAAAAATAAAGACGTTTTTAATGTTCAGAGGTTTTCCAGCAGAATATACATGATACGCTCATCAGATATTAACACTATACGAGCTGGCAATGTTGATACGTTATGCATAGTGTAAATTAGATCCGCGTAGCATATTACATTACGATATATTACTATGTCGAAGACGTTAATAATCAGACCGTAGTGTACTTCTGTGCTTGACAAAAGCTTGACAATTCAGTTCGCGCAAGCTCGCGTGAGAAAGATAAAGACATAAAGAGGAAAGAAAGCGAAAGAACGTTCTCTCGATTTGACGATCTGGCGATGAATCGGCGAACGGGTCCGGGATCCTCGGGAGCTGGTTTCACGAGGCATATAACATGATAAAATATAATATATGTCAATTAAAATTATATATACATATATTAATATTATATGCATACGAGAGCGCAAAAAAGTGACACAAAATATCTTGTCATACGATTGGTCTGTACGTACGTATATCTATGCGTATGTATGTATATATGTATACGCATATATATGTATATGCACATGGTGAAATGTTACAATACTCGTATTACCATAAAATAGAATGGAAGAGACTGGACGTGCGTATGAAATAGAGTTGCACTCTTGTATGAGGTCGCATCTTGTTCGACAACTATTGTACAATCATACGAGGGCTAATCGCCCTGTGTAAGAGAAAATACTTTATATTAGAGCACTACATAATTTAGCCTTTCTGCGCGTCTGCGTATGTGTGCGAATGAAATAAAAATCGCGTATGCTCAAGCCTAACACACACTCGTATACTTGCTGATACATACATATATAACATATACACACGTGCGGTATAAAATATTATACATTATAAATATTATATATACATATAATTATAGATACATATATATATAAAGTCGAGATAATGAGACGACGATTTATATCACTGTTTTCTTGGAGTTACAATATCGCTCTTATAATTAGATTTAGAATCACTCCAAATGCGAAAAAGAAAGAGAGAAAGAGAGAGTTTGTAGTAAGAAGTACATATATAAAAGCGAGAGAGCAATTTACTGCTGTAAGCGCTTTTTCAAACCAGCTGCTCTCTCGCCCCTTTCTCCCCTTTTTTCTCGCTCTCGCTTAAGATCAGGGGTTCGAATCATGTTTTATCATGAGCCCCCTTCCCGCGTGCTATCGAGTTCTAAAACCATAAGATAAGGTGGGATAATGTATCGCAGATTACATATAGATGAATTGTATATTCAGATAACATAATGCACACAGGGCAAATTTCATAGGATATATATATATATATAAATATATATATATATATATATATATTTAAGCCATTAGTGTCTTTAAAATATCCGGTTGAGATGTGTATGCGATCTCTGTAAATGCGAAAAAATCTGCTCTAATTAAAGGCAATACGATGGCGGCTGCTTCTTCGAAATGTAAGGCGTTTACACATTAAATACACCTGTTAAAATCCATTGCTTTCAATCGCAGATCCCCGATGTCGTCAGAGATGCGTCTTTGAGCCTCTGCGGAAAATAGGCGAATTTTAAGAAAAGGCTTGAAACTTATATATGTCCAAAGAGAGAGGGAAAAAAATATGAAGTTTCAATTTTTAATGTTAGAAATTAATCCATTCAATCTTCACTTTCTTTCTCACATTTTTTGGCTTCTATTTTAATTTGAATGTTCGCAAAGAACAATTGAAGAGTGAAACAGTTATGATGCCTTAATCTTAGAAGCTAGAAAATACTTTTTCTCATTTAAACTTTTTCATATCTTTCAATTTTTATCGACATTAATCCTTACAGATACATAATACATAAAATTGGAAATTAGAAAAGAATTACATTCATAATCAAAATAACATTTAAACAATAAATAGTTAAATGAAAATAATTAAGTCCAACAATTTTAAAACTGCAAGATTATGAAATTGAAAAATCACACATGATTGTGTACAGCTTTTTAAAATTATTGCAATAAATTGTAAATTAAAATTTTTCAAGTGGCAAAAATCACATTTTATAATTCGTGAATATCTAAAATCTAGACATTTGCCAATTTACAAAGAAAATACCAATTGATTTTCTCAATTTGCGTATCTTTCTAGATAAAAAATATATATATACATTTTGTGAAAAGTATAAAAGAAAATGTGAAATCCATATAAGGTGACTGTTGGACTTATATCAAGTTTAAAATATTTCATTCTTTAGTCAATGTATTTAAAAAAAACTGACGCCTATTTAGTATTAAAATGATGATTATTACAATTTGTAAAAAATGTGGAACAACCTGCATTAGTCCCAATCAAAAAAGGACCAAATTAGAGAAAATTCAGCAGCGAGATGGATCTTATATAAATCGACGATCTACAATTGAATTTCATAAAATGTTGAATCTCTCTCTCTTTTTCTCTTTTCTAATGATTTTCTTTGATTTGTTCGCCTCTTTTTTTGCAGAGCAAATACTTAGGAAATTTATAGGTACCATAAAATGTTTTACACACGATTTAGCGGTATAAACGCCTCTCTCGGGGATTCTCTCCGCGACTTTAGAGCGCGCGCAACTTGTATATAATAATAATTTTTCTCTTACTTTTTATATTTCTTCTTTTACCATCTATTATATACTTTTCATGCGATAACGACGTCGTATTTCTCATATTCCGCTTTTATGAGATTGAACACGTCTTTACTTCGCTTTTATCCTCTTAATTATACATATGTAATTAAGGGTTCGTTGCAGCAACGCTCTCAACTAACTACGACGAGCAATTTCGCTTGTTTCCTTTCCAAATGGTGTTTAGGTGTTATACAACTTGATTTACATCTTTAATATTAATAAAAAAGAATTTTTAAGATAAAGTTTATAGATCATTTAGTTATATATTCTTGAAAAGTATGTAACTCATTGATTTCTCAACTCTTAACTTACATAATTGTTGATGCTCGTCGATATATTGGAAATATATTTCCACATTCTTTTTTTAAGTATAACACATAAATCCATTGAAAATTGAAGAGCTTTTTATATTTATGAGACATTTTATGAAACAGAAAAATTTTAATTATTGAGAATACACGAAAATGAGACACATTGATGCAACGAGCCCGAAGAGATTCGCATCATTTGATGTGACATCCGATCTACCGAGACACAATATTTGATAATTTTAGATTAGTCTTGAATTCGAATGCGTATTGAATGATATTCCTCATTTTATTCTCCGCCTAAGTCGAAGGCGCGCAAACTCGTCAATACACAACGTTGTTAACAACATTGTAGCATATAATTATAAATAATAAAACAAAACGAAATAATAATATTAGAAATGTTAAAATGTTATACTGTCGTTCTTACTGTAATGTTATTTTTTCATCCATAATCTTCTAAATTTGTCTAATATGATATTAATTCTATCATCAATATCGCGTACGCGATAATACAGATTAATATAAAAATATTTCATTTTTATTAATTTTGTATTAATATAAGATATAGTATTTCTCTATATAGCGGCCAATGTATAAGCAATTTTCGAGTTAAATTTTATCAAAAATTTCAATTTGCGCTATTTCTTTAGTAATTATAATTTCCTATTTTTTTGATTATATTAAATAAGTTTTAGATTTTTCCTATACATTTGCTATTAACAAATTTTGTCATAGTTCTGTTTTGTTTCGTTTTTTTATTTTTTCAGTCAATTTTGCGTTCAATATTTTATTTATTACATTTTTTTATTGTATGTACCTCCTCTACTTAAATACTATATATTAACTCATTACTTTGTAAAAAAATTTTTTTAAATATATGTATGCAAAGTTAATAAAATAATTTATATAAAAATTAGACACTTAAAATACATTATCCTAAATATATACATTTATTTGCATTATGATACATATTTATTGCAAGAGCTTTTATCGTAGATGACTACAATTAACGATGTATCATCATTACTATCACACAAAATTACAAATGATGAATTCAAGCTCATTATTTAGACAAAACTTATTTAGTTGAAACCCTAGTACGTTTATTCCAAGAGAAATTTATTCCATAACTGCGAGGTTTTGGTTGGTTAAGATTCGGCTTCTGCACATAATATTCCCAACCCATCTTCTCACAATGCGCAATTGCCTCCTCTTTTGTTGCAAAATTAACTTGGATATTTGACATGGGATCCCCACTGAAATTAATAAATTTGAGATTTAGAAAGACAGGGCCAACTATAACGAGCATATTAAATTAGTGAGAGATGTAATGTCAACACATAATTGATTTATTTCTTAGTAAATACAATGATAAATTTGTATAAATATATAAAGCTATTATAATAGAAATATATCCCATCTAAATTTAAATATAACATTTATATATATAATATTAATACTTGCCTAGAAGTCCATCCCATCAATGGATTTTCCCAACGTTCACGTGTATCAAAGTCCATCTGCCAAAAGTGAATATTATTTGTTCCAGATTGCATGGCACTCTTGGCAGGCTGATAAATCCGTACTCTACGTGTCTTAATATGTTCCTCAGGAACACCAGATACATATCCTACATCTTCGTCAGTTACAGTGATCGGACTCTTCAATGCTTGTAGATATTTGATCTCTTCTGGCGTCTGTAAAGTTTCTTGAAGATCCTTACGTTGTGTCAAGTCTAATTTCGTTTCTATCTCTGTACTTTTACTTGAAAATAATCTGCTCCATCTGTATTAAACAGAAAAAACCTTTAGAATTTTATAAATGTCAATTTATCTTTTAAGCTATATAACTTTATATTAAAGTTTAATTAATATTAAAGTTACATATTTATACCTGTCATATTTTAATTTATAATTTAAGTTTACATATATATTATATATTTTTCTAAAGTGAGAGTTCAACGAATAAGTCGTTGTCTTCAATGCTATAAATGTATAAGATTCCTGACTAGTACGCTTTGTTATAAACAATGTTACAAATGTATTACATGGCTATTATATCTCTGACAGTTAGAATTTCAAAATATATACGTACATGTAATATGTACATAAATACATACATTTCATGATAATATTTTGTGAATCTAATATATTACAATCTATTATGTAAACTCTTATGAGGTTATGTTGCGTTTATTTTTTCTATCACATGGAATACACATTTGAAAAATATTACAGTACACTCACCTAAGACCGTTTTCGTCAATTACAATCGCACATTGTCGTAATAATGCGCGGGATGCCATTTCGTTAAGAAAACGTAAACAACAAGTCGAACGCAAACCAACTGCAATAACTGTGCAAGGACGACTGACCTGACGGCAAAACTAGTTCGCATGCTACCGATGCGCGGCGCGACGATCGATGTATCGATATATCGATGTATCGATGTCTCGATATATCGTTCGTCGCGCCGCGCTTCGGCGGCATGCGAACTAGTTTTGCCGTCAGTCGTCCTTGCATATAATTACTGCAGCTCATTAGCATTCGATTCTAATTATTGTTATTCACGTTTTTTAAACAAAATGGCATCCCACGCATTATTACGGCTACGTCCAGGTGTAACTGACGAAAAGGTAAGTTTGTGATATTGTTCAAATGTATACTTAAATTATACCACTTGAAGCAATTGCAAATGTTCACTTGTTAGAGCGTAAAAAAAATAATAAAATAAATAATATGATAATCATTTCAATTGATTTGAGCAATACGTAGTGATAGCTCGAAGAAAAAATATATTTAATTGTATTCCATTTCTTTACTATCTTCAATTTTAGAGCACATTTGGAAACCTCTGAACCCTGAGTGTCGTTCTATCTTTCTTCATCTTTTCGTAAATGACAAAGATATATAGAATGATACACTCAGGATGCTCAAAGTGATTTTTTGCTTTGATTTATGAAAGGTTTAATAAAAAAATATAAATTATACATATATCCGGAATAATTCTCTTCAGCAAGATTCATGTCATTAAATAGAATTAAGCTTTAAATATATAAATGCAATATTATATAACAAAAATAGCGTTTTAATTATTGGCACCAAATAAAATTATAATATTAAATTAAACAAAAATATAACTTATACAGTTATATGATTATATTAAGCATAATACAATATATATATTTATATGATGCATATCAATTATGTAACAAATTGTACGAATTATTACGAATATACTTATGTACTCAGATGATACACACGAACACTTATACATATATTTAAAAATATTGATAAAGTTTGACATGATAGTTTATATTTAAAGATATGACATCGGAATAATGTTATTATATGTTCCAAGACGAAATCAATCACAACGGAGACGCGAAAGTGTACTGGAAATACAAATACTGTTGTGTGTGTGATAACAAACGTTTCAAATTTTTATGTAATCAAAATTTTATTAGTGACCTTCATTTTTCGTGCCGACGTTATCAAGATTGTATAATTAAAAATGTATAGAAACTTTTGTGCCGTGCTTTAAAAGAAAAAGTCAAGACATGAATCTATTAATTAACGAAAACAAGAACATATAACAAGAATTTGATGGAATATGTAAGTACATTAATTTAAATCTACTTTGTGAAAGCATATTAATTTAATAACTTATAATTAATGAGATATTTTTGTCATATAACTAACACTTTTCGCATTTTTAACATTTACAGAACGAGAAGAAACGACAAATATAATTTTTAAAGCTTCTTCATATCACGAGAATATATTCTTCACGGTGTTAATATATATTTATAACAAATTGCGCAAATTTTATAATTCGCCGTTTTCACAGTTACATCAACTCTGTAAAGAAGAAATATTTTAATTGATAAAAGGATGGCTAGTTTTAAAATTTCCGCACCAGGAAGAATTGTCTTATCAGGAGAACACATAGCAGCGTACAAAAAACAGTTTCTTGCAACTAGTTTAAATCTTCGTACACATCTCGAATTCTGCGAGCTACCTAACACATCGGAAAACATTATTAGAATAGAGTTCCTTACTTTGAATCTAGCGAAAGATATACCTTTAAAAGATGTTAAAAACTTTTATTACGAAAATGTTGAAGACATTATTTCAAATCCAATCAACTTGAATGATTACGTGAAATACCTGATCACCGTTGTAAAATGTATGTGGACGACAAATTTTGAAAGATTTAGCTTACAAATGTTCTTTTTCTTGCTTTATTCTGTCGCTCACCATGAACATCTCATGATAAAACCTTTTCACGTAAAAGTGTCCACGGATATGTTAATGGGAGCTGGTCTTGGCAGTTCGACATCGTTCGCGGTATGTCTCGCAGGTTGTTTTCTTCATTGGCAGCGTTTACAGAGTGGTTGTTGTCACACTGAATTTAATGATGCTGATTTAGCGTCGATTAAAAAATACACTATATCCTGCGAAAAAAGTATGCAAGAGTTTGCATTTCCGGACGTCGATGCCCACATTTGCACATACGGCCAAATAGCAAAATGTCAACGCATCAATCACGAAATATATTTTATAAATTCCACGGATATGGTACAAATAAATATTCTACTGATCGATTCAAATATTCATGAAAGTAAGTCCGTACGAGCGCAACAAGTAGCAACGCTGAACGATACTGCTCACAACTTTCAATCTATATTAAATGAATTAGAACATGAGGCAATAACTATGCATTATTATCTTAATTCACTAAGTAGTGTCATCAGACTGACCCATCTATATGGCGATGAGCATCCTAACTATAATTCACTGGTATCTTTTTTGGTTTTATTTAACAATTATATTCAATTTATTATATCATATTCTTTGATATTGCTGCGTTGACAGAATTAAGTAGTATTTATAATTATCTACTTAAAACTGCATCTGTTTTATAACTAATTTTTTCAGATTTCTAAAGTGATGTTATGCATTGATAATAATCAACGATTGTTGAATATAAACAATTTATCGACTGAGATAATTGAAAATATTTGCGAGATTGCAAGAACGCATGGATTAGCGGGAAAACTTACAGGTTTTGGTGGTAATTATGTATACATTTTCCTACCACCGGACAGCACTCTCTATGATATCACGAATTTTTCGGCGCATTTGCATGCATGTCATTTTAATTCCCTAATATGGACCACCATCAATTCTAACGGAGTGAGAATTGTTAACTGATTTAACTGTATTAAAATTATCATGTTTATGAATGACTAAATAATAACAACTATAAATGTAAAAGAATGTGAGAAGATTATTAACTAATTTCTATAATATTTTAAAAAAAGTATGAAATATATTATACAATTTTGTTTAATGTACACATATATCCTACTACTTAATTATAGCTTAAAAGATTCTTAATACTATCGTTTTGAATTATGAAATCAAAGCTGAAAAATCATTGAATATTTTTCTTTTTTATTGTACTCTATCTCATTTCTATTTCGAAAATATAAGTGAAGTAAAGTAAAAATATTACGTCAAACTCATGCGCTTTAATATACGTACATATATACAGAACACTTTATGGATATGTAAATTAATTAGTATACAGAATGTTTCATAATTTAAATTACCATGAAAAAAATATTATCCATCATAATTTAATTTTAGTTGTCACCATATTACTACTGAAATTTAGTTATCATACTTAAATTTTAACTATAATTTTAGCTATAATAAGCTAATATTTCTTCTAATAAAGATTATATCAGTTAAACTATAGTTAAATAACTTATTTAATATTAAAATATATATAAAATTATATAAACTAAATTAGTTAAATAAACTATATAGTTATATACATAAATAAACTATAACAGGCCAGAGACAGCAAAAACTTAGTTACAATGGTTAATATTTTTTTCTTGATAGAAACCAATTTGTATATAAGAAATGAGTCAAACAGTTATATATTTATATGAATATATTTTTTCTGCGATGCTTGAGAAAAATAATTATGAAATAAAACCAATAATCAGCGTGTTCATACAGTACAGTATTTACCTGTTAACTGCAAAGTTGAGTTACATTACTATTCTATGTTACATATTATTCGCCGCATGTCTTATGGATGTACACATATGTAAACATTAGAGCAGATAATATTATTTTTATTTGATAATTTTTCTTCGTTAAAGCATTTGGATACAGTATTTCAAAATGTTTAAATTTTCATTGGGCAACAACGTTACATAATTTATGAGCGTAAATTATTAAGCAAATATACCAAATAATATTTAAAACATGTCTACAACAAGAAGAGAGTTGATTTTTGATATCGAAATTATTTCTTAAATTATGTATATACATATATTCTATAACGACTTGTATTAACTCTGATTAAAACATTAAAAAAAGTCTAACACTAGGATATCCATAAAGTCATGACTTCGAGGTAATATTATTATATGTTTATAAATTTGACTGACGAAATCAGTCACAGCTAAAACGCGAAAGTGTATTGATAATATAAAGACTGGTCTGTGTGTCACAACGAACGTTTTAAATTTTTATTATTACATAGTGACCTTTATTTTTCTCGTCTACTTTAATATAAAAATTTAATAATTAAAAATGTATAAAGACTTTTGTGCGGTATTTTAAAGAAAAAGCCAAGACAATAATTAATTGATTAATAAAAACAAGAGCACGTAACGAGAATCTGATAGAATATGTAAGTAACATTAATTTAAGCATTTACTTTGTATGCGTATCTATTCGATAACTCATACTCAACCAGATATTTGTCATATAACTAACACCTTACGAATTTCTAACATTTACAGAACGTAAAGAAACGACAAATATAATTTCTAAAGCTTCCTCACATTACGAGAATATATTTTTCACGGTTCTGATAAATATTTGGAAAGCCTGTGCAAATTTGATTATCGGCCGATTTCTGTTCATCGTTACATCAATTCTGTAAAGAAGAAATATTTTAATTGATAAAAAAAATGGCTAGTTTCAAAATTTCCGCACCAGGAAGAATTGTCTTATCCGGAGAACACACAGCAGCATATGGAAAATATTATATTGCGACCAGCTTAAATCTCCGTACCACTCTCGAATTCTACGAACTACCTAATACGCTACAAAATTTTAGGATTGAATTCCCTAATGTTAATCTAACACGAAATATATCTTTAGAATTAGTTACACGCTTTTTTTCGCTTCCAAATATTGAAGACATTGTTTCAAATCCAGTCAAATTGCTTGAATACGTGAAATACTTTACCACTCTAAACGGTATGTGGATGATACACGAGCAGAGATTTAGCTTACAAATATTTTTTTCATGCTTTATTCTATCACTCACTGGGAAAAACTCAAGATAAAATCTTTTTACATAAAAGTGTCCACGGAATTACCCGTTGCCAATGGACTTGGTAGTTCGACATCGTTCGCGGTTTGTCTCGCAGGATGCTTTCTCCATTGGCAGCGTTTACAGAGTGGCTGTAATCATATTGAATTTAACAATGCTGAATTAGAGTCGATTATAAAATACACTGTGTCCTGCGAAAAAAATATGCAAGACTATGTATATGCGGAATTCGATGCCCATGTTTGCACATACGGCCATATAGTAAGATGTCGACGTATCGATCACATGTTATATGATATAGATTCCTCGGATTTGATAGAAATGTATATTCTACTGATCGATTCAACTATTAGTATAAATAAATGCATGCGAGAGGAACAAGTAGCATATCTGTGCAATAATTCTTCCGACTTTAATATTAAATTAGATGAATTAAACATCGTGGCAGGAGAAATGTATAATAATCTTATATCACTAAGTAATGCTATCAGAGAAGGCCATTTGGACTATATAACAATATTGGTATGTTTCTTGTTTTTAATTAACAGTTATATTATTTTACTTCTAATATTTTGCTGTGTTAACAAGACTCTGCAGTATTCTGCCAAAAAATGTATGTGTCTTATAACTAATATTTTTTCAGTTTAATATGATCAGGTCATGCGTTGAGAAGAATCACACATTATTAACTGAATATCGTTTGTCGGTTGTGGCATTTGATTTGATTTGCCAGAATGCAAAAAAGTTTGGATTCGCGGGAAAACTTACAGGTTTTACTACTGTGTATGCATACATTCTGCTACCACAGAACGTTAAAATTGATGACGAAATAACGAGTTTAACGGCGTACATGACACAAAGGACTTTCAGAGTCTCAAAAAGGATCAAAATTAATTGTGAAGGAGTGAGAATTGTTAATTGATTATATTAAAATGATTGCGATTATAAATGTTTATATTAAAGATAGCTTAAAGATTTCTTAATAACTTCGCGTCGTATTGAATTATGAAATCATAGATGAAAAATCATTGAATATTTTTCTTGTAAAATATATGGAAAAGTATTAATTTCTTTGTATTCTATCTTAGTTTAGTTTAAAAATATAAGCGATGCTGCGTTGACATAATGCGCTATAGTAAATATAAAAAAATTTTTAAGTTATAAATTAATTGATATAGAATGCTTCGTAATTTTTAAATTATATATAATGCAATTTGTGCTTAAAGAATGAATCGAGAATAGCTTTAAGCTAATAGGTAATAAAATTAAGCTATAGAATAGCTAAATATAAAAAAAATTTTAAGTTATAAATTAATTGATATAGAATGCTTCGTAATTTTTAAATTATATATAATGCAATTTGTGCTTGAAGAATGAATCGAGAATAGCTTTGAATATATTTTTTTCTGCAAAGTCTAAAAAAAGAAATCAAAATTATAAGAAATTGTGAAATATACAATTAGCATTATTTATTTCATAGATATATATTTGTTAGCTGCGAGATTTCCATATTACATGCCATTTCACGCATATCTTATATATGTATGTTTGTAAGAAAAATAAACGTAGTTCAGAAATTTCGGTTTAATATATTTTTCCTTTGTGTTGAGCATCCAGAATAGTATAAAACACTTTTTCTTTACTTTAAATTAATGAAATATAAAAATGGACAATTCTTTCTCATGAATTCTGTCAGTAAATACGCGAATCCTGACATTGTATCTTCAAAATTATAAATAGATAAATGAGAATGTCTAATCCGTAAAAATTTCTAACGATAAGTGATAAATAGAATTAATAGAAAATGAGAATTGTAATAGATTTCCGGTATATTTAATAAATTTTGTAAGAGAGCTATTTATTTTTTTATATTATATTTAAAATGGATATTTTTTATATTTGTTGTATGTAAAATTTATACTTAAACGATACATGCGAGTTTCAATACAATATTTTAAAACTATGATATCAAACATTATTGAAAACATGTCTTCGACATAAATGATTGTTTTACGATATTGATAATATTTCTTAAATTATGTATAAGAATATAACCAGTCTACTTAACTCTGATTGAAACATCAAAAAGTCTAACAGTAAATGATATAAAAAGTCATGACTTTAGGATAATGTTATATATATATATATATATATATATATATATATTTAAAAACAAAATCACGCAAAAATGTACTGGTTTGGATGCGATAACAAACTTTTAAACATTTATTATTATATGTACATAGTGACCTTTATTTTTCTTCTCTAGTTTAATATAAAAATTTAGCAATTAGAAACGTATAAAAATCAATCTTCGAGCAATGCTTTGAAACAAAAAGGCAAGACAATAATCAATTAATGAATAAAACAAGAGCATATAACGAGAATCTGATTGAATATGTAAGTACATTAATTTACGTATTTACTTTCTATGCATATCCATGTAATGTTTTATAATCAACGAGATATTTTTGTCATATAACTAACACTATACGCATTTATAACATTTACAGAACGAAAAAAAAAGAACAAATATAATAATATTGTATATAATTATATATAATTTCTAGAGCTTTCTCACATTACGAGAATATATTCTTCATGATTTTGATATATACTTATTTATAACAAATTGCGCAAATCTTATAATTCGCTGTTTTTTGTTCACAGCTCTGTAAAGAAGAAATATTTTAATTGATAGAAAGATGGTTTGTTTTAAAATTTCCGCACCAGGAAGAATTATCTTATCCGGAGAACACATAGCAGCGTATGGAAAACAGTTTCTTGCGACCAGCTTAAATCTTTATACCCATCTCGAATTCTGCGAGCTACCTAATACACCGGAATACAATATTAGAATAGAGTTCCTTAATGTTAATCTAGAACAGGATATATCTGTAAGAGAAATTGAATGCTTCCTTTTACGTGATAATGTTCAAGACATGATTTCAAATCCAATAAACATGCATGAATACGTTAAATACTTGATCACCGTTGTAAAATGTATGTGGGCGACACCCCAACAGAGAGTTGGCCTACAAATATTTTTTTCTTGCTTTATTCCATCGCTCACCGTGAACATCTCACGATAAGACCTTTTTGCATTAAAGTGTGGACAGAATTACCACTCTGCGATGGTCTTGGCAGTTCGACATTGTTCGCGGTTTGTCTCGCAGGATGCTTTCTCCATTGGCAGCGTTTACAGAGTGGTTGTAATCATATTGAATTTAACAATGCTGAATTAGAGTCGATTATAAAATACACTGTGTCCTGCGAAAAAAGTATGCTAGACTATACATTTGCGGAGGTCGATGTCCACGTTTGCACATACGGCCGAATAGTAAAATGTCACCGTAGCGATTACCAAATATTTAATATAGATCCAACGGATATGGCAGAAATGAAAATTTTACTGATCAATACCAATTTTCACCTAAATAAGTACACACGAGCGGAACAAATGGCAACGCTGAACGCTAGGACTGTCGATTTTCGTTCCATATTACTTGAATTAGAAATCGTGGCATTAAAAATGTATCAAAATCTTGAGTCACTAAGTAAAATTATCAGACAGGGCCATTTATTTAGAATTCCTCGTGAATACAATTTAACGGTAATTTTTAAAACTTTTATATGATTCTATTTATTATATTATATTCTTTAGACTTGCTGTATTGACAAGATTCTGCAATACATAATTATCTACTTGAAACTTCATCTATTTTATAACTAATTTTTTCAGATTTCTCAAATGATGTTATGCATTGATAATAATCAACAATTGTTAAATAAACTTCATTTGTCGGCTGAGACAATTGAATATGTTTGCAATATTGCAAGGAAGTATAATTTAGCGGGAAAACTTACAGGTTTTGGAGGTAATTATGTATTCGTGCTGATACCACCGAACGTTACTGATGAACAAATCAGTAATTTTACGGAGCAGTTGAGTGCAAACGGTTTCAAGATCCAAACTAGGACCACCATCAATTGTAGTGGAGTGAGAATTGATTGATTATATTAAACTTACCGCAATTATAAATGATTAAATTGTAACAACAACCCAAAACCTTGTAAAAGGATGTGAAAAGATTATTCGGAAACAAAATTTCTAAATGTTTAATTTTTCATTAGGCAATAACGTTACATAATTCATGAGCGTAAATTATTAAACACGATGCAAATCTCTAAATTATCGCATGTTTTACTTTTTAACACATAGAGAAAAAATTTAATTAAGTTAAACAAAAATAATATTTTCGGTATACTTTAGTATTATTGAAACAAGATATATGATAAGATTAATTTATTTTTATAAACATTCAGAGGAATTTACATACTTTTTTAACTTTTAACTTCATTATATTACGTTAAATTTCATTATTTAACTTGTAAATAGAAACTGGAAACCATAATAAAGATAATAAGATATTTGTTAAATTAGCATATGAATTACGTTATTGTTTAAAAAATGACAGCAAAGTGTTTTATTTTGTGCCATAAATGACTGTATAAGAATTACTACGATGTAAATTAACTACCAAAAATTGATTTGCACAATAGCTAGAGATTGCCTAAAGTAGCAAGATATCCATTTATACGATTTCCTTTCTTATATCTTTAGTTTCATATACTTAAAAAAAAAATATTTATTTGTATTCCATTTCTTTGTATCTTCAGTTTTATATACTATAAAATTATAAATTTAATGAAAAAATATGATTATATTAAAAGATATAGATCATAAGAGAATTATATTACGGAATAAATTTCTTCAGTCAAAGTTCGTCTTAAATATTATTAAGCCAAGTTTTTAGTCAAATTAAGTTTTGAATAAGAAAAATAGCGTTTTTTATATATTTTAGGTCAATTAAAATTATATTCATCAAATTTAACAATAAAATATTATCACTACATATTTGTATATCATTATACCGAGCAATATAATACAAAATAACAAGTACACGAGCGAAATACTGTAAAATAAAATAAATTGCATCAAAGAAATATATATATTTATATATTTATCGTATATGATATTACGCATTTGTACTTATACAAAATATATATACGTTCTAATACATATCTTTCAAAATTATATCATATATTATTTGAAACATGTCTACAAATGAAAAGAGAATTAATTTAGAATATTGAAAAGATTTTTTTTAATTATGTATAAGCATATAAGCTAACTATTTATCTCTGGTCAAAGCATCAAAACGTGTAAACAGTAAAACATACACAAAGTCATAGCATCGAGGTAATGTTATTATATATGTTTTATAACGAAATCAGTCATAGCTGACACACGAAAGTGTACTGATAATATAGAGACTGGTTTGGATGCGATAACAAACGTTTTAAGTTTTTACTATTATATATGACCTTATTTTTCTTGTCTACTTTAATATAAAAATTTAGCAATTAAAAAAGTATAAAGTTCGACTTTTGAGGAATACTTTGATAGAAAAAGTCGGGACAATAATCAATTGATTAGTGAAAACAAGAGAGTGTAACGAAAATCTGATGGAATATGTAAGTACATTAATTTAATTATTTAATTTGTATGCGTATACATTCGATAACTTAAAATCAATGTGATATTTTTGTCATATAATTGATACCATACGCATTTCTAACATTTACAGAACGCAAAGAAACGACAAATATAATTTCTAGAGCTTCCTCACATTACGAGAATTTATTTCTCACGGTTCTGATAAATATTTAGAAAGCCTGTGCAAATTTGATTATCCGCCGGTTTCTGTTCATCGTTATATCAGTTCTGCAAAAAAGAAATATTTTAATTGATAAAAGAATGGCCAAATTCAAAATTTCCGCACCTGGTAGAATTGTCTTATCCGGAGAACACATAGCAATATATGGAAAACAGTTTCTTGCGACCAGCTTAAATCTTCGTACCACTCTCGAATTCTGCGAGCTACTTAATGTACCAAAAAGCAATATTAGAATAGAGTTCCCAAATATTAATATAGAACAGGATATATCTATGGAAGAAGTTGAACTCTTCTGCTCTCGTCCTGATAATGCAGACATTATTTCAAATCCAAATGACATGTTTGAATACGTGCAATACATGATCACTGTTAGAAAGTGTATGTGGACGACAAACCAGCAGAGATTTAGCTTACACGTATTCCTTTTCTTACTTTATTCAATCTATTATCATGAACACCTCGAGATAAAACCTTTTCGCGTACGCTTGTTCACCGAAATACCCAACACAGTTGGTTTTGGCAGTTCGACATCGTTCACGGTATGTGTCGCAGCGTGCTTTCTTCATTGGCAGCGTTTACAAAGTGGCTGTAATCATATTGAATTTAACAATGCTGAATTAGAGTCGATTATAAAATACACTGTATCCTGCGAAAAAAGTATGCAAAAGTTTACATTTCCGGACGTCGATGCCCACGTTTGCACATACGGCAAAATAGTAAAATGTCAACGTATCGATTACAAAATATATAATATAGAGCCCATGGAAATGGAAGAAATGGATATTCTACTGACCGACTCCGATGTTAACCTAGATAAGTATACACAAGCGGAACAAATAGCAATGCTGAACGTTCAAACTCCTGCCAATTTTAATTCTATATTAAATAAATTAGAATTCCTGACAATAAATATGTATAGCAGTCTTAAATCATTAAGTGATGCCATCACTTCGACCAGTTTACATTTAGAGAGTGAAAGTTCTCTTCCCCCGAATGTGAATTATTGGGTATTTTTTTGTTTTTATTTAATAATTATATTATTCATTTATTATATTATATTCTTTAGTTTCATTGTGTTTACAAGATTCTGCAATACATAATTATCTAATAGAAAATGCATCTGTTTTATAACTAATATTTTTACAGTTTAAGAAGGTCACGTCACACATTAAGGATAATCAACAATTGTTGAAGAAATATAATTTGTCTGCTCAGAAATTTGATGATATTTGTCAGATTGCAGAAAAATATGAACTAGCAGGAAAATTTACAGGTTTTAATAGTAGATATGTATACACTCTACCACCACCAAACTGTGCTAGCAATAATGTGGTCATCAACTTTCAGCAGAATTTACTAAGAGAAAATTTCAAATTGCCAAAGGAAACCAGCATCAATTGTGAAGGAGTGAAAATTGAAAATTAATTATATCAAAATTATCACGATTATAACTGACTTAATAATAACAAATATTTAATTGTAAAAGTGTGTGACAAGATTATTAAATTAATCTCTATGATATTTTAAGGAAAGCAGGGCGAACAATACACTATTTTGTTTAATAAATACATATATATTCTGTTGTTTAAATGTGAAAAAGCTATGATATTGTAATCGATATTTAAATTCATATTTTCCAAACATTGCTATTATTTATTATTAAAAAATCGATCATGACACATACGCGGAAAAATATAAAATTTTGTTGCAACGAACGTTTTTCAATAACAATGTATTTATCATATTATATAAAATTTGTGCATATTTCTTTTTATACAGTATAATATAGTTTCTATTGTTGAAAAAAAGTATTATTCAGGTTTGTGTGTAGAGCCTTAAGAAAAGAGCAGTTCCAAACAAAATTTATGGCCATTTTGATAATATCTATAACAAAGACAACACACACATATACATTTAATTTTTGATGACTTCCTGTTCAACGTTATGTCTGTCTGTCTTTTTACAGTGCAAATATTTTTATTCATAAAAAAAATAATCAAATTCTAAATCTATATGATAACAAAAATGATTGTATTCATGTGACATAAAATAATTAAGATAATTACTTCCATTGGACATTGAAAATGTAATGACACTTTGATGAAAAAAATATTTATTTGTATTCCATTTCTTTGTACCTTCAGTTTCATATACTATAAAATTATAAGTCTTAATAAAAAAATAAAATTATATTAACATAGATCATATCGTAGAATTATATATTCCGGAATAATTTTATTCAGCCGAAATTCGTCATAAATATTATCAAGTCTAACCAAATTTTTAATTCAAATTAAGTTTTGAATAAGAAAAATAACGTTTCTTATATATTTTAGGTCAATTAAAATTATATTCATCAAATTTAACAATAAAATATTATCACCACATATTTGTATATCATTATACTGAGCAATATAATACAAAATAACAAGTACACGAACGAAATACTGTAAAATAAAATAAATTGCATCAAAGAAATATATATATTTATATATTTATCGTATATAATATTACGCATTTGTACTTATACAAAATATATATACGTTCTAATACATATCTTTCAAAATTATATCATATATTATTTGAAACATATCTACAAATGAAAAGAGAATTGATTTAGAATATTGAAAAGATTTTTTTTTAATTATGTACAAGCATATAAGCTAACTATTTATCTCTGGTCAAAGCATCAAAACATGTAAACAGTAAAACATACACAGAGTCATGGCATAGAGATAATGTTATTATATATGTTTTGAAACGAAATCAGTCACAGCTGAAACACGAAAGTGTACTGATAATATAGAGACTGGTTTAAATGCGATAACAAACGTTTTAAGTTTTTACTATTATATATGACCTTATTTTTCTTGTCTACTTTAATATAAAAATTTAGCAATTAAAAAAGTACAAAGTTCGACTTTCGAGCAATACTTTGATAGAAAAAGTCGGGACAATAATCAATTAAATTAGTGAAAACAAGAGAGTATAACGAAAATCTGATGGAATATGTAAGTACATTAATTTAAGTATTTAATTTGTATGCGTATCCATTCGATAATTTAAAATCAATGAGATATTTTTGTCCTATAATTGATACCATACGCATTTCTAACGTTTACAGAACGTAAAGAAACGAGAAATATAATTTCTAGAGCTTCCTCACATTACGAGAATATATTTCTCACGGTTCTGATAAATATTTACAAAGCCTGTGCAAATTTGATTATCCGCCGGTTTCTGTTCATCGTTACATCAGTTCTGTAAAGAAGAAATATTTTAATTAATAAAAGGATGGCTAGTTTTAAAATTTCCGCACCGGGTAGAATTATCTTAGCCGGAGAACACATAGCATTATATGGAAAAAAGTTTCTTGCGACCAGCTTAGATCTTCGTACCCATCTCGAATTCTGCGAGCTTCCTAACACGCCAGAAAACAATATTAAAATAGAACTCGTTAATATTAATCTAAAACGGAATATATCTTTAGAAGAAGTTCGGCTTTTCTGTTCTCGTTTTGATACTGCAGACATGATTTCAAATCCAATTGACATGCATAAATACGTGGAATACATGATCACCGTTAGAAAGTGTATGTGGACGACAGACCAGGAGAGATTTAGCTTACAGATATTCTTTTTCTTGCTTTATTCTATCTATTATCATGAACATCTCGAGATAAAACCTTTTGGCATAAAAGTGTCCACGGATATAGAAATCCTGGCAGGTCTTGGTAGTTCGACATCGTTTGCGGTATGTCTCGCAGCGTGTTTTCTTCATTGGCAGCGTTTACAGAGTGGTTGTCATCATACTGAATTTAGTGATGCTGATTTAGCGTCGATTAAAAGATACACTGTATCATGCGAAAAAAGTACGCTACACTATACATTTCCGGACGTCGATGCCCACGTTTGCACATACGGTCAAATAGTAAAATGTCAATGTATCGATTACAAAATGTATAATATAGATCCCACGAATATGAAAGAAATGGACATTTTACTGATCGACTCAAATTTTTGCCAAGATACGTACACAGAAACGAAACAAATCGCAACGCTAAAAGCTAATACTCCCGAATTTAATTCTATGTTAAATAGATTAGAAGTCGCGACAGAAGATAAATGTATTACAGTCTTAATTCATTAAGTAATTCCATCACACCGAACAATTTACGTTTAGTGAGTAAAAATTCTTTTTTCGAGAAGTTTAATTATTGGTCAACATTTTGTTTTATTCAACAATTATATTATTCAATTTATTATATTATATTCTTTAGTCTTGCTGCGTTGACAAAATTCTGCAATACATAATTATCTAATAGAAACTGTATCTGTGATATAACTAATACTTTTTAGATGTCTCGGGTCATGTCATCCATTGAGAATAATCAACGATTGTTGGAGAAATATAATTTGTCTGCTGAGAAATTTGATGATATTTGTCAGATTGCAACAAGATATAAATTAGCGGGAAAACTTACAGGTTTTACTATTACTAAATATGTATACGCTCTGCTACCACCAAAGCAGCACTTACAATTAAAAAAATTTCAGCAGCACTTACAATTAAGAAATTTTAATTACACAAAGCAAACCAGCATCAATTGTAAAGGTGTGAGAATTGAAAATTAATTATATCAAAATTATCACACACGATTATAACTGACTTAATAATAACAAATATTTAATTGTGTTTAAAAAGTGTGTGACAAGATTATTAAATTAATCTCTATGATATTTTAAGGAAAGTAGGACGAACAATACATAATTTTGTTTAATAAATACATATACATATATTCTATTGTTAAAATGTGAAAAAGCTTTAATATTCCAATCGATTTTTAAATTCATATTTTCAAAACACTGTTATTATTAAAAAAAATGATCGAGACGCGGAATAATATATATAACGTGAAAAAATATAAAATTTTGTTGTAACAAACGTTTTTGAATAACAATGTACATATTATCATATTATTTAAAATTTTTGCATATTTCTGTTTATTCACTATAATATAGTTTCTATTGTTGAAAAAAGATATTATTCAGGTTTGTGTGTGAAGCCTTGAAAAAAGTGCTGTTACAAACAAAATTTATGGCTATTTTAATAATATCTATAAGAGAGACAACATACACATAAACATTTAATTTTTTATGACTTACTGTTCAACGTTATGTCCTTCTTTTTACAGTGCAAAATATTTTTATGTATAAAAAAAATAATCAAATTCCAAATCGATATGATAACGAAAATGATTGTATTCATGTGATATAAAATAATTAAGACAATTACTTCCGTTGGGCATGCGCAAAAGATAGTGATAGTTTGATAGAAAAAAATATTTATTTGTATTCCATTTCTTTGTATCTTTAGTTTCATATACTATGAAATTATAAGACTTAATAAAAAAATAAGATTATATAAATATGGATCATATCGCAGAGTTATATTCCGGAATAATTTTATTCAGCCGAAGTTCGTCATAAATATTATAAGTCAAACCAAAAGTTTTTAAGTCAAATTAGGTTTTTAAGTTAAATTAAGTTTTAAACAAGAAAAATAGTGTTTTTATGTTTATATTTTAGGTCAATTAAAATTAAATGATCAAATTATACAATAAAATATAATTTACATTATCATATAAAACAATGAGATCGCAAGTAACAAGTATTCGAACGAGATTATAAAATAAACTCCATCAAAAAAATATATATTTTTACATTTATCGTATCGTATCACATTTATGATATCACGTACTTGTACTTACATACGAAATATATACGCGTTCTAATACATATCTTTCATAATTATATCATATATTATTCGAAACATGTCTGCAAATGAGGAGAATATTAATTTAAGAAATAAGAAGATTGCAAATACTTTTTAAATTATGATCATATAACCTAACAACTTATCTCTGATTAAAGCATCAAAACGTGCAAACAGTAAAACATACACAAAGTCATGGCATCGGGGTAATGTTATTATATATGGTTTAAAACGAAATCAGTCACAGCTGAAACGCGAAAGTGTACTAGTAATACAGAGACTGATTTGGATGCGATAACGTGCGTTTTAACTTTTTACTATTATATAATGGCTTTATCTTTCTTGTCTACTTTAATATAAAAATTTAGCAATTAAAATCGTACAAAGATCGACTTTTGAGCAGTACTTTGATAGAAACAGTCGGAACAATAATCAATTGATTAATGAAAACAGGAATATAACAAAAATCTGATGGAATATGTAAGTACATTAATTTAAATATTTAATTTTTTTTTCTATGCGTATCCATTTGATAACTTATAATCAATGAGATATTTTTGTCAATAACTTACACCATACGCATTTCTAACATTTACAGAACGAAAAGGAAGGGCAAATATAATTTCAAGAGCTTTGTCACATTACAAGAATATAATTCTTACAGTTCTGATAAATATTTAGAAGACCTGTGCACAAATTTGATTATCCGCCGGTTTCTGTTCATCGTTATATCAGTTCTGCAAAAAAGAAATATTTTAATTGATAAAAGAATGGCCAAATTCAAAATTTCCGCACCTGGTAGAATTGTCTTAACCGGAGAACACATAGCATTACATGGAAAAACGTTTCTTGCGACCAGCTTAAATCTCCGTACCACTCTCGAATTCTACGAACTACCTAATACGCCAAAAAATATTAAGATTGAATTCCCTAATGTTAATCTATATCAAGATATATCTTTAAATTTAGTTAAACCCTTTTTTTCGCTTTCAAATGTTAAAGACATAATCTCAAATCCACTGAACTTGCGTGAATACGTGAGATACTTGATCACCGTTGAAAAATGTATGTGGACGGCACAGCACGAGCTATATAGCTTAGAGATATTCTTTTTCTTGCTTTATTATATCGCTCACCGTGAACATCTCAAGATAAAACCTTTTTACATAAAAGTGTCCACGGAATTACCCGTTGCCGCTGGTCTTGGTAGTTCGACATCGTTCGCGGTTTGTCTCGCAGCGTGCTTTGTTCACTGGAAGCATGTACAAAGTGGTAATTACAATTTTAAATTTGATGATGCTGATTTGGAGTCGATTAAAACATACACTGAATTCTGCGAAAAAAGTACGCAAGTGTATGCATTTGGGGTCGATGCCCATGTTTGCACATACGGCAAAGTAGTAAAATGTCGACGTACCGATCACAAAACATATAATATAGATTCCCAAGATATGGAAGAGATGGAAAAAATGCCAATTATACTGATCGACTCAAAGTTTTATCATTCTAAGACCTTACGTGCGGAACAAATAATGAAGAACGCTGTGGCTACCGATTTTGATAATATATTAAATACATTAGAACTCCAAGCAATAAATATGTTTCGCCATCTTAAGAAAATAAGTGATATGATGGAAAAGTCCATTTTAAAAGGAGAATCGATTAGCTTCGATTACGTGGTATTTTCTTTAATAATTATATGATTTTATTTGCTATATTATATTCTTTAGTTTATACAGTCTTAACAAGATTCTGCAGTACATAATTATCTACTAGAAACTGCATCTGTTTTATAACTATCATTTTTTTCAGATGCCTCATCTCATATTTTTGACTCAAAATAATCAACAATTGTTAGATAGATATAAGTTGTCGGCTGAGGCATTTGAAAATGTTTGCAAGATTGCAAGGATGTCTAATTTAGCGGGAAAACTTACAGGTTTTGGAGGTAAATATGTATTCGTTCTGACACCACCGCACATTACTTCTGAACAAATATTTGAATTTATGATAAAATTGCGTGCACGCAGTTTCAATCCAACATTTACGGACATCAATTGCAGTGGAGTGAGAATTATTAATTGATTATATCAAAATTATCACGATTATAAATAATTAAATAATAGCAATTATCTAATTGTAAAAGCAATTAACAAGATTATTCGAAAACAAAATTTTTCTAAATGTTTAATTTCTTATTAGGCAATAACGTTACATAATTCATGAGCGACAATTAATAAACACGATGTATTGTAAATCTCTCAATTATCGTATGTTCTACTTTTTAACACATAGAGAACAAATTTAAATAAACTATACATAAAAATATTTTCGATATACTTTAGTATTATTGAAACAAGTGGTATATATACAAAAAGATTAATTGATTTTATAAACACTTGAAGGAATTTATATAATTTTCACTTTTAACATGATTTATATTTCATTATTTAACTTAATTATTTAACTTGTAAGAAGTGTAACTGGAAACCATAATAAAGATAATAAGGTATTTGTCGAATTGGTATATAAATTATTCTTTGAAAAAATAACAGCAATGTTCTCTTTTGTGCCATAAATGTCTATATGAAAATTACTCTAATGCCAAGACGTAAATTAATTACAACAATTACTACAACATGATCGCACAATATCTAGATGTTGTCTAAAGCCACAAAATATGCATTTATACGATTTTCTTTCTTATATTTTTAATTTCATATACTTAAAAAAATAATTATTTGTATTCTATTTCTTTGTAATTTCAATTTTATATACTATAAAATAATAAGATTGAATGAGAAAATATAAATAATATTAATATATATCATATCATATGCAATTATATTGCGAAATAATCCTCTTCAGTCGAAATTTGTGATAAATATTATTAAATCAATAAATCAAGTCTTTAGGTCAAATTAATTTTTAAACAAAAATAGCGTTTTTCATAACGAGTACTCGAACAAGGTGTTTTATAAAATTAACTGCATCAAATTAATATATGTATATTTATACGCGTTCTAATACATATCTTTTAAAGTTATGATATCAAATATTATTTGAAACATGTTTGCGAATAAGAAGAGAAATGATTTAAGATATTGAAAATATTACTTTAAATTATGTATAAACATATATATAGAACCAAATATCTTTGATTAAAGCATCAAAACGTCTAAACAGTAAAACACACACAAAGTCATGGCATCGAGGTAATGTTATTATATATGTTTTGAAACGAAATCAGTCACAGCTGAGACGCGAAAGTGTACTGGTAATATAGAGACTGGTTTGGATGCGATAACGAACGTTTTAAACTTTCATTATTATATATAAACATTTATTTTTCTCGTCTAGTTTAAATAAAAATTTAATAATTAAAAATATATATATATATAAAGACTTTTGTGCGGTACTGTAAAGAAAAAGTCAAGACAATAATCAATTAAATAATGAAAACAAAAGCATATAACGATAAACTGATATATATCATATCATATGTAAGTAACATTAATTTAAGCATTTACTTTGTATGCGTATCCATTCGATAACTTATACTCAACCAGAAATTTATGTCAAATAACAAATACTTACGAATTTTTAATACTTACAGAACAAAAAAAAATATAATTTCGAGAGCTTCCTTATATTGCAAGAGTATATTTCTTATGGTTATAATAAATATTTAGAAGACCTGTGCAAATTTTATTATCCGCCGGTTTCTGTTAATCATTACATCAGTTCTGTAAAGAAGACATATTTTAATTGATAAAAGAATGGCTAGTTTTAAAATTTCCGCACCGGGTAGAATTTTCTTATCCGGAGAACACACAGTATTATATGGAAAAAAGTTTCTTATGACCAGCTTAAATCTTCGTACCATTCTCGAATTCTACGAACTACCTAACACGCCAGAAAACAATATTAAAATAGAGCTCGATAATATTAATTTAAAACGAGATATATCTTTCGAAAATGTTAAATGCTTCTTTTTTTGTTCTGATGTTAAAAACATAATTTCAAATTCACTGAATTTGCATGCATACGTGAGACACTGGGTCACCGTAAAACGTATGTGGACAACACACCAGGAGCTACGTAGCTTACAGATATTCTTTTTCTTGCTTTATTCTATTCTTCACAACGAATATCTCACGATAAGACCTTTTCGCATAAAAGTGTCCTCGAATATACCCATCAGAGCAGGTCTTGGCAGCTCGACATCGTTCGCGGTTTGTCTCGCAGCGTGCTTTCTTCATTGGAAGCATCTACAAAACGGTAATCACACTATTAAATTTAATAATGCTGAATTAGAGACGATTAAAAGATACACTGAAACCTGCGAAAAAAGTATGGAAATATATGCATTTGGGGTCGATGCCCATGTTTGTACATACGGCCAAATGGTAATATGTCAACATAGCGATTACATAGAATATAAAATAACAGATTCCACGGATATGGCAGAAATAGCAATTCTACTGATCGACTCAAATTTTTATAAAAATAAGTGCTTACATGCGGAACAAATGGCAAAGCTGATGGCTACGAGTCTCTTATTTGATTCTATATTATATGAATTAGAACTCTTGGCATTATCTATGTTTAAGTATTTTAAGTCACTAAATGATATCATCAGACAGAAGAAATCTTCATTTAAACTTTCTCGTGAACACATTACAAAGGTAATTTTTTAAACTATTATATAATTCTATTTATTATGTTATATTCTTTAGTCTTGCTGTGTTGACAAGATTCTGCAGGACATAATTATCTACTGGAAAGTGCATCTGTTTCGTAACTAACATTTTTTTCCGAAGATTAATTTCACATCATGCATTGAGAAGAATCAAGAATTATTAACTAAATATAATTTGTCGGCTAAGGCATTTGAAAATGTTTCCAAGATTGCAAGGAAGTTTAATTTAATGGGAAAACTTACAGGTTTTGGAGGTAAATATGTATTCGTTCTGATACCACCAAACGTTCGTAGTGGTAAATTCAGGAATTTTAAGGAGCTGTTGAATGAAAACGGTTTCAATATCCAAACAGGGACCTCCATTAATTGTAGTGGAGTGAGAATTATTAATTGATTATATCAAAATTATCACGATTATAAATAATTAAATAATAGCAATTATATAATTGTAAAAGCAATTAACAAGATTATTCGGAAACAAAATTTTTCTAAATGTTTAATTTCTTATTAGGTAATAACGTTATATAATTCATAAGCGACAATTAATAAATACGATGTAAATCTCTCAATTATCGTATGTTCTACTTTTTGACACATAGAGAACAAATTTAAATAAACTATACATAAAAATATTTTCGATATACTTTAGTATTATTGAAACAAGTGGTATACGAAAAGATTAATTGATTTTATAAACACTTGAAGGAATTTATATAATTTTCACTTTTAACATAATTTATTGTAATATAAATCATTATTTAATTTAATTATTTAACTTGTAAATAACTGGAAACCATAATAAAGATAACAAGGTATTTGTCGAATTGGCATATGAATTATGTTATTTTTTGAAAAAATAACAGCAATATTCTCTTTTGCGCCATAAATGTCTATATGAAAATTACTATATTGCCAAGGCGTAAATTAATTACAACAATTACTACAATTTGATTCGCCTAATATCTAAAGCAACAATATATACATTTACACGATTTCCTTTCTTATATATTTAGTTTGATATGCTTAAGAAAAATATTTATTTGTATTCCATTTCTTTGTAATTTCAGTTTTGTATACTATAAAATCATAAGATTAAATGAGAAAATATAAATAATATTTATATAGATCATATCATATGCAATTATATTCCGGAATGATCCTCTTCATTCGGAATTTGGGTTAAATATTATTAAATTAAATCATGTTTTTAAGTCAAATTAATTTTTTAACAACAAAAATGGCATTCTTCGTAACGAGTACTCGAACAAGATGTTTTATAAACGAAATTGCATGAAAATAATATATGTATATTTAGACACGTTCTAATACATATTTTTTAAAGCCATAATATCAAATATGATTTGAAACATGTTTGCGAATAAGGAGAGAAATGATTTAAGATATTGAAAATATTACTTTAAATTATGTACAAACATATATATAGAACTAACAATAAGTATCTTTGATTAAAGCATCAAAACGTCTAAACAGTAAAACACACACAAAGTCATGGCATCGAGGTAATGTTATTATATATGTTTTGAAACGAAATCAGTCACAGCTAAGACGCGAAAGTGTACTGGTAATATAGAGACTGATTTGGATGCGATAAAACGAACATTTTAAACTTTCATTATTATATATAGACATTTATTTTTCTCGTCTAGTTTAAATAAAAATTTAATAATTAAAAATGTAATAAGACTTTTGTGCGGTACTTTAACAAAAGAGTCAAGACAATAATCAATTCATTAATGAAAATAAGAGCATATAACGAGAATCGATAGAATATGTAAGTAACACTAATTTAAGCATTTACTTATTTGTATGCGTATTCATTCGACAACTCATACTCAACCAGATATTTATGTCAAATAACTAATACCTTACGAATTTCTAACACTTACAGAACGAAAAGAAAAGACAAATATAATTTCTGAAACTTCCTCATATTGCGAGAATATATTTATCAAGGTTCTGATAATATTTAGGAGACCTGTGCAAATTTGATTATCCGCCGGTTTCTGTTCATCGTTACATCAGTTCTGTAAAGAAGAAATATTTTAATTGGATGGCTATATTTAAAATTTCCGCACCAGGTAGAATTGTCTTATCCGGGGAACACACAGCATTATATGGAAAAAAGCATTTCTAACATTTACAGAACGAAAAGAAAGGACAAATATAATAATATTGTATATAATTATATATAATTTCTAGAGCTTTCTCACATTACGAGAATATATTCTTCATGATTTTGATATATACTTATTTATAACAAATTGCGCAAATCTTATAATTCGCTGTTTTTTGTTCACAGCTCTGTAAAGAAGAAATATTTTAATTGATAGAAGGATGGTTTGTTTTAAAATTTCCGCACCAGGAAGAATTATCTTATCCGGAGAACACATAGCAGCGTATGGAAAACAGTTTCTTGCGACCAGCTTAAATCTTCGTACCACTCTCGAATTCTGCGAGCTACCTAATGAACCAAAAAGCAATATTAGAATAGAGCTCGATAATATTAATTTAAAACGAGATATATCTTTCGAAGATGTTATACGCTTCTTTCTTTGTTCTGATGTTGAAAACATAATTTCAAATTCACTGAATTTGCATGCATACGTGAGACACTGGGCCACCGTAAAACGTATGTGGACAACACACCAGGAGCTATTTAGTCTACAGATATTATTTTTCTTGCTTTATTCTATTCGTCACTGTGAACATCTCACGATAAGACCTTTTTGCATTAAAGTGTGGACAGAATTACCACTCTGCGGTGGTCTTGGCAGTTCGACGTCGTTCGCGGTTTGTCTCGCAGGATGCTTTCTCCATTGGCAGCGTTTACAGAGTGGTTGTAATCATATTGAATTTAACAATGCTGAATTAGAGTCGATTGTAAAATACACTATGTCCTGCGAAAAAAGTATGCTAGACTATACATTTGCGGAGGTCGATGCCCACGTTTGCACATACGGCCGAATAGTAAAATGTCAACGTAGCGATTACCAAATATTTAAAATAGATCCAACGGATATGGCAGAAATGAAAATTTTACTGATTAATACAAATTTTCACCTAAATAAGTACATACGAGCGGAACAAATGGCAACGCTAAACGCTACGACTGTCGATTTTCATTCCATATTACTTGAATTAGAAATCATGGCATTAAAAATGTATCAAAATCTTGAGTCACTAAGTAAGATCATCAGACAGGGCCATTTATTTAAAATTCCTCGTGAATACAATTCAACGGTAATTTTTAAAACTTTTATATGATTCTATTTATTATATTATATTCTTTAGACTTGTTGTATTGACAAGATTCTGCAATACATAATTATCTACTTGAAACTGCATCTATTTTATAATTAATTTTTTCAGATTTCTCAAATGATGTTATGCATTAATGTCAATCAACAATTGTTAAATAAACTTCATTTGTCGGCTGAAGCATTTGAAAATGTTTGCACGATTGCAAGGACGTATAATTTAGCGGGAAAACTTACAGGTTTTGGAGGTAATTATGTATTCGTGCTGATACCACCGAACGTTATTGATGAACAAATCAGTAATTTTACGCATCAATTGAGTGCAAACGGTTTCAATATCCAAATTAGGACCATCATCAATTGTGGTAGAGTGAGAATTCATTGATTATATTAAACTTACCGCGATTATAAATGATTAAATTGTAACAACAACCTAAAACCTTGTAAAAGGATGTGAAAAGATTATTCGGAAACAAAATTTCTAAATGTTTAATTTTTCATTAGGCAATAACGTTACATAATTCATGAGCGTAAATTATTAAACACGATGTAAATCTCTCAATTATCGTATGTTCTACTTTTTAACAAATAGGGAACAAATTTAAATAAATTATACATAAAAATATTTTCGATATATTTTAGTATTATTGAAACAAGTGGTATACGAAAAGATGAATTTATTTTATTAAACATTCAAAGGAATTTACGTATTTTTTCAAAGAAATTTACACACTTTTTTCACTTTTAACTTCATTATATTACGATAAACTTCATTATTTAACTTGTAAAAAGAAATTGGAAACAATAATAAAGATAATAAGGTATTTGTCAAATTGGAATATGAATTATGTTATTTTTTGAAAAAATAACAGCAATGTTCTCTTTTGCGCCATAAATGTCTATATGAAAATTACTATATTGCAAAGGCGTAAATTAATTACAACAATTATTACAATTTGATTCGCACAATATCTAGATGTTGTCTAAAGTAACAAGATATGAATTTTTATTTCCTTTCCTATATCTTCAGTCTCATGTATTAAAGATGTAACTATTCATAAAAAAATATGTAATTATTCATAATAATGAAGAAAAAGATATGAAATCGTACAGCTTCAATATTCTCGAGCCAAAGTTAATGAAATATATTATTTCGAAGTAAGCTTTCATAAGTGAAATCTGTAAAATAACACAGACTGCGATAATTTCATTTTATGTTATATTTTAATTATTTACTGATTAACGAGAAATTATAATTTTTTTCGGATTTATATTGCATTTATATATTATGAAATTATGCAAATTAAATAACATATATGTTGTGTATCAATGCAAATAAATTAATGACGATTTGTCTGATTGTTAATAACAATTAAAACATTTTATTATTTTCTAATATTATATAAATATGTATAATTATAATTATTATGCATTAGTTTTTTATTGCCGATTACAGTTTGATTATCATACGAAAGCTTTAACATTTTAATCGATATATAAAATTCATATCTTTAAATCAAAGCACAGTTATTATTAAAAAAATCAGTTATAGTCGAGAATAATAAAACGTAAAAGAATATAAAATATTGTTGTAACGAACAGTTCTTCATTAACTATGTGTTTCTATTTTGTCTACAATATAGTTTCTATTGTTGAAGAAAATGTGTGATTCAGACTTGTATTATGTGTTTTGATCTTGATAGAAGAGTTGATACAAATGCAATTTATAGTTATTTGATAATAAATGTATATAAGAGAGAACGACATACACACACATACGTACACATTTAATGTTTTACGATTTACTGTTCAAAGTTATATCCATCTTTTTACTATGTAAAATTTTAATTAATAATAAGGATGATTAAATTAAAAGTCTATATAACAAAGAAAATTATTATACTGAGACGATGTAAAATAATTAAGATAATTACTTCCATTGAATATGAGCAAAATGTAGTGATGAAAAAATATATATATTTGTATTCCATTTTTTTGTAATTTCAATTTTGTATACTATAAAATTATAAGATTTAATAAGAAAACACAAATTATATTAATATAGATCATATTATATAGTATTATATTCCGGAATAATCCTCTTCAATCGAAGTTTGTGATAAATATTGTATTATTAAATCAAATCAAGTTTTGAAGTCAACTAATTTTTTTTAGTAGTTATTCATTTTTAAATTTAATTAAGTTCCTAAATTTCAATTTTTTGTTAAAAACAACATAAGTTCTTTTTTTCTACATCCTTACATTTATTTACTTGGAAAATCTCAATTCCATCAGATAAATATTGTTATTTTCTCACATCTGGTTATCTTATCACTTTGTCCATTTTTTTTTCTTTTCTAATCTTTATGTAAGCTTATACTTTTGTACTCCAACTTGCTTCTTGTTGTCGAAAAATCATACAATTCATCATAAATAGTCGCGGGTGACGATCGATCATCGCATAAGCAAGAGCTGACCTACCCTTAACAACGTCAACATAGAATACGTACCGCAGAGGGATGTACGCATGCTCGACGTTATTCGCTCCTTCCCTTCAGGAACTGCATCGTGTAGGGATAATGCCTTACGAGCGACACTGCGGCGGGCAAATGCAGCTCGCGTGGACTCGCCATCCTTTCGGTGCTTTTTTGCACGTAATCCAGAGGAATTGAGGAGACAGACGTTTACATGTTTTACGCAAAAATGAGGGAAAATGTAAGTAAATACATATATATATAAAACGTGCAAATTTATACAAAATATTTGTCAAATTCTTGCGATAAGTATTACATTGCATAGTGAATAGGCATAAGCATTCTGGAATTACGAAAGGAGATTATTAGTTGAGAGAGAGAGAGAGAGAGAGATAATAAAATTTATGTATCTTTTTTCTTTACTTTCTTAATTATATTATAATCTTTAGATTGAAAATCAAGCATTATTTATGGAAAACATTTAAAAGGTAGGAATAAATAAATTGAGATAAATGAATGATATCAGGAATATGCAAACATTTGTGAAAATTAAATTCTGTTCTTTTTTATATATATATATAAGGGATAATTGATTTTGTACAGAGCATATAAACATTATTTCTTTACAGGACAGAACTGCACTATGTTTCTTGTTGATACTTGCGTTATGTACGAGAGTATATTCGACGAACGCCAGACACATAATTGCTAAGAGAAATTATAGTGACCAAAGTGTAAGAGGCTATCTGGCGGAGGTAAGGCGATTATAAAAGAGAAAACTTATTATATTATAACAAAATTGTTTACTCTTGTGACTTTGTGCAAACGAGCAATAGAATAAGAAATAAATGCAAAGAAAAGAACAAGAAAATCCCTTGTAAACATTTAAACATACAACTCTATATTATATGTATTAAGCAAAATTAAAATTCTCTCGATTTAATAAAAATAAAATTAAAATATATACATATAATTCTATTAACTTATTATATTGTAAATATTGATCATATGTAATATAGATAATAGAAATGTTTTTGTCATTAAATTAACAATTTTATATAATTTACGAATTATAATACTCAAAAGAAAGTGAACTGATTAAAAGTTATACTTGTCAACTATTACGTTAATTAAGAAAATTATATAGGTTTTATCAACAGTCCCAAATTTAGAATGACATTGAAAGAGAATTAAAGCTTCTTACACAACGAGCTATCGATGTTTCAGAGGACCTGTTGGTGGAACGAGGTATGCAAGGAAGAATTTCATAGTAAGTTTCGATGCCGTTGCCCAAGATGGTCTTATTGCCGTGCGCCAGGGAGATATTATGATGCGCATTGCAGCATGACACGCACAGGCTACATATGGACCCAACCGGAAACCTCGTTGAGCCTCGAAATCGATAAGTAAACGGCGCCGTGGAAAGCTAAACCTAAAAAAAAGTAGGTGAATTAAAAATCTTTATAAGAATTTATAATATTTTAAAATACATGCACACATTTTTTTATATAATTAAAAGTAAGATTTTTACCTTTATTCGAATTCATTTCTATCCCAGATATTTTTTATTCGCACTAAAAGTAATCCGAAAACAACCATAACGTACGTGCATTTTAAAAATAAATTAAATAAAATGTAATTATTTTTTTATTAGAGTATTACATATTCGACTTAATTTCCAACAAAATCTCAATTTCTTTTAAATAATTGTTTAATATTTAATTATATTGGAAATAGAAAAAAATTTATCAAAATATTTTTAAACCAATCTCTTTTAATTAATTATCAAATTAAACAAAAATAAACTGTCTTTAATTAACGTAATTCGTTCATTTTTTTATAGGTATGGCATTACAAAGGAAATCAAATTTTTCCCCTGTAAAATCAAAATCGGCAATTGTTAGAATTTCCGCAGATTGTTTACTCATCGGATTAAATATATGATGTGATTGTTCAAAATGTAATTTTCTATTAGCAATTTTATTTGAGAAAAAAAATGGAAATTCGTAACATATTCAAAGAATGGTGTTCGAAAGACTTGAGAGCAATATAATTTGTATCAGCACATCGATGAACACGCTGCCAAGAATTTATAATTATTGCGTTATAAATATATAATAATATATAAGCTCGTTGTGATTAATAAAGTTCTGATGAAGTAACTTGTGACTAATTCATCAAGTATAACACAGATTTATTTGAGATTTGTTTTTTTATATTATATAGAATTATAGAGCAATATTTCTTCATTTCATAATTTATACAAAAATATATATAATTAACAAAAATGTTTAGTTATGTGACAAATCTTCATCTTGAAAAATAATATCAAACTTATACCATTGTGCGTGTCTGTATTAAACATTGCCACGCATTACCGAGAGTTATTGATTGCTCTGTGAATAGAGATAAAAACTCTGACGTCAACGGTTTCCAGGATACGTTACCTAATGTTCCTTTCCACTTCCCCGGGAATAGTGAGCAGGACACCTGCGCGTAAATATCGATTGACGCCCACCTGTCTGATTCAACCGGCAAGTCCTTTCTCAAAATCTTCAAGTAGAGAACAGTGCTTCGGTGAAAGTCAGTGTAAAGGCCAGCTGTGTTTCATCAGCTCGGTATTTTTCTTTTCAGTCTTATTATTAATGAAAACAATTGTTCGTGATCATGTTCAAGTTTAATCATATTATAGCAAAAGATAATTAAAAAATTATATAAAATTAATCACGTTATCCCATTTATATCTGAGAATCTCAATTATATATCTCCCTTTAATGTATCTTCGCATATAAAATTCTATTATGTCACGTATTGGTATTATTGTAGTTTCTAATATTTTTAATTGCATTTGTCTAGACAATGTTACATCGAGTTGCAAAATAAAGCAATTATTCAGAGATCCACGAAAATAATTGATGTAATCATCGATTGGTCATTGAATTCTCGAACGTTTTTACGTATTCCGAGAATCACGAATTTTTTTAATTTCTCGTTTATTCATGTCGAGCGATTAATCGATTCCCTCTTGTCTTGTACTTGTTGCTCTCGAAGATATATTTTCGAATCGTGTTCATTTAAACTCTTCGAGCGCATGCGTGTACTATCGATTCGACATCTCGCCCTGGACCTCATCAGCTGCGAAATTTACAGAGGAGGAAAATAACGAGATGGCGGACAAATACAATCAGTTGCCTCGATTTCTCTCGGTGCTTGCGATAATATTATTCAGAGGTGTTACATCTGACATCGATGAAGGCTTCGATGGAAATCATTTCAACAGACTCGACCCTGAATCCGAAGCTCTTTATCGTCTTTCCCAAGTACGTATATACGTATAAAGATTTATAATATAATTTCTATACGTCGCAATATTTTAGACAATGTTCATATGCGCATAAACTTGCAAGATTAATAAACAACACACGTTCTATTTTTATTTTATATTTTAAATCACGTAATGATATTGAAAAAATTATGTTTCGACATTTATTTACTGCAATGCCTTCTTTATATTTTAATTGCATTAAAAAAAATAACGATAATATTAATTAAAATTAAGTATAATTTTTTTATTTACATTGTAATGGTATGATAATTCCATCATATGATCATAAATTATTTTCATTGTTAGAATCAATTTCCGGAATCCTACAATTATGCGCCGCTGCATCCCGTTGAAAATCATTCCTGGCGAAGTCCCGAAAATGTCGGCGAGATTTCTGGAGTCGCAGTGGACCCATCGGGAAATCCCGTGATCTTTCATCGGGGAGATCGAACATGGAATTATGAGTAAGTATCATAAAATAAATTAACAAGTAAAAATCAAAAAGAGCGCAAAGCAACTTATGCTTTTGAACATAAGAAAAAAAGCAACGATTATTAAAGAATTTTTAAAAATACTTACTTGTATTATATATTTATTTTATATAACAAAAATAGAATATATATGTAACACTATATTGTACAATAGGTAATTTTCAAGATAAATTTATTTGAATGTACAATTATTTGTTATAATGAGTTTATAATGTAAAATATTCTCGTGTCTTTTATAATACATCTAATGCGAATTTTCAGAACGTTTAACGAAAACGCAGAATATCAAGAATATAAAAGCCCTATTCATAGCAACACAGTATTAACATTAGATCCTAAAACCGGCGATGTTATTCGCGGCTGGGGAAATCATACGTTTTATTTACCACACGGGATTCACATCGATAGCCTTGGAAACATATGGTTGACCGATATTGCTCTTCATCAGGTATTCAAGGTATGTAGAAAAATATCACAGAATCTATTTTAAGACACAAACAGTTTTAATAATTGTTCTGAGTAAAAACAGTTGGCGATTGCTATTAAAAGTATTAATAAATTACAGTATTCGGCCTCCGGAGTTCCTCGACTGATCCTCGGTCAACGATTCGAACCTGGAAGCGACATGAGACATTTTTGCCAACCAACTTCGGTCGCAGTTTTACCGAGTGGCGAAATTGTTGTCGCTGATGGATATTGCAATAATAGGATAGTACTGTTCGACAAAAGAGGCATTCCTCTGTACAGCATTGGCGAGCGTAGGTTTCATATTATTCATGTTAATATTAGACTCTACCTTGAGTTTTCGCTTATATCGATTTTTCAAAGTACAATTTTATGACTACAATTAATAACTATAAATAACATTAATAAAAATGTAAGAATTTGCAATTTTTATTTGATCTTCTTCGTTATTTAATTCATCTACTTTTAATGTCGTAATGAGAAGATGATAATTCTCTCTTGCTTATAAAAATATACATATATATACCTGTATATAAATTGAACAAGATACTTCAAAAAATAAAATAAATGTATTTACACTTTTAGATTGGATATCCTTAAGAATTCCGCATGCCTTGACGATTTTGCCAAACAGACAAGTGTGCATTGCTGATCGTGAGAATTGGAGGATCGTCTGTTTGGATGTGATACCTTCCGATATGAATCGAGATCTCGAACCTTCATATTCCATTCGTCATCGACAATTTGGTCGCATATTCGGTATCACATCGCATCGTAAGTAATTCAATACGACAAATATTTACAATTTATTGCAATATTATTATTGCATCAAAATTAACAGTACATTATTCTTAACTATAATTATATGTATTTAAGAAATTTATTAATTTAAATACGCAAAGCAAAAATATAACAATAAAATTATAATTATCATTATTATCAATAATTTTAGGTGGTTTTATTTATGCTGTCAACGGTATGACTGGAAACATACCGATCAAAGGTTTCACTATCGATTCGATAAATCGAAACGTAACAGAAATCTGGGGTCCGGAATCTTCGGTAAGTTACATTTTACATTCGCAATGCATGTAATAATTTTCAAATTTTATATTATAAATATCTTGATATATATTTCAAAATAAATTGTTCCACATCTCTCTCTCTCTAAAATAAGCATATATATTATATTTGTTTCAGTCTTTCGCGATGCCTCATGCCATCGCCGTATGTCCGTATGGTAGAGCACTTTATGTATCAGAGATTGGACCCAATAAATTATGGAAATTTGATCTACTGCAAACTTAACTAATGTAAAAATTAAACAAATAATATTGCAAAATATATTGAGCGCCGAAATCTATAATGTCGTATATTGTTACCTGATCCTGGAGTGAACTAAAAATTAGAATTCACAAAAACAGTAACATTTATTTCACCTCTTCCAGCATCTTATTACGTTTCAAATCTTAATGTTGCATATAATATTTGCAATAATCGTACCTTCGAATCTGAGATATTTTATGAACAACACAGAAATGTAATTTTCTCTATATAAAAGGTAAAAAATGCAAACAAAATTTTTACACTTTCCTTATTTTATATTAATTTGATATATTTAACATTATAAAGGCGAAAATTAATATCATAATACAGATTTTTGTAAAAGAAAAATTATTTTCAGTTTTTAATACAAAGAATATCGTTCAATCGAATATGTCATGCATATAAATGTAATTTAAAAAAGAATTATTAATCGTGAATCAGTAATCTATATTTAAGGTTTTATTTAATTCGAGAATTTATAACCAATGAAATAAATGCGTAATATTAATTCTACAACGTTATTTGCAAATAAAAATAAAAGTAATAAAATATTTTTTGTTACAAATATTGCTTGCTTTTTTGAATGTCTTAATATCCTAAAATGCTTATCTGTTTTAACCGAGATAATTGATAATTATTACAAAGATTATAATATTATATGTTTGTCAAATATTATGTAATTGTACATATATCCGATGCATTAACAGATATTTACATTGCAGAATATTTTAAAGATAATATCAATAAAAAAGACGATACATATTTGTAAAATAAAAAAATTTCATATGTATGCACATATACATATATATAAGTATCATGTAAGTGTAAATGTTACAATATTTACACTAATCAGATTGTTTCTTTCCAAAATGGAGCAAAAATACAGAACATGATATAATAGTGAATATGTCTAAGATATCAATTTCTTATGTTTTTTTATTTAATTTTATATAATATGTATATTGTGTTTCAATTGTCTCTTATTTTTATAGAAATAATTAATTCATGTTATTAGAACAAATATCTATCACATTGTCAAAGTTATTACATGAATATATTCTACTATTATGAATGACATATCTCTCATATGATAAAAATATTTAAATATTTATATTTGATTAAATATTAAATTAGATATTAAATTTGTTCATATATACTCTATATATAATATAAAACATAATATATTATATTATATTTTATATATTAAATATATATGTATATTTCTATCATTAATTTTTATAATAATAATAATAGTAATAATAATAAAATATATTGTACATTTATATAATTTTATAATATGAAAAATGCCATTATGTCATGGATTTAAAAATATCGTTTTAACGGTTCTTCTATAATAAGACGCCTAAAACGTTATTCTTATGATTATCATAATTAGGAAAAAAACAATCGTCATTATTTTATTTGCACTAATAACAACTTATATGATACTTATACATGTCGGAATTTCAGAAAATATGTAATCATATACGTGTTTGCTTACGTGTAACATATACAGACAATACTTTTATACGGCAAATATAAAAAATACTTTGACGTCGTACGACATAATTAAAGTATATAATTATATACAGTGCTCATTCCTCAGATTATTTAATACAATTCCACACCATATAATTTTGACGGTTTTCTGTCGCAGAATAAATCTGAAATCGATGTGTGAATTTCTGTGATTTTCTTCACGTTTACATATATTCATTTCGGATTCATCTGTTTCAGGATAAAAAGTTCAAGAAGACCAGCACTGCTCTATATTGAAGAGATGACGATAATAAGAAAATTGTTAAGAAATATAATAATATAAAATAAATAAGTAAATAAGTAGCTTGTTAGATAAAAATGCTTGTAAAACTCTCCTTGAATTTCAATTATTATATTAGTAAGAAAGGCAACAGTGATTGATCCTGAAAGAGACGAAACTATACAGGAGCTATTATATTTTAAAATAGATATTATAATTAATATGTGCTTTTATAAAAAAAAATTCGGAAAAATATTTTTGAAGCGGTTCATAAAAAAGATTTGATCAAAGTTGGTTAGAGCAGAATATCAAAGCCGTCATAAATATCAAGAACGACGAATTTTTTACAATCATTAATATTCTTATATATATAATATTCACATTATCTAAAATCTACGATTAAAATCAATCTAAACTAAATGAAAGAAAAACGAATAAAGAACAAAAAGCTGCAGAAAAAAGAGTTTATCAGAACAGATATCAGATAGATACTGCTAATGTTATTAAAATAAATTTTTTTACATGTCATCATTATATTTGATAGTATCATTATATGTTTGATAGTATAAATTAGAAAAAAATTTTTTGTAACTGCATGCACAACTGATCTATATTTTACATTTTCTCGAAAGAAGATTATTAATCAAGATATACATCTATTTATTAATTTATATTAATCTATATCTAAATTTGATTTATGTATATGAAAATAATATAAATATCTACAGTGATGTAAATATATAAAATTATAATGTTGTAAATTATTCGTCATTTAGTACTTGCAATAATATAATGATCAAGTAACTTACTATAAATTTCTTACATAATTTCTAATATTTAATTATTTGTCCTTATACTTATTTCTTAATTTACAATTAATCATTTTAATATCAATGATGAATTCTCACTCCACTGCAACTTACAGTGATCATAATGGAGGGAAAACCCTCTTTCATTAAGTGTTCAGTTATCTTCGCGATAAATCCTTTTTTTGGAGCTGGTGTCAACAAAATGTATACATATTCGCCACAACCTGTGAGTTTTCCCGCTAATCCATAAATGTACGCAATCGAATAAATACGATTCAAATTTGGATGCGACAGTCCAATTTTTTTAACAAGATAGAATTGATCTAGTAGAATGAGGAACTGCAAAATTAAGAAATTAAGAAACAATATTTGAGTTTGTTGCAAATGCATTATTCAAAAATACGTAACAAAGTAATATCAAAAGTTGCAAAAAGAAACTTACAAACAAAAATTCATAAATATCCTTTAATTTGTGTAAATCGTTATTTCGTTGAATTTCATCAATTTGAGCAAGACAGTAACTGACCTTCCGTGAAATCAAGTCAAGTCTATCCAAAATATCTGTGCCGGAAGAATATACTCTGGCCATTATTTCCTTCTGTAGATATTTATTTGGCCTCATTTTCGAGTCGATCAGCAATATATTCAGTTTCGGCACTTTCAAAAGCCTAATATTGAAACCTTTCTGAATGTCGTATTGAAATGTCACTATTTGACCGTACGTGCATACTTCGTGAGACACCCCAAATGTATAATTCTGTACAACTTCCTCGCAATATTCAACGTATCTCGAGATATCACTTAACTCCTTCTCATTAAATATATAGTGTGCACCTTTCTGAAGACGTGCCCAATGCAAAAAACATCCTGCGAGACACGTCGCGAACGATGTCGAACTGCCCAAACTAGCTTTCATGGGTAATTCGGTGGTCAAGTGCACACGAAAAGGAATTATGTCAATCTCCTCATTGTGTGCGATATAAAGCAACAGGAAAAGGAAGGTTTGCAAGCTAAATTTCTGCTCGCACGTGCTCCACATACCGTTTGAAGTGATGAAATATTGCACGTGCCTAAGCAACAAGATATGATCCGTCATCGGATAAAAGTGTCTGTCAGCAAAAAAAAAGTTTAAGACCAGGTCCAAAGATAAGTTCAATGATAAATTGACATCGGGGAACTCTATCTCAATTATCTTCCTTGAAGTACTCAGTTCGCAGAATTCGACCGTAGTACGAAGATCCAAGCTAGCTGTCACAACATGTTTGTCGTACATCATCCTATTTTCTCCGAGTAAAATCATACTGCCCGGTGCGGAAATTTTAAATTTTTTAGCAATCATTCTTATTACAGATAGAAATCTCTGCTCTTCGAAAAGATTGATGTAACAGTGTTGATCATCAGAAAATTAAATCAATGTTATAATTCCTGTCAAGTTTTTATCAAGATTAAATATATTGATGTAACCTGAGGAGAGTCACTAGAACGATATTAATATCGTTCACTTTCATTTCTGTGACATAAATAATTTAGTAATATGTGAGCGAATTTATATTACAAAAAAACTGCACTTAGATTCTTATTTTTTTCCCATTTGATTTCCATTGGTGTTAACAAAATAATCCTTTCAAGGCTTTACAGAAGAAAGCCTGACTAACACATACACTATTTTCAATTATGGAAATTTTATAATTTAGACAAGAAAATTAAAAGTCGTTTAATTCGAGAAAATTATTTGAGAACGTCCGTTGTCACAAAAAGCAGGTTTAAACTTCGTGTGTTGTGCGAATACAATTTCATACTTGATGGTGACTAATATCGTCTCAATAACAATAACAATGTTCAAAAATCACGAAAGTCCTAAACATCGATTATAATGTCAGCTTTTCAAAAAGTTATTTAAGAGGATGATATATTATTTGCAATCTTAACAGTCAAACAAATTGTCATTATCAAATTTATATTGAAAACGTATACATTGTCAATACAAATATATGATACATACATTTATACATTTACAATACAATTATATAACGTATAATTTATAAATTGATGTCTCAGTATATGTGTACAAATGCGTCTATGTATTTTCGTATGTATATTTTATGCAGCAGATACAGTAAACGTTAAATGTCGTTTTGATATAGATATAAAATATAAAATGTGATATAAAATTTTATAAAAAATATAAAAATTTGAGATATAAAATAAAACGCGCTAAATATATCATCGAATTATATAATTTCACATCAAATTGTATCATTTCATATAATTTTATCATAAAATTATTAAGTGCAAAATAATAATTCATTCTCATTTTCTCATTCGATACAACGAAATAATTTGTATATTTATTTAACGCACACGTGCACCTGTTAAAATTCCTGTTGCTTCATTTAATCATTAAACGACGTTATAAGAAAGCGTGAAAACTTTTATCTTACAAAATACTTTTTCTTACAAAATTGTAATGAAATAAATTGTTTTTTTACACGCCATCACTCACTGTTCGATAATATCGATTGGTAAAATATATTAAAAAAAGTTGTTTTATTACTTTGAAAAATAAATACATAATAATATAACACGAATATATACGATTTATATTTTCAAAGCTAGATCCTGTGAGTATATAATTATTTATTTAATCAATAAAAAAATCATTAAAATATCTCATTAATCGTACCTTCATCAATTTATTTACGAATGCAAGTGGGTAGCATAAAAAACTAATTTTCTTTCGATGTATTTTGAAGTAAAAATATTCAATAACTCTTTATAACTTCATACATAACTCAATACAAAAAAAGCAGAAATTTTAACAGAATACATTATACAAAACTGTATAGTGTCCGTCGTTGTAATTAATAATTCTACATTTATATTTAGCTGCTCATTATAATATTGTTAATACTACTTAATTATTAATTATTATTAGTTATTGTTAATAATACTTAATTATTAATATAATATTGATACGATTTTAATCACAAATTCTCACTCCGTCACAACTCACGTTGGTTATCCTGACAGTGAAACCCTCTGTTATTAAACGTGTTGAAAGATTTATAATATTTTTGCTCGGCGTATCTGGTGGCAATAGGATGTATGCGTATCTTGCATCAAAATTTGTGAGTTTTCCCGCAAAACCATACATTTTGGCAATCTTACAAATGTAATCCAACCTTGGATGCGACATTCCTAAGTAACTGAGGAACTGTTGATTTAATACAATTAAGATCTGCAAAAGAAACAATTACGAAATTAAGAATTATCATTTATTTGAATTTGTTGTAAACGCATAACTATTCAAAAATACGTAACTAAATTATATGAAAAGTTGCAAAAAAAAACTTACTTGCAATGCATCGTATGTGAAGCGTAATCGATAAGCATTCATATCATTAATTTTAGAAAGTTTGCCGGCAACTTGTTTCGACATATTGTTCATTATATTAAGAATGTTATTTGTGGGTTTATTACAAAATTGTGTCGCCATTTGTTCTATTTGTTCGCGCTTACTTTTGCTAATTTGGGAGTCGATTAACATAATTTTCATTCTCGGCACGTTCAAGATTTTAATACCCTTATACCGATTATGGTAATAATATCTGACTATTTGGCCGTACGAGCACACGTCGTGATCAGCTTGTATAACGTAGTTTTGTATCACTTCCTCGCAGTCCTTTACATATTCCGAGATATTTTCTATATCAATGTCCTTAAATTTACCAGATTCACCAATCTGTAGACGTCCCCATTGCAGGAAACAACCCGCGAGACATGCCGCGAACGATGATGAACTGCCAAGACCAGCGGCCAAAGGTAATTCTGTGGTCACGTGCACGCGAAAAGGATTGATTTTGAGATCCTCGGAGTGAATCATATATATAAACAGGAAGAAAAATGTTTGCAAGCTAAATCTTTGCTCGTGCGTCGTCCACATGCCGTTTGCCGTGATAAAGTACTGCACATGCTTAAGCAACTTTAAATGATCCGTCACATCGGAATTAAAATCGATAAAGAAGTTTAAGACCAATTCCAAGGGTACGGTTAACGATAAATTGACATCGGGGAACTCTATCTTAATAACAGTTTGTACGTTGTCGCTTAATTCGCAAAATTCAAGCCTCGTCCGAAGATCTAAGCTAGCTGCCACCACCATTTTTTTATACATCGCCAAGTTATCTCCGCATAAAATTAGCTTGCCCGGTGCGGAAATTTTAAATTGAATCATTTTTCTTTTTTACGAATAGCAATCTTTCTTGATCGATAAACGTTGAATAGGTAGATCGTAGAAAATTCAATCTGCCGTAGTTCTTGTTGAGATTTATCACAACTAAATGTATTTACATATATATAAAGTGAAAAAGATCGCTTCTGTTCGTTTTGTATATAAGCTAAAAATGTATAACGTCGGCAATGTGTAACATAAATAATATATCAATATGTTGTCAAATTTTTATTCTGTACAAAAGAAACGCACCTAGTTAGATTCAATCAGTTTTTCAATCTTTCTCGTTGCTTTTCACTGCTGTTGACGAAATAGTTGTAAATTGTCTTAAAAAGCCGGAATAATGCTAATATTACTTTCAATTATTGAAATTCTAAAACAGACCAGAGAAAAAGAGTTATAATAAAAATTATTCGAAAACGTTCGTTTCCGCACACAAAACAGTGTTTACCCTTCGCGTCGTTTACAATTTCACGTCTTGATCGTGACTGACTTCGTCCCAATAACAATGACAGCGCTACGAAGCCTAAACATCGATTACAATGCCAACATTTTTGAAACGCTTTAATAAGACATTATTCAAACTTACATATTAAAATCTTACATGTAATCTGAAAATTATATATTATTTGCAATATAATATGTTGTATAATATAACATATAATATAATATAATATATAATTTATATAATATAACATAATTTACAATATAATATATGATACAATATATAATATATCATATTATATATTATATAATATATACAGTATAATATATAATAGTCAAATAAATTATCATCTTATTTGCATTGACAACATAATGATATTTACATATTGACGTTTCAGAGTATATGTACATACAAAAGTACGCTTACATTTTCTGTATAAATATGCGAGTGTAATATTTGATGCAACAAATGCAGAAGAATATATACTTTGACGCAAATTATTTTATCATTGAGATATAAACCACAATATTCGTACATCGAATTATATTATTAAATATAATTCAAGTATATAATTTTGACACGGACGATAGACACGCTGCCCTTATTATTTTCTAGATCGATTGTAAAAAACTTGATTCGACTATACAATAAGTAAGGTACATCAATTTCAGTTCGAGAGTCAAAATTCGAGGTAGGATGATGATACTTTTTATACGAATATTTCTTACAAATGACAAAATATTTTAGTCTACAAAATTCGATAAAATAAAAAAAAAATAAAATACTTATTATTTCTCTTTTGCCATTTCTGTATAACGCTAATATCTATAATAATCTATAATATTTATAGATTAAAATTCATTTCTTATTCATTTATGCAACGGATATGCCCTTTATTATATTATTTTTAGTAAAATTTCACTTTCTTCACTGCAGTCATTGAATGATAACTTTATAAGCGAGAAAAAATGTTTCCTTGCAAAGTATATCGAAATAAATAGATTTTCTTATACGCCTCATTATATACTTACAATTGTTAAAATATACCTATTTACAAAAATCATCTTTTTGCATTCTTACAGGATAATAATATCTGCATGTGCTTTACATCTTTGAAAAATTATGTAAGAAGTGAGTAAAATATAGTAAAGCTTTTATTAATCCATCGAAAGAAAATCATCGGTCGTATTTTTTAATCAATCTGTATTATCGATTCCAAATGGGATGACATATGAAACAATTAATTTTATACACAAAAATATTCACGATCATTCCTTGCTTATAACTTCATAATTCAATTAATGAAAGAGATATCACTAAAAAGGGAAAAACTCTCAAGTAACAAAATATAGTATATACTGTAAATTGTTCGGTCTTTCCCATTTATGACACAATTATAATTAAATTCGCAAGCTTACTATATTATTCGCACGTAATTACTCACATGTTATTTCTAACTACTTATAATACACAATTTTTAATATATAAATCTTAAATTCTACTAATTTTCAATTGTCACCCCACGACTATTTATATTGGATACTATGGGATAAAAACCTTCTATATGTAATTGATCACAAAGTGTATCAAAGTGTTCTTTTAAAGTATTCGGCGGCAACAGAATATATGCATATGCACTTACAAAACCCGTGAGTTTCCCTGCGAAACCATAGCGTGTCGCGATGTCGAAAATTCTTTCCAAATTCGGATGCGACAAATTTAAGTTTTTTAGCATATCTTGATTCAATGTAATGTTGTTCTGCAAAGCATTAAAAAATTAGATGGAAAAAAGCAATGCAGCTTTCAACAGATAATGATAAGGTCGAGATTCTTATAAACAAAATTATACAAAGTATTAAAATAATTTGCAAAAAAAAAACGAAAAGCGAAGACAAGACTTACCTGCAGCGTTTTATATAATTCCTGTACTAGTTGTACATTATTGGACCTCTGGCTAGCCTTAATTTTAGATAATGTTATATAAACTTCCCGCGATACATTATCGATCTTGTTCAATATTACGTTAACGCCGTTTCTGTGTGTGCGTTTCATTACGGCCAATTTTTTCATCTGCTCTTGCTTATCGTTATAAAATTTCGAATCGATGAGTAAAATGCTCATTTCTGACATGTGTAAAAAGCGAATGGGAGAGTCCACTAGTTCCTTGTATCGAAACAACGTCATGTGACCGTGCGTGCACACGTCGTGGTCAGTCTCAAACACATAGTTCTGTATAACTTCCTCTGAAAACATGGCCCACTCCGAGATCATGTCCAGCTCTTGATTAGTGAAGCCCTCGTGACGGCCCTTCTGTAATCGTCCCCAATGTAGGAAACAGGCCGCGAGGCAAACCGCGAACGAGGACGAACTGCCGAGGCCCTTGCCGACAGGTAATTGCGTGGTCAACAGCATGTTAAAAGCCGTTATCTCGATCTTCTCGTGATAAGATATGAACAAGAACAGAAAGAAGAAGGTCTGTAGACTAAATCTCTGGTCGTACGTTTTCCACATACCGTTTACGGTGATGAAGTATTGCACGTGTCTGAGGAACAGGATATTGTCGTCGACCAAATATCGATAATTTTCGCTGGAGATGAACTTGTTGATCAATTGCACAGGCACGTCCAACAATAAATCGATGGCAGGGAAATTTATCCGAATCGTTGAATTAACTATCTCGCAAAATTCTACGGTGCTGCGGAGATTTAGGCTGGTCGACAAAGCGTGTTTTCCGTACATGACCATGTGCTCTCCGCACATGTAAATCCTGCCCGGTGCGGAAATCTTGAATTTTATAGGCATACTTCTTTTGTGAATACAAAAATGTCCACCTCGCGAAAAGATATCACTTTAATCGTAAAAAATTCAGTCCACTCCGCAGCTCTTCGAGATATAATTGTTAGACTCGCGAAAAATGTATTTGTAACGCGATGAAGATCACCGAGATAATATTCGTCGCTTGTCTTTTCGTTTGATATAAGTCATCAACACAATTATATCGAATTATATCGATACAAAGGAAATGCACATTTAAATTCGATCAGATTCTCATTCCTTTCTATTATTTTAGTCCTCAGCGAAATAGTTGAATCGTGTTCGTTTATTTTTTTCAAGGCTTCACGCACAAGTTTGATTTTTTACACACTATTTATTATTAAAATATTAAAATTTTATATCACATAAACGCTAAAAATGAAAATTACTCGAGAATTTTTAGTGATCGTTCGTTTCTGTGTTTATATTTCGTGTTGTACAAACCGCGTTTCGATCAGGACTGATTTCGTTCTACAACAGTAAGAACAGCACTCCAAATATGCGAGCCAAAATATTGACTACCAAGTGTTTTGATGTTTTAATGAGAAGTCGTGATAAACGTATACATAATTATATATAATCTGACATATATGATGCTTTATTTGCAATGTTACAGTCAAATACATTGTCATTGTATAATTTGCATTAATATAATTTACACATGATATTTTTTCTGATCGAACTTTTATACATGTATAATTGCGCATTCCGTAATTATATTCGTGTAATCGTTTATGCAACATATACATGTAATAAAGGTATGCTTTGAAGTCAATTATAACATAATTGAGATACATCGCAGTTTTAAATGTATCTCGAATTATATTATTTGGTATAATATAATTGTATAATTTTATAATTTTATAATTGTATAATTTTATAATTGTATAATTTTATAATTGTATAATTTTATAATTGTATAATTTTATAATTGTATAATTTTATAATTGTATCATTGTATAATTTTAGAATTATATAATTGTATAACTTTGATACAGAAAAATAAAGTGCTGTTGTTTTATAAATCGCATTGCTTAATTCGATAAATCAGATGCATCACTAACTTCGTCCTAAAATCATAATTAATAAGGAACAGAATAATAATACTTCTTTTTATTAACTTTTCTCATAAATAAAAATTTCCATCTCTAAATTCAAGATAAAAGCAAAAAAAATAAAAACATTATTTTTTTTGGACTTTGACTTTATGCAATATAATGCAAGTCTAATTGTTTATAATACGTAATAATACGTAAATATCTATATTATGTCTATACTATGTAGCAATACATAAATGTATAATATAGATATATGTATATATATAATAAATGTATAGATATATGTATAATATAGATGTAATAATATAGAGATTTTCCACATTATAATGTATTAATAAACTAAAATGTATTACATATATTCCATCTTTTTATCAAGCAATGCGATAATACATATTCGTATATTTATTCGATGGACGCGTATTTTGCTATCTCTGTTAAAATTCCTGTTTCTTTATTATAGCCACATTTAATAATAATGTTAAAAGCAAGAAAACATGTAAATATTTTTCTTACAAAGTACATTAAAAGAAAATAAGTTTTTTCACTCATATCATTATACTTGCTTTCGATAATATAAATTGATAAAATATATTTTGAACAAATTTTTTGGCATATAATTAATTCATTTTATTATTTTGCATTAGTAAATATACATAAAGTAATTTACGTGTGCTCTACACTTCCTAAAATAAAAAATATATGCCAATTTATTCAGATTGTACAATTAATTCAACGATTTATTATTATATTCAAAAAGCAAGAAAGAGATTTGTTCGATATATTTTTTAAGCACATAACTTACAATACAATTATGTTTTTTTCAATCTATATTTTCGACTGCAAGTAGGATAATATACGAAAAAAAACAGATTTTATTTATTTAATATATTTTATAATAAAAAAATATTAACATGACGCCTAGCTAATTTTCATACATAATAATTTAATACGGCATCGATGAGATGAGCCAGGAATTTTTAATAACAGAATTTATTATATAAAAGATGTATATTATTCGTTCTTCCTAACTTATATAACATTAGAGCAATTAAGGATGCATAGGAGATACAATCAGAGACAAAAGTATCAACGCTATTCATCTTCTACAAAATCTATTCAACTTGTAGAAAATCACTTACAATTAGTTTAATATCCTAACTTTCAGAAATCGATAAAAAGTCAGAATTTCAACAAATTATGATTTTCTTTTAAATGGTTTAGAGTGAATGTTAATGTAATCTCGCAATATTGTTCTTTAAAATTCCAGTTACACATGTAAAAAATTTAAAATACATGATATCATTTCTTCAATATTTTTAACGTAATATAATCAATCAAATTATATATAAAACTAGCAGAAATTTAAATTGCAATAACTTTTAAATGAGTTGGTGAATTAAAAACCAAATGTTAACAGTTGCTTTAGAAAAGTAGAATCGATCTATATAATTTTGAATAAATTTTATACCATTTTTAAATGTCTCCCATACATCCTTAAACTAAAATCTTACATTATTCATCAAATTAATGATTTTATTACATTCGATTAAATTTCACGCCCTCGCAACTCACGCTGGTCATTATGAAACTGAAACCCTCTGTAGTTAAATTTGTTTTAAGATCCTTGATATTTTCTCTCGGGGTATTAGGCGGCAACAGAATGTATGCGTATCCACTAAGACCTGTGAGTTTTCCCACGAATCCATGATTTTTCGCGATTGAACATATAGCATCTAATTTGGGATGCGACAAACCCAGTTCATAAAGCGTCTCTTGATACGACTCAATGGAAACCTGCAAAGCGTTGACAAATTAGAAGACAACAATTACCAGATAATTATGCGCTCGAAAATTCTCAATCAAACGACACTACATAAAAATTCCAAGTACCATTAATTTTCAAAAAAAAAACATACTTACTCCTAATGTCTTGTATAGACTCTCCAATTGCTGCAAATTATTTCTGAAATAATTAATTGCATTGAGCTTTATGCAAATCCTCAACGATAATCTATCCATAATGTTTAAAATAATTTTGACGGCTTTGGGATTGGAATTTGTCATGTATGCCATGCGCGACATCTCTTCGAGTTTATTCAGGCGAATTTTCGAGTCAACCAGTAAAATCTTCATGTTCGGCACATCCATGACTTTAATAATAGAACCAGATAAACTGTTCTGAAATCTAAATACTTGGCCCTCCACGCATATCTCGTGGTCGACCCCGAACGTATAGTTTTGCAAAATTTCCTCGCAGTTCTTAACGTATGATATGATATTCTCCAAATCGAAGTCGTCAAATTCACTGTGAGGACCCTTCTGCAGACGCGCCCAATGTATAAAACATCCCGCGAGACATGTCGCGAACGATGATGAACTGCCGAGATTAGCGTGAATCGGTAATTGCGTGGTCAGGCGTACTCGAAAAGATTTGACATTGAGTTCATTGTGATAGGCGATGTGAAGGAACAGGTAAAGAAATGTTTGCAAGCTAAATTTCTGGGCGTATGTTTTCCACAAACCGCGTGATATGATAAAGTATTGCACGTGCTGCAGCAATGTAACATCGTCCTCAAGTATGTAAAGGGTATTTTCGGCAAAAAAGAAGTCGAAAACCACTTCTAAGGAAAGGTTCAACGATAAATCGATGTCAGGAAATTCTATCTTAACAATGTCTGTTGGCTCATCAAGTAGTTCGAAGAATTCGAGATTCGTACGAAGATTTAAGCTGGCTGCCACAACATGTTTTCCATACATCATCATATGATCCCCGCACAAGATCATTCTGCCCGGTGCGGAAACTTTGAATTTAATCATCTCTCTTTTAGGGAATAAAAACCTTTACACTCTCTATTATCAACAAGATCGACGTAATGTTAAACAATAAATCGTACAAAATTAATATATGCACGTAGAAATCTATGTATATATAATTATTGAAAAATGTTCGTTAATCACAAGAGACAGATTTTATATTTTCCCGTGTTATATACCATTTCGCGTTTTGATTATGACTGACTTCTCGACAATAACAACGCTTCAAAGGCATGAACCTAAATATCGATTACAATGTTTAAAGCTTTTCAATACTTTAATCAAATTTCACTTAACTGTTAACTTCATCATTCCAAGATTTATATGTATAATGTATAATAATAATACTCTTTTATAAATCATTTATTTCAAACAAAAAAAATAATTAAATCAAAATCATTCAATCTATTTCTCACACAAACACATATCCATAAAACATATATGCGTCGGATATGAATAATGTTGATTAAATAAATTTTTTATTTCATAATTCCTTCCTTCAAGATTGCAAAAATAATACAATTCAAGAATTTCGAATTATTTTTCATACACAAATTGCATTATATATAAAACATCCTGCATACTAATTAATTTATAAATCGAAAAAGTCTTCTGTATATTTATTGCGCAACATTGCTTATATTCTTAAAATAGGATAGGATAGAATACAAAAAAACTGATATTTTTCAATATATGTATTTTACAAGAAATACAAAAATTCAATAATTTTTCACCTTCGACTTCATAATTCAGTACGACGGCGGATTATTAAGAGCGGAATATTAAAAAATATATGGTTTATTCCACTTTTTCTAAAATGCGATAGTTATTAAGCAACTAAGTAATCTTGTCACATTTTTTGCTTTTATTTATTTGTTATTATTGAATAATTTATATATTATCGCAATAATTTTAATAGAATTAATCATCAATTAATCCTCACTCCATCACAATTGATGCTAGTAGTTATGACATTAAAACCCTCTTCCTTTAAGCGTATTATAGCATTCGTGGTTACATTTACTGAAACATTCGGTGATAGCAGAATATATATAAACCCTCCTCCAAAACCTGTAAGCTTTCCTATGAATCCAAAATCGTTTACAATAGAGCATATAAGATCAAATTCCGAACTAGACAAATGATAATCACTCAACATTTGTTGATTTGTTCGAATGTGAAACTGCAAAAATTAAAATGTTAGTTATAAAATGGTACAGTTTCTGAAAAATTATTATGTACTATCTTATTAATACAGCAAGACTAATCGAATATAGTAAAATATCAGTGTTAAATAAAAACGAAAACGATACCTGTAAGTCATTGTAGAGAATTTCTCTACGTCGAAAATAGCCCTTTTCTACGGTATGATTTATTGAAATGAACGTGTTATACATTGCTGTTGCTATTTCATCTAATTTAGTTAACAGAAATTCAAACTCGGAAATTAAATGTTTCAACCTTGCCATTTGTGTCGCTCGTTCACATTTAGTCTGGCGAATATTCGAATCGATCAGTAAAATCTTCATTTTTTCCATATTTATGAACTGCTGCGAATATCTTATGAAATTAATACGTCGACATATTTTCATGTTGCCGTTTATACAAATGTCGTTATCGATCGACGCAAATCCATAGTCCTGCATAAGTTCTTCACAAGATGTAGCGTAATTTTCAATTGCAAGTAATTCATTGTTATCAAATTCAATATGATCACCACACTGCAGTCGTTGCAAATGTAAAAAACACGCTGAGAGACAAACCGCGAACGATGACGAGCTGCCAAGTCCAACTCCGATGGGTAATTCCGAGGACACTTTTACGGCAAATGGTTTCATCTCAAAATGTTCATGATAATAGATAGAATAAAGCAGGAAAAAAAACATTTGTAAGCTAAATCTCTGCTCGTTTGTCTTCCACATACCCTTAATGGTGATAATATCTTTCACATATTTAAGCAAATTGATCGAATCTGACTGCATGTATGATAAATTCTCTTGATAAAAATAGTTTCGAACTTCTTCTAAAGATATATTCAACTCTAGATTAACGTCAAGTAACTCTATCCTAATGTTTCCTGACTGTTCAGGTAGCTCGTAGAATTCGAGAGTCGTATAACGATCTAAACTGGCTACAATAAATTGTTTTCCATACGCTGCCGAATGTTCTCCGGATAAGACAATTCTGCCCGGTGCAAAAATTTTAAAATTAATCATCCTGTTTATCAATAAAAATGTCTCTTTTCTATCAAATTGATGTGACGTTGAACGGTAAAGAGCAGACAACTCAATATTCTCGTGACATGAGAAAGATCTAGAGATTATATTTGCCGTTCCTTTTCGTTCTGTAAATATTAGAAATGCGTCAGTTATATATGTGACAAAAATATCTAATCGATTATACGTTATCAAATAAATATGCGTATATAAAGTAAGTAATTAAATTAATGTACTTACAATCTATCAAATTCTCGTCATGTACTTATTTTCATTTATCAATTTTTCTCAAGGCATATCGCATATAAATATATATTTTAACTACTAAATCTTTATAAAATAGAGAAGAAAAATAGAAAACCACTAATAATCAATTGAAACGTTTGTTATGGCAAACGAGACAATATTTATGTTTTGTACACTTTCGTGTCTCAGTTATAACCGATTTCATCTTGAAACATGTAATAATATTATTAAGAAATCGTTCAAACAATACAATAAAAATTATACATTAGTTCTATAATAAAATAATAACACATTATTTTTAAAATTATAAAACAGTTCTTTTATTATACTTTCAAATAATATTTAATGTTATAATTTTAAAATATATATATGAATGTGTGTGTATTGTCTAAGTAGATATTTTTATATAATATTTTATACTGTAAACGAAAAAATATATAATACTTTGATGCAGATTATTACATAGAAAACGTATATTGGATTACGCTTAATAATCATATAATTGTATAAATCATATTATTTCTTAAATTATTTTTACGTATAATTTTATTTGACATAAAAAATTAAAAATGCCCTTTTATTATTTAAAAAAATCATATTTAAAGCTTAATTCGATTTAATAACATAAGTTTTGATTGGAGAGAATTATTTCGAAGTGAAATAATCTACATTTGTTTATTAAATTTTTTACAAATCTCTAGTATACGAAACTGAAGATGTAAAGAAATGAACTAAAAAATATCTTTTTTTCTTTAAGCGATCACTACAATATTGCGCAAATCCAATTAGAATAAATATCGTAATTATTTTACGTTCAAACAATATAGTCATTTTTTATCACGTTATAGATATTCTTAAGTAAAATATAACGTTTCTGTTTAATAATAGAATATATTTTATTTTCTATGTTATTTATTTCAGTCATTTTAAATAATGAATAATAAAATTAAAAGTGAAAAGAACATTTAAGTCCTTTCCAAAGTTTATGAAAATAAAATAATAATATAATATATATATATATATATATATATATATATATATATATATATGTATATAATTTTTAAACTTTTCATATACTATATCATATTTCATATACCACTCGTTCTTGATAATACTAAAATATATAAAAAATATTATTTTTAATATGTATACTTATTTAAATTTGCCTTTATATTTTCACAAAAATACATGTAATAATAAGTAACAAATATATAATGTGTTTCAAAATTCGCGCTCATAAAATATATTGCATTTTATTATCTAATAAAAAATAAAAAAAGTTGAAATATTGTTTTTGGGTGCTTAACAAAGGACATTTTTAAATACAAAAATTACATTACCAGCTTTATTTTTTACACAAACATTAATAAAACATGCGTTCCGACGTATGTTTTATTAATGTTTGTGTTAAAAATGGTTTCTTTGTTAAGCACCCGAAAACAATATTTCAACTTTTTTTATTTTTTATTAGATAATAAAATGCAATATATTTTATGAGCGCGAATTTGTATGTATAGAATGCTTTATAATTTAAATTATATAATGCAATTTAATGACTGAAAAATGAGTTGAAAAGTTTTGTATTATATTTTTTCTGCGAAGTTAAATACTGTCCGCAGTATCTAACAAAGAAACTAATAATCTAGCAGCTAACAGATACATATATATCCATCTAGATATGTCTACCTGATAAAATAACGCTATATTATATTTTATTCCATAATTACTTTTTTAAACTTCGTAGAAAAAATATACAAAACTTTTCAACTCATTTTTCAGTCATTAAATTGCATTATATAATTTAAATTATAAAGCATTCTATACATCAATTAATTTGCGAATTGAAAAAGTCTTTTGCATATTTATTACAGTGTATAATCTTAATGCAACATTATTATCAATTATATTTTCAAAATAGAATAAAATAGAAAAACGAATATTTTTTATATATTTTATCAAAAAAACAATAATTTTTCAATAATTTTTCTGACTTTTAGTTTTATAATTCAATATGATGACATTAAGATACCGTTATCTTTCGATAACTGACCCTGCCAACACTATACGTGAAAGAGACGTTCTGCATTGATCGCAAAGTTGCAAGAAAATATGACACGTCTTTTACACATTGCCGTGACGTAACATACAAAAGAATTTAATGAACTGTCTATCGGAAGTTTATTTTTGTAATTTTGTGGTTGATATACTTATAAAAATAAATTGAAATAACATATAACTTAATTTTAATATAAAATTATATTTAACATGAAATGTCACATCGCAAAGACGTTACAAAGAAAGCGGTAGCCAAAATTTTGAGAAGTTGGGATTATAGTTTTAATATAAATATAGTTTACTATTATATATGTAAACTATATTTATATTAATAGACAAAATACATGTATGTATGATTATATACTTATAGTAACAAATTTAAACAAATGACATATATATTTTATATTTATAAATATATTTTTATTATATATTTTATATTTATAAATATAAAATATATATTTAAATTTCGGTTATAAATAATAATATAATCAGGCATTTTGTTTATATAATATAAAAAAAATATATATATATAGTTTACATACATAACACATTACATACATACATAAAAACTAATCTTAATTTTTCAAAATTGATCGATCATTTTCAGGTCAGGAATAGATGCTCAATACGTCACATAATCGCAAATGCACGTCAATTATTACCAAAAATTTGGCTGTTAGTCACGTGACAGTAACGTGCTGGCAGGGGAATATTTATATTAAACAAAATTGTATATTGTTGGTTCTACTTTTCTTAAACTAATACAGTAATTAAGTTAATAATCTGGTCACATTTTTCTTACATTTATAGTTACTTGTTATTATTTAATCATTTATATATAATCTGTTAATATTGATAGAATAAATTCTGAATTCTCACTCCTTCACAATTGATGCTGGTAAATGTGGCTTTGAAACCCTTTCGTTCAAAATTATCTACAATATATGCGACTGTTTTATCTGTACTGTTCAATGGTAGCAGAATGTATACATATCCAGGTCCAAAACCTGTAAGCTTTGCCGCGAATCCATTATCGTTTGCAATTGTGCAAATCTCATCAAATTCCGAATCCACCAAATTATTTCCCTTCAATAATTGATGAGTTTTTCTAATGCATTTCTGCAAAACATGAAAAATATTAGTTATAAAACGGTACATATTCCAACAGATAATTATGCACTGAAACATCTTGTCAACGCAAGACTAAAGAATATATACATATATATAATAAAATAATAACACTGTTAAATAAAAACAAAAATAGTACCTGTAATGTTTCATAAATAACCTGTTCATTGTAATGACTTATTGAATTGATGCAATTATATGTTCTTATTGCTAAGTCGTCTAATTTATCTAATATATAATTAAATGTGGAAGGAGATTCAAATTTCATATTTGCCATTTGTTTCGCTTGATCGCACTTTTTCTGGCGAATTTGAGAATCGATGAGTAAAATCTTTATTTCTGTCATATTCTGGACATTCTCTATATTAAATGTTGTGTAATTGGTAAGTCGAATTTTTGCTGTTCTGCCAAATACACAAATGTTAGTATCAATCGGCGCACACCCATAGTCTTGTATGTATTCCTCGCACTGTTCAGCATAATTTCTGACTTGATTCAAAAATGCATCATTATCAACATTATAATTTCTTGCCTGTAGACGCTTCCAATGAACAAAGCACGTTGCGAGACAAACCGCAAACGCTGACGAACTACCAAGACCAGCGCCGATGGCCGATGGTAATTCCGTAAACACCTCTATGCGAAAAGGTCTTATGATAAGCTCCGTCTCGAGAGCGATAGTATAAAACATGAGAAAGCATAACTTTAAACTAAATTTTTGCTCGAATGTCGTCCACATACCGTTTACAGTGATCAAGTGTTTCACGAATTGAGTCACAAAGTTTGGATCTCTTTTTTTGTGATCGTCTAAGGAAAAAAATTTTAGAACTTCATATAATGGTACATAAAACTGTAGCTGAATGTTAAAAAAATTTATCTCAATTCTTGATTCAACTATTTCGGTGAATTCAAGCGTTGTACGTTTATTTAAGCTGCTCGCGACAAAATGTTTTCTATACATCGCCGAATGCTCTCCGGATAAGACGATTCTGCCCGGTGCGGAAATTTTAAAAGTTATCCTTTCAGTAGTCATCCTTTTTATTTTATATAAAAATATCTCTTCTTTACAGAACTGGAACGTTGAACAGTAAAACGTTGATAATTTTTGCGTAGTTCTTACAAATATTCTTTATTCTTTATCTTCTCACAAACGAAATTACATTATACATTTTTACCTATTAAAATCTTTTATAGCGTAGACAAGCTAAAAGACCACTAATAATAGGAATTTGAAACGTTTGTTATCGCGCACAAGACAGTGTTTATATTTTCTGTACACTTTCGCGTCTCAATCGTGACTAATTTCATCGTCTCAGAACATATAACATTACCCCAATCGTGACTTTAAATATAAATTACAATGTCAAACTTTTTCAATATTTGAGGGAGAAATCGTTGAAACACATATATGTCTATATAATCCAATAATAATATGTTATTTTTAATATAATATGACCAGTTCTCTTATTATCGCAGACACGTTTCAAAATAATGACAAATAATTTTGACATTAAAATGTAAAAATGTAACGCGTATGGTATAATAAGTATAAATGTGTAATATTATATTATAAATATAAAAATATAACTTTAATGCAATTTTATTTTACGAGTGAGATACTCGTATTCGAGAGATAATATCGATAAAATATATAGAAAATATTTTTTTTAGTGCCGTAAATAAAAATGATTATATCCTATACTTATTTGCGTTTGTCTCGTTTTCAAAAGTGGACCATATGATAATTAATTCATCACAGATATACAAGGTGTTTCATAAATCGCGCCTATAAGTTATATAGCGTTATTATTATATGAAAAAATTAGAAATCTTGAAATTTATATTTTTGAAATACATAGATTGTGTACGAAAAACTAATATTTTTTTAACGTGTTTTACAAAAATAATATTGAATGGTTTCTCCATAATTTTATAATTTTTTATGACGTAAGAAACTATAAGTTTTAAAATATATATATTAAACAAATCTAGTCTATAATTTTTGTTCATTAGTTAAAAAATATATAATATAATAATATATATTTATATATACCACAATAATTAAATTAGTCTTCTAGCACATATTATTACATTTAATTGTTATTATTTAATTATCTATACAATCGAGACAATTTAAATATAATCAATCAATTGTCACTCCATTACAACTTACGCTGGTCATCGTGACATCGAAACCTTCTCTCTTCAAACGTGTTATAAGATTCGTGGTTTGTTCTTCTAAGAGAAGATTTGGTGGCAGCAGAATGTATGCAAAGTTGCCTTCGTAACCAGCGAACTTTCCCAAGGATATTTCAACACAATCTAGTGCAATAGAGGACATACGTTTTAACATCGGATGCAACAATTCAGACAGTACATGTTGATGTAACCGAACGAACATCTGTAAAACATGTAAGTTATACAACGGTACAAATTTGAGCAAATAATTATGTATTGGAGAATATTATAAATGCAGCCAGACAACAAAAAAATAATATCATTATTCGTAACAAAGCGAAACAAAATACCTGTAATGTTACATATGCTCTCTCTTGTTCAGTTTGAAAAAGATCAGGATCATCAGAAAAATACTTAATATCCTTGAGCGCTCTACAAATTGAATCTGATATACCGTCACATATAGTTAAAATTATGTTCACGGTCTCGGGATCAAAATGTTTCTTCTCCGCTATAAGTCTCGCTCGTTCGCCCATAACAAATGGAAATTTTAAGTCAACCAGCATAATATTAATTGCTGGAGTATCAATGATCCCAGTAGGATAATTATCTTCCTGATTGATGTATCGAAATTCTATTATATTGCCGTAACAGCACACATCATTGTCGGTTTCGAATTTACAGCTCTGTAAAACTTTCTCGGAGAGCTTAGCGTATTTCGAAATGCTGATTAAATCCTCCCTATTAAATTCACTGTGAGCTCCCTTCTGCAGTCGCGCCCAATGTAAAAAACACGCCGAGAGACATACCGCGAATGATGACGAACTGCCAAGGCCAGCACCAATCATTAAATCCGTGGACACGTGGACCCGAAAAGATTTGATATCGAGTTTTTCATCGTTAGCGATATGCATGAGTAAGAAAAAAAACATTTTCAGGCTAAATTTCTGCTCGTTTGTGATCCACATATTGTTTAAAGTGATCAAGGATTGCAAGAGCTTAGAAAACCGGAAATGATTTTTTATCATGTCTTGAAAATTCTCAGCAGACATAAATTCGTTGATTACTACTAAAAATACCTTCAACGATAGCTTGACACCAGGGAATTTAATAATAATATTTTTCGTTTCGACAGGTAGTTCCTGGAATTCGAGCTTGGTATAACGATTTAAACTGGCCAGAACAACATGTTTTCCATATATCGCTCCGTACTCTCCGGATAAGACGATTCTTCCCGGTGCGGAAATTTTAAAATTAATCATGGTTTTTTGTCGATAAAAATATCTCTTTTCCAAAGAACTGATGTAACACTAAATAGAAAAATACGAGAAACTTAAAAGTTACGTAATTCTTATAAACATTTAGATTTGAAATTATATTCTCGCAACGAGATTATATTTGTCCCTTCTTCTCGTTTTGTATAAGTTAGAAATACACGTAATCACAATGATAATTCACTCAAGCCTGAATAATACATTAAATCCTCTTATATCACAAATAAGAAAAAAGAACCACTAATGATAAAAATTTGAAATGTTCATTATCGTACATATGACAGTGTTTATATTTATACATGTTCTTATTCAATCTTGTTAATAATTTTATCTCCAAACATATATAATAACACTACATCAAAGTCTTTGAATTATAAATATAATAACAATGTTAAACTTTTCTAATTTTTTTGGAAGAAGTCATTAGAACATTCATATATGTTGTTATACATAATTTAATAATAATATATTACTTTCAATATTATAAACAATGTCAAACTAGGTCTCTTATTGTCGTAGACATGTTTTAAATAATGTTTACTGTCGCAATTTTAAAATAATAATATGTGTAAATTAATGTACTTGTGCATTGTATAAGTGCATATGTGTATAGTATATCATATGGTAAAGATATGAGAAAATATTTAATATTTTAATGCAGTTTATTATTAAATACAATTAATGTATGGCACACAAGTATTCGTATATGAGATTACATTGCTAACATAAGTGTATATGATTGTATAAATCATTCTCTAATTTTATTATATAATTTTAACCATATAATTTGGACACAAAAAATTAAAAATGTTATTTTTCTTATTTCAAATGTCGCATTTATACCTAAAACTTAGTTCGACTTAATATTTATCACAAACTCCGGTTGAGGACAATTATTCCGGGAGAATAATATATTTTATTATCTCTATTATCTCGGTGTCGTTTTTCTAATTAAAACACTTTAAAAATAATGTTAAGAACGAAAAAAACATGTACCTTTTTCTATAAATTTATGAAAATAAATTACATTTTTTATATATTATCTCTCTCATATTTGACAATACTGTTAAAATATACATATGGAAAAATGTTCCTTTTTAATACCGTAATAAATGCCTGTACTCTTTTATATTTGTCTCATATTTCTAAATGTAAATAATGTTTAATAATTCAGTACAGATATGCAAAGTGTTTCATAATTCGCGTCTACAAATTATAGGTATAGCGTTATTATTTTATGAAATATTAAAAATCCTGGAATATTATTTTCTGTTGCGCTTAACACAGAGAAATAATTAAATAAATGTCATCTAACCAGTTCTCTTTTTGGACAGACATAAACCCGTAACACATGTAATCACGTAACTATCAACTGGCTCACGTACATATAGTTGACTAGCGAACAATATCTATTAAATATATTTTGTTGGAAAACTTTTTAATTTTCGTTAATGGTCATAAAAATGTTTTAGAAATGTTTGACACACTTTTTATTAAATTATATAGGAAATAACGTTGTATTATTTATAAGCTTAAATTATGAAAACAAAAACACATTCTGTATACCTACTAATTTACAAATTAAAAAAAATTTCCCCCATATTTTACTTTTATTAAAGCACATGAGCTTGGCGTTAAATTCATATCAACTCAAATTTTCGAAATAGAATGCAAAACTAGTATTTAGCAATATGTTTTATAAAAATAATATTAAATGGATTCTCCTTGATAATTTTTTACGATAAAAACATTAAGAAATAAAACCATAATAATTAACTTAATAAACTAGCACATATTTTATATTTAGTTATTTGTTATTATTCGCAATTATTTAAACACACAATCAATAATTTTATTTATACTCATTGTCAGTCTTTACCAATCCTGTACAACTCACGGTAGTGTCTATAAATTTGAAACCTTTATTCTGTAAACATTGCTTGAGTTTTTTAACTGAATTTTCTTTAATATGTGATGTTAGCAGAATGTATGCATATTTGCTTCTATAACCTGCGAACGTTATTCCCACGGATGCTTCAAAATTTCTACATTCTTCAAGATTAATCAAATTATCCAAATTTACATGCGACAAATTTAAATCAGTCAACACACTTTGATATTTCTGAATTAACTCCTGTAAAACATAAAAAAATTCAAGTTATAAAACGATACAATTTTAAGCAAATAATTACATGTACTCAGGAATATTCTTAAACGTACGAGGTAGACAAAAGAATATACTAAATAATGTCGTTAGTTGCAAAGAAGCGAAACGAGATACCTGTAATGCTGCGAATCCTTTCTTTTCATCTTCAGAAAAATTATAATGCTCAAAGTAAAAATTAATAAAAACGAGCGTTTTACAAATATCTTCTGATATTTTGTCACTCAGATTTAAATATTCATTCATCTTTTCAGAATTATGTTTTTGCGTCATTATTTGCATCGTTCGTTCGTCCATATCAAAGTTAATATTTAAGTCGACGAGCAAAACACGCATCATTGTAGCATCAATTTTCTCAACAGAATATTCGTCTTCCTCGATATTGTATCTAGATTTTATTACATTGCCATAACAGCACACATCAATGTCGGACTCGAACATCTCGTTCAGTATAACTTTTTCGGCAAGTTTAGCGTAGTTCGAAATTCTGATTAAATCTTCCTCTTCAAATTCTTTGTAGACACCTTTCTGACGACGAGCCCAATTTAGAAAACATGCCGAGAGACATACCGCGAATGAGGACAAGCTGCCGAGGCCGATAATTAATTTGCTGGATACGTCCGAGGAAAGGTTCTATAACGAGGTTCTCGTCATTAACGATATGCATGAGTAAGAAAAAAAAGATTTCCAAGCTAGATCTTTGCTGGGGTGTCTTCCACATATCGTTTACAGTGATGAACGATCGCAAGCGCTTGCGAAACCGAATATGATTCAATATAAGTGTGCTAAAATGAGTAGTTAAACGGAAATTGACAATTACTTCCAAAGGTATCTCCAACGATAGCCCGACATTAAAGAACTCTATGTTAATCGTTTTTGTCGAATCAAGTTGTTCGCGAAATTTCAGCTCGGTACGAAGATTTAAACTAGCCGAAACAACCTGTTTTCCATACATCGCCCCGTATTCTCCAGATAAGACAATTCTTCCCGGTGCGGAAATCTCAAACTTTATATTGTCCATCATGTTTTTTATCAATCAAAATATCTCTTCTCCAAAGAACGGATTGTAACGTTGTACAGTGAAACACAGGAAACTGAAAATTTGCATAGCTTTTATTATCATTTAAATAAAAATTATATTTTTGTAGCGAAATTATTGCCTTTTCTTTTCGTTCGTATGAATTAAAATTGCGCGTAATGACAATTATATATATGATAAAAATATGTTGTCAGCAATACATTGTTAAAGGATATGCAAAAAAAACATTTTAATCAAACTTTCGATATTTACCCTACGTCCTTTATCAGCAAATTAGTAAATTGTCTTTTCTTTCTATTTCAGGGCGTCACATACAAGACTGAATAATGCATTAAATTCTCTTAAATCACGGTCAAGAAAAAAGGAATCACTAATAATAAAGATTTGAAATGTTTGTTATCGCACACAAGACAGTGTTTATATTTCCTGTACACTTTCGCGATTTAGCTGTAACTGATTTCGCTTGAAACATAAAATAACATTATTCCGAAATCATGACTTTAAATATAACTTGCCAAATGTCAAATTCTCTCAATGCTTTAATAACAAGTCATTAGAATATATGCTTATACATAATTTAAAAATTACATTACATTTTTCAACGTCATAAACAAATTGTCATTGGTTTATTCGCGTACACACGTTTCAAATAATGTTGCAATGTTAAAATATATGTATAAATGCGTGCGTATTATCTAAATCTTAGTACCTACATAATTAATGTATATCAAACAAACGCTGGTATATTGGATATTGTTTAAATTAATCATATAATTACATTATTGTTTCATATAATTATACGACTTTATTTGACGCAAAAGATTATCAGTGCTATTTTTCTTATTTAACAGATCGCATTTATATTTAAAGTTTTATTCAAATTAACACGTATCATGAACTCTGGCTAGAGACTTCCGAAGTAGAATAATCTACTTTCTTTAATAATTTCTTTATAAATAGGTAAATTTGAAGAAATGTATAAAATTGAAGATATAAAGAAATGAATTTTTTTCAGGCTACTTATTGGCAAATTCAATTGTAAGAATCGTCGTAATTAAGTTTTGTTTTACATGTTACATAGTCATTATTTATCTTATTATATAGATATTAAGAATATATAAATTCTTATTATATAAATATTATTAGCGCAAAAGAGAACCTTTCTGTCATCTATCCATTTAAAAATAATAATTGCAATAATTCGTATATTAATTCGACAAATACTTTATTATCTCTATTACAATTTCCGTTTCTTTATTCAAGTCACTTTGAATAATGAAGTTAAAAGTGAAAAAAACATGTACAATTTCTTTCAAGAGTGTTTGCAAATAAATTAGTCTTTTTTATATGTTATATCCCACTCAATTCGATAATACTAATGAAAAATATACTGAAAACGTTATATTCAATTATCCTAATAAATGCATGTATAACTTTTTTTCATATTTATCTTATAATTTATATCATTGTTAAAAGTAGACTATGTGATAATTAATCATAGATATACATGTGTTTCATTCGTTGATATAATTTTCACGCCCACGAATTACATAGTGTTATTATCTAATAAAAAATGAAAAATTCTGAACTATTATTTTCTGATGCTTAACAAAAAAAAAGAATTATTAGATAGGAGTAATCTAGTTAGCGCCGTGTTTTTAGATTTTAGACGTATATTCATAAGACGGAATGACGTATGTAACCACGCAAACTATCAACCGTGCAGTTCACAAACATATGTATATATCCACCTAATGAACAACTCTGATTAAACAAATTTTATTTCATAATTCCTTTTTGCTTTAGCTTCGCAGAAAAAAATTTAGTTTAAAACTGTTCGACCCATTTTTCAGTCACAAATTGCGCAAATGTAATTCATAGGATTGAAAATACTCTGTATATCTATTAATTTCCAAATCGAAAGTCTTCAGTATATTTATTGTAATGTATGATCTTGACGCAATATTTTCATCAATTTATATTTTCAAAATAGGGTAAGATATACAAAAAAAATAATTTATTTCGTATGCATTCCATTTTTCGTACGCAATTTTATATAATAATGTATTACAACAAAATATTCAATGATTTCTCACTTTCAATTTTATAATTCAATACAATTGTCAACAAGGGACCGCGAAACTTTAAGCAATAAAATATGTAGATGTAATGAAAATTTGAGACATTCGATTATTTCAAAAACATGATGTTTTACAATAAAATGTTTCAGACAAAAGTTGTATGGTTTCAAGGAAGACATAAGATAGTGGCAAAGATCTTGGATAGTCGTTTTAAGATCACTTGAAGCTTTCAACTTCTTAAATGAAACCTACTTTTTTCATTGCATATTCTTGTAGCTTATTTTGAGAGTTTTCCAAAGCACTGTAATAAAATATTTTTCTCTTAAGTACTTTTTGAGTTAATTAAGATTTGAAGTTTTTGATTTTTTGACATAAAATGTAAAATATCTTGTAAACTATTTAGTTTTCGGCTGAATACCTTACAAGACATTTTACATTTTATGTCAAAATTGTTAACTTCAAACTGTATATTGTAATTCAAAAAGTGCTTTACAGTAAAATATTTCATTATAGTGTTTTGAAAAGTTCTCTAAATAAGCTACAAGAATATATAATGAAAAGTAGTAGACTCCATTTAAGAAATTGATGGTGATCTTTATGTAATCTCCAAGTCAAAGCGACTACCTTGTGTGTCTCTCTTGAAGCCATACAACTTTTATCTGAAACATGTTTGGTAAAACGTCATGTTTCCGAAATAATCGAGTGTCCCAATCTTTTTGTTACATCCTATATACATATATTGAACAAAACCATATATTGTTTTGTTTTTCTTTGCATGAAATACAGTAATTAATTTAGTAATCTTGCTACATTTTTTTTACATTTATATTTAACATGCAGGCAAATTAGAACCAAACGATGTTTCAAGGAAGAATATTTTGTTGCAACTGATTCGTTGTGCATAAGGCACTAATTTTTCTTGGTACGACATTAAAAAAATTAATAAACTTCTAAGTCGAGATTTTTATTAAACCCCTCTGTCCCCGATAAAGCTAAATCTCAATTCGAGTTTTTTAATTTTTAATAAACCTTTTTGTCCTCGCTAAAAAAGCAGACGAGAAAAATATCAAGGCAAAGTCTCTCGATATTAAGATTTAGCTTTAGGAAGGATAAAAGAGTTCAAGAAAAATCACAAATTAGAGATTTATGAATTGCTTTATATTATACTAAGAAAAATTAGTGCATAAACAAGTCGGTTCAACAAGAGAAATCTTCCTTGAAACTGACGCACAGACATCCGCGTTTGATTCTAACTTGCTCCTATTAAATTTAAATATGATTTACATATCAAGAGCCTAAAGTTGTCATTTTTTACATTTTGTTGTTATTATTTGTTAGTATTTATATTCATATTACAATAGTTAATTTCAATATAATCAATCGTCAATGGTCAATCCGATACAATTCATGAAGGTTATATAAACTTTGAATTCCTCTCCCTCTAAATGTGTCGAAATATTCAACATTTCGTCTGACGTAATATTCGGTGGTAACATAATATATACAAATCTGCCTCCTGTAACCTTTGCCACGTATCCATAATCATATGCAAGCGAGCAAATATGATCAATTTTTGGATCCGAGAAAGAAAATTTTTGCAATATTTTTCGCATTTTCAGAATAAGGAGCTGCAAAACAGATGTTAATTATAAAACAACACAGTTTCTAACAGATAATTCTATATCAAATCTTGAAAACAAGCCAAGCTCAAAAATGTAATGAAGTAGTAATCTCGTATTCGCAAAGAAACAAAAAAAGATACCTGTAACACATTGTATAATTGCATTTGAAATTCAAATAAATTGGGATAATGAATATAAATATGATTTATCTCATTGAGCAAATGAAAGATTTCTTTTGATGTCCTGTCAGATAAACTTAAAATTTTGTTGGCAATGATGGGACAAAAATGTTTCAAGTGTGCCATTGACATCGCTAGTTTGCTCTTATTCCGACTAATATTTGAGTCAATCAGTAGAATCTTCATGCTTGTCATATTCGTGGATATTATATTAATACTTAAGGGATTAATGTATTGAAATGTTCCTATTTGGCCGTATAAACAAATAATGTTGTCAACCGCGAACATATTATTTTTCATTATTTCCTCGCAGAACATAGAGTATTTTAAAATCTTGGTGAATTCATCCTCATTAAATGCAAAGTGAGCACCTTTCTGCAGACGAGACCAATGTAGGAAACACGCTGCCAAACATATCGTGAACGATGAAGAACTTCCAAGGCCGGCGTCGATAGGAAATTCCGAGTCCACGTGCACGTGGAAAGATTTTATCTCGATCCCCTCCTCATGAGTAATAGAATAAAAGATGAAAAAAAATACTTCTAAGCTAAATTTATCCTGGAATGTCTGCCACCAATTGTTCGAGACGATCAAGTATTTCACGTAATTAAATACCTTCATTGGATTTGAAATCACGTTATTGACATCTTTTATAGAAAAGAATTTTAAAACTTTCGACAAAGATAGTTTCAATTTTAGATGGACATTGGGGAACTCTATTACTACAATCTTTTTATTCTCAATAGGTAGTTCGCGAAATGAAAGTCTGGTACGATGATTTATGCTGGTCATTATGACATTTTTTCCATACGTCATCGACTCTTCTCCATTTAAGACAATTCTGCCCGGTGCGGAAATCTTAAACTGAATCATTCTTCAATAAATAATCGATGCGTAGCTCTTGTAAATATTTTCTGGAGCGATGAAAAATATGTTCTCGCGAAGGAGATCCAAAAAGATGATATTTGCCGTTTTTTTTTCGTTTTATAAATATTATAAATACGTAATGTCAGTTATTTATGATAAAAATCTTTCATTTATCAGTAGATGAATATCTTGATTTTTTCTTTAAAGGCACTACACATTAATCTTTATACATTTTTAACTATTAAATTTTTATATCGTAGACAAAAAAGACTACTAATATTGTATTAAAAATTTGAAACGTTATCGCACACGAAGACAATGTTTATATTTCTTGTACACTTCTGTATCTCAGTTGTGACTAATTTTGTCCCGACAGATATGTGATAATATTATACTAAAGTCATGATTTTATTTAAATATAAACAACAATGTCAAATTTGTTCAATGTTTTAGTAAGAACTCGTTAGAATGCTTATACATAGTTTAAAATAAAAAAAGATTGTCATTTTCTTATTTGCATACACACGTTTCAAATAATATATGTTTAATCAATTTTAAAATGTGATATTTCAATTTGCGCAATAAGTATAGTGACAGCCCGAAGGAAAAAGATATCAATTTATATTCCATTTCTCATTATATTTTCAGTTTTATACACATTACAGATTTAAAAGAGTTAATAAAAAGATATAATTATGCTACTCCGAAACTTTCTAACTGAAATTCATGATACATGTTAAGTCGAATTAAGTTAAAATGCGATGTATTTAATAACAAAAACAGCAGTTTTAATTCTTTGCGTCAAATAAAATTATCTTGCGGTTAAATTAGACAATAATATAATTTATACACAATTATATGATTATATATTAAATAATATAATCCAATGTATGAGTACTTGCACGATATATTTTTATTATTATACATTAATTATGTAATAAACTGTATCCAAGTATTATATATTTTTGTAGATTTATCATATATATATATAATATTACACATATAATTGCACGATAAATACGCGTTCTCATAATTATAATAAATATTGTAATTAATGTTATGTAGTTAAATAAAATATTCACTTCCCATGTTATCATATAAATATTATTAAGACAAAAAAAACTTTTTGTCATTTTTTTATTTAAATAATAATAATTACAATAATTTGTATGTTACTTTGATAAATACTAAATTATCTCTATTACCAGTCATTTTTTCATTCAAGCTACTTTGAATAATAAAGTTAAAGGCAAAAAAGCATGTAAATTTTTTTTAGAAATTTATGAAAATTAATTAATCTTTTTTATGTATTATTTCACTAGTATGCCATAAAATAATATACCGTAGTATTCATATAAAATGTATCAAAAACATTTTTATGACATTTTACTCTAATAAATACATATATAATAAATACGTACAATTTATTTACATTTTTCTCATAATTCTAAAAGTAAATAATGTAATAAATAATTTATCACATATATAAATTTTATTTGTTTCATAATTCACGTCCGCGAATTACGTAGCGTTATTACCTAATCAAAAATAAAAAATTCTAAAATATTTCTTTTTGATGCTGGACGAAAAAAAAATTATTAAAAGTCATTTAACCAGCTTTATGTTTTTAGACAGACGTAAGTCCATAAGGTAGATAATATATAATCACGCAAACTATTAATGCGCAGTTTATGAACATATGTCTAATGAAAATCCTTAATGAATAAGGTTGACTAAATAAATTTTTAGTAATTTTTTTTTTCAATTTTATACAAAATATAAACTTGAAACTGTTCAGCTTATTTTTGATTCAGAAATAGTACTATATAATTCATATTCTACATATACCTATAAATTTACAAATCTAAAAAAGTCTTTTGTATATTAATTGCACCGGCAGATTATGATTTTAATGTGAAATTTTCATCAACTTATATTTTTGAAATAGATTGGGACGACATACGAAAAAACTAATACTTTTCGACGTTTCACAACAAGACTATTCAATTTGTCACTGTTGATCTCATAATTTAATACAATGTCAATAAGGAACCGCGAATATTAAGTAACAAAATATGTATATATACATACATATATAAAATTATACTGTTTGTGCTTCTTTCTTTAAAATACCACAGTAATAGAGTTAATATAAGATTGCCACATTTTTTTACATTGAGTTATTTGTTACTATTTAGTTATTTATATATTATCGATCATCATATTAATATAATCAATCAATTGTCACTCCATTACAATTCACGCTGGTCATCGTGATATTAAAACCCTGTGTCTTAAAAGTTTCGAAAAATTCGTGATTTGTTTTTTTGGAATATGCGGTGGTAATGGAATGTATACAAATCCGCCTCCAAAACCTGCAAGTTTTCCCGCGAGTTCATGCTGTAGTGCAACTGAACGAATAAGTTCCAAACTCGGATGCGTCATATTTAATTTAAATAGCACAAGTTGATTCATCTGAATGTACAGCTGGAAAACATGAGCAATGTTAGTTGTAAAACGGTATAATTTCTAACGGATAATTATATCAAAATAATAATAAATTAATTAGTTAACTTATTAATTAGACTCTTATAATAAATAATAATCAAACGAAGAGAACGAGGCAATAAGAGCCAGCGCAGTAATTAGTGCGCCAATAAATTTATTCGGGATCAGTTTCAATATAATTAAATAATTATACATAATTTTTAAATATTTCTATAAGGAGTACGTTTAGGTCTTCTTCTTTGAGTCATCTTCAACACAATAAATTGATAAATTAAACGTTAACAAATATATTGAATTAAAAAATTAAAATAAAAAGCATAAAACTCTGTCTCGTAGTCCGTTAATGAAATAAGATAAAATAACAAAATCGCTCGCAATATATATTTTATTTTTGAATTATTTTTCAAGTTATGTATAATTATTTAATTATGAAATATAGATCTATTTGATTCTAAATATAAATTTATTTGCGCGCTAATTACTACATTAACTTTTACTCACGTTCTTCTTATTAGATATTTATATAAAATCTCTGGAAAATCTTGTAAACGCAGCTAGAAAAAATATTAAAGTATTAATATCATTATTCGCAAAGAAGCGAATAAACGCAATACCTGCAACGCTATGTATGCTTCTTTTTGAAGAAAATCGGACTGTCCGTGGACACTATTTATTATAATAAGTGTTGTAAAAATGTCTTTTGATATTTCGTCATATCTATTTAAACTGTGGTTGACGAGGTCGGGATAAAAATATTTCAACTCCGCCATTTGTTTCGCTCGTTCGCCCTTATTCAGAGAAATTCCTGCATCGATTAGAAGAATATTCATTCTTGGCGCATCGATTCTCGTAGTACGATATTTATCTTCCAGGTTGATATATCGAGATTGTATTACTTTGCCGTAAACGCACACATCATCATCGATTTCGAACATTTGGTCTTGTACAACTTTCTCGCAGATCTTAGCGTAGGTCGAAATGTGAATAATTCGTTCTCGTTGAATCTTTTTTTACGAATACCCTTCTGCAAACGCGCCCAATGGAGAAAACACGCCGAAAAACATACCGCGAACGACGACGAACTGCCAAGACCAGAGCCGATGGGTAATTCCGTGGACACGTATACGTAAAAAGATTTGATATCGAGTTGCTCGTGGTGAGCGATATACAGAAGCAAGAAAAAGAATATTTCTAAGCTAAATCTCTGCTCGTGTGTCACCCACATACCGTTCAAAGTAATCAAGGATTGTACGAGCTTATAAAATCGGATATGATCCGAAGCAGAGTTGAAAGAGATGTTGTTAGAAAAAAAGTTGGAAACTTTTTCTAAAGATACGCACAACGACACACCGACATCAAGAAATTCTATCTTAATCACATTTTTTGGCTCATCAGGCAATTCGCAGAATTTGAGCTTGGTACGACGATTTAAACTGGCCAATATAACGCATTTTCCATACATAACCGAATGCTCTCCGGATAAGACAATTCTTCCCGGTGCGGAAACTTTAAAATAAATCATTTTTTGCCAATAAAAATATTTTTTTCCAAAAACCTGATTTAAAAAATGACGTTGGGCAGTAGAGAACAGAATATTAAATTTGTGCTCTTATAAACATTTATAAGAACCATGAAAAATGTATTTTCGTAACATGAGAAGAAAGTCATCAAAAGATAAAAAGTTTGTTTCGTTTGCATTCTTCCTACACTCAGATCCTTCGCATTCTTTTCTTCTTCACGATCCAAATATATATGTATGTATATTTATTTTGTTTAATGTGCGAGACATTCTAGAAAGAAAAAAGAACATATTTCATATTTTTAAAAAAGTTAAAGATGCGTAATGTCAATTATAATATCAATATATATAATATATATAACACAAGTAACTCATCATTACTACGATATTAAATTTATATTTATCATTATCACCTTATTAAATGTATATCCATAAAAAAAGAAGATACACTAAGATTCAATCAGATTTTTGTACCTTTTTCACTGTTTCTTTTGCTAATGAAGTAATCGTGAATTGTCTTCGCTTTTTCTTTCAAAGCTTCATACACAATATTGAATGATGCATTTTTCAATTGTTAAATCATCATATCATAAACAAGAAAAGAAAAGATCACGAATTATGAAATTATTCGAAAGCAGTGTTTATATTTTGTGCTGTACAATTCTACATCTCGATCGTGACTGATTTTGTCACAATAATAATGCTCTGAGACAATAAACTTAAATATAAACTACAATGTCAAAGTTTCTCAATACTTTATAATAAGTTAGACAAAGTTAAAAAATTTAACATCATTTGACTTCTCAGAATGTCTATTTACAAAGGTTAAAAAAACCTATGTAAAAAAATAATTAATTTTTTTCGACCGACAATGATGTATTGCAAATCTAGCCGCACAGAGGTACATAAAAGTAATATCGAAGGCACAAAAAAAACTTGCCTATAATTCTGTGTAAATGTGACATATTAGAGAGAAATTTCATCGAGCGCTTTAAAAAGATCTTCGATATATTATCAATTTTATCGAAAAAATACTGCACCAAATAGCATAGCAATTCAATTTAGCTATTCGTTGTATCTATTCGTATTTTTACCTATATAAAATATAGATTTAAAATAATGACAAATTTAATTAGATTCAATCAGATTTCCCTTTTGTCCTATTATATTCCCATTGTTAATGAAATAGCCGTATTATGTGCGTCATATTACTCGTTCTTTCAAAAATTCCACATATATATGTATATACACAAGTTTAAATATAATATATTTTCAATCATTGAAATTTAGTTAATAAGCGAAAAAAAACCACGCGCATAATACAAAGTTCAAGTACTTGCCGATATGTTTATTTTTCGTGTTGTATAAATCTTCGTCTCAGTCGTAATTCGGCAGATTTCGTTTCATTAATAATAACACAAAGCATTTTCCGAAACGCGAATTTAAATATTGTCACAGTTTTTTTTTAATTTTTATAATGAAAAATTATTAAAACATATACAGGGTGTTTCCAATACATACACATCATTATGTCGGGTTGCCTATCTGCTACAACAGGGGCATGCTTTATGAAAAAAGAAATCGACTTTATTACTCTATATATACAGTGAACACTTGTGAAATTGGATAATATAGATAAAATATATATTTATTAATATAAATAAAATAACATAAGTAAAATTTAATAATCAAATTTTACTAAAATTTTACTATAAAATATGTTTTAATTTATCTGTAATATAATTTTTATCTATCAATATAATATAATATTCATAAGTCATATAATAAATTTTTAGTAAATATAAGTCATTTAATAGATTTAATCTCTGAATATAATAAGTCATATAATAAATTTATTATATGACTTATTATATTTACTAAAAATTTATTATATAATGAAAATCTCTCCTCCAATTTTTAAAGTCGACCAGACTGGCAATAATTTATTTTGAATAATTAGTTAAATTACAACGTTTCGGCTGTCATTGCAGCCCTTTTCAATATTCTATAACCGTTTATAGATTACTTGAAAAGGGCTGCAATGACAGCCGAAACGTTGTAATTTAACTAATTATTCAAAATAAATTATTGCCAGTCTGGTCGACTTAAAAATTGGAGGAGAGATTTTCATTATTTATTACTGTCGACTCTTAAGGATTATCATTTGTTTATTATATAACTTTTATATTTACTATAAATTTATTATATGACTTATTATATTTATAGATAAAAATTATATTAAAGATAAATTAAAAAATATTTTAGTAAAATTTAATACAATTGGATTATTAAATTCTACTTATATGTTATTTTATCTATATTATTAAATATATATTTTATCTATATGGTCCAATTTCACAAATGTTCACTGTATATACAAAGTAATAAAGTCGATTTCTTTTTCTCATAAAGCATGCCCCTGTCGGTAAGCAAATAGGCAACCCGACATAATGATGTGTATGTATCGGAAACACCCTGTACAATCTATACACAATCTAAGATTGAGTGACATATTACTTACACTGTAACAATAACAGCTTTTTCGGGTGAAAAAGAAAGAAAAAAAGAATGGAAATAATTAAAAAATCTTAACACTGCAATCAGAGTAATATGTATAGTTTGTATAATAAAGATATACTGCAAAACGATATCTTTTTTAGTTAAGAATAACTAGAAAACGAAAATTATATAGTTGTTGCATTTTCTTAAAAAAATTTAAAATCTGTAAAATCGATTTTTTTTATTCCTAATCTTCCACTACAAATTATCGATTTATATATAAATAATTATCTAATTATATATAAATAACATCATTTAAATCCGATAGAAAATATATTAAAATAGTTTATTGAAAATAAATTATTTCCAAAAAGTCATTTTAATATATCTTATGTTGGATTTTATATTTAAATGATTTTATTTAAGTAATTATATTGTAAAAATATTTACATATAAATTAATGATTTGTAATGAAAGATCAGTAAAAAAATCAATTTTACAGATTTTATAGATACAATATATGAAGTAATAAAAGATTTTCTCAAGTAAAATTCTTTATTGCATCTTGTGTTCTTTTAGCTTGTGAAAACACTCCTTTTATGTTTAATATATTTTTTATAGCAGAACAACACAAGCACGCGCTATGCGTGCATTATTGTCCCATTTTGTGTTAAAAATAATGTAATTTTTAGAAAAATAATGGAATTATCGCCGCTAATAATTAAAATATGAAAAAATTAAAAGGGCGAATTTAAAATATTAAAATGCATTAATGAAATATTCTTTCGTACGATAATAAACTATATTGAAAAAAGGCGTGTGATAACTTGACATTATGATACCTAAACAAAGACTTTAAAATTTTGAAAAAGTTCATTATTGACCCTAATAATTAAAACCTATTGACAAATAATAAAGCGCGTTTTTAAAATATGGGAAATTATTATATATAATGAAATGGTCCTTCGAAAGATAATAAATAATATGGACAAACAAGTGACATAACGCAAGATATAGGTCATATAGGATAACACCATAAGAATGAGAAATAATCAATTATCACCGCTCTTCATTAAAATATAAGAAAATAAAAGAGCATGTTCAAAATGATAGAAAAATTAATTTTCACGAATCTACAATCTACAGTCTACAGTCTACAATTTCGAGATAACGAATCTACAATCTACAGTCTACAATCTACAACTACATCTACATATCTAATTTTTACAAAACCGCGTTATCTCGTAAAATAATAATTCACTCACCAGTTCATGCGCAGCAGCGGAGTTTAACTGCATCGAAGCTACGCTGATCTGTAAATATACAAATAGAATTCAAATTATAGGAGCGTTCAAAATTATTAATATTTCTAAATATTATCATTGTATATCTATTGATTTTATATTTCAAAAAACACGTACGTTTTTTAATCTCAACAAATATATATTATAATTAAATAACTTCAAAAATTTAATAAAAAGACAATTTTTAATATAAATTTTATAGGAATTTTTGTATATAACTTTTATATATCAAAGTATTTTATTCTAATTATTTTCTTGTTTAAATTCAAATAGGAATAAAATTAAGGTGATTTATAACAGTATTATACTATTATAAATAATAAAAATGCTTACCCCAAGGTTGCTCCGCCGGCGCTAAATGCCTCCTAGTCCTGCTCCTCCCCTCAGGTTGATCAGGGTTGTCCAAAGTCCTTTTATTTACACGCGCGATACTTTAAACGACACTCCCGCACTGAAACGTGTAATACCTTACACGATTTTTCCGTACTAAACGCGCGATACTTGGACGACACTCCCGCACTAAATGCGCCATATCTTGAACGAATTCCTGTACTGAAAACGCGAAACTTTGCGCGAGATTCGATTTATTTTATTGCTAAAATGTCGGAATTAATTCGCTTAATACGAATATTTTATTACAAGTCAGACACGCCGCATGTGTGCTAAATTAATAATTGAATTACTGTTCTAGCATAGCTTCCCTATTTCGCTTTAATAAATATTAATTAAACTTTAACTATTCGCAGCTTGCAATTCACGCAACTTGTGATGAATTACGCGATAGTGTAACCGCGGTCAATTTCAAAAATATAAAACTAAATGAATAAAGTAACGTGTGTATAAGAAATTTACGTTAGAAATTCTAAAATCTGATCGTAAATTATTCTGGAAATTTTTATCAACTTCTATTTCTTTTATTTTTCTTTTAATCGCATTAAAATACTTGTGTTAAATTATTTTTCATAGATCACTTTATTTTAACACATTTGTTTTAAAATGTCGAGATAAAATATATCCGCAAAATATCTGATAGTTTACGCTTTTAATATAACTTATTTGTTGTAACTAAACTCAAATTATCTATCAATAAAATGAATGGATTACAATTAAAATGTTATATATAATATAAAATCTATACACATTATAACAATAAGTAATTATCATTATTTAATTATTTACAAGTTATAATCACACGTATAATTAATAATTAATAATTGTAGCGTAGTTTTAAATTTTACTTAAATATGTATTGTATAATGTCTTTCTTTTCTTTTTCTTAAATTGTACTTTATAATCTTTATCATATTCTTAATATTTTGTAATCCTTCCATTTTAAGGTAACGGAACTACAATTTACAGTCTACACAGTCTACAATCTAGATCTACACATCTCTACACTATCTATTTTATAAAACCGTTACCTTGTAATAAAATAAGTTTTTCACTCACCGACCGGTGAGCAGTAAAGGAGTTACTACATTAATCTGAAGCTATGTTGATCTGTAACAAAAATAAAATTCAAATTATAACAGTGTTTAAAATAATTAATATTTGAGAAAATAATTATTGCATATTATATTATATATTAAATTTTATATTCAATACAATAATAAATGGAAATATGATTAAATAATTTTATAAATTTTTATTTAATAATAATTAAATTAATAAACCAATAATAAACTTACCTCATGGTTGCTCTGCTGGTGCCCGATGTCTCTCCCAGACCTCCTCCTCCTCTCAGCTTCTCAAGATTGTCAGTTATATTTTCTATCTGTAACATATAAATAAAATTCAAATTATAGCATACAAAATAATTAATATTTTAAAAAATTATTACTGTATGCATTAAATTTTATTTTTGATTTGTACAATAATAAATAGACATAATTAAATAATTTATAAATTTTTATTTAATAGTAATTGAACTAATAAGCCAATAATAATTAAAATACTCACCCTATAATTATTCTATCGGTGCTCGATGTCTCTTTCAGATCTGCTCCATCTCTCAAATGATCAAAATTATCAATTTGATCTGTAATTATCAATTTGATCAACGTTGTCCTGTAACATACAATTAAAATTCAATATATAACAGCATATAAAATAATTAATATTTTAGAAAATTACTACTGTACGCATTAGATTTTATTTTCTATGCGTACAATATCAAGCAGCACTATAGTTAAATAATTTTTATTCAATACAATCAATAAATTTTAATTTATTATAATTTAAATAATAAATATACTAACCTTAGAATTAAATTGTTCCACCAACGCCGCCGCCCCAAACCTCCTCCTGCTCTCTTATTTCATGACTGTCGCTCGTGTGTCTGTGTATACGGCACTCACTAGAGAAAACAATAAATTATAATATAAGCACATATACTCGCAAAAACAAATAATTACACATGATTATGCGCTCGCCTTATCGCACTCGAATACTTCGACTTTAATGGCGGCGATGCGCACTCGATTAGGCGGGAAAACAGCGCGGGAGAAGCGCGCGAAGTCGATACGTCACGATGACGACATCTCGATATCTCGATATCTCGATGTCTCGAAAGACTAACCTCGCATGCGTACTATAATAGAGAAGTTCAATGAACAACAGTTGAAAAAATATAAAAATATAATTTACTTACCAATTAAATGCGTTTGGAATTTATTCGTTTCGCGTTCACGATGTTTCGTTGTAAATGATATTATAGCAGCTTTATTGATACGATATATACGATATGCGTATCAAATATGTGCGAAAAAAAGTGAGCAAAATATTTTGCTCCGAAACGGATCGTCGTTTCAATACTACATCACGAGTTACTTAGAAATTAAAATAATGCGCGAAATGATATTCACTTGTCACTCAAAGAATGATCCCGTAATACTTATTCTCGCAATCGTGACTCGAAAAATAATTCGTATATATACGGAGCGCGTCGCGTTGCTGCCTACAAAATATGTGATCACGCGATCGCCAAATGCCGAGTTTACGCATATATATATATATATCCGATGTTTGTGAAACTAGCCCATAGTATATATATATATATATACTATGGGCCAGTTTCACAAACATCGGATACATCTTTAACCCTTATTTTTCGATTAAAGTATATATATCTTCATCTCTTTAAAAACGTATCCAAAAAGAGACACAAAGATATATATAGTCAATCTAAAATCTAAAATCATGTGATGCAAAGAAATTTATTACACCGTCTAAAATTATTAAAATACTATATACATATATATATTATATTCCAAAATTATGATCAACTTACTCCACTTTCTGTAATGACTATAGCTAGTTTCATTCGTATCAACATTTGCTGCTTCGAATCTTCAGTCTAATCGTCAAGATCTGCTTGATATTTACTGTCACTGATAAAGTCCGCGAGAAAAATCTACCTATTAGTTTCAATAATTAATAAATATTGCCGGCAACGCTATTAATGAGCAGCACACGTTCTTTGATTTGATAGTAAATTGAAAGTAAATTTTACAACCAGTCCTCGTCCTGCCATCTAGACAGCGACGATGTAACTTTTGTCCAGACGTCACGACGACGTCACGTGACCAACTTTTTCGCGTTTTCTAATTGGTTGTTTGCGTTCCAAAATTTCCTCGTCGATTGTTCATCTACGTTATTCGATATAATCGATGATAACTCTAGAATCTGGGGAAATCTAGTGATGTTGTATCGATAAATTTGGCTAGCTTTACCGATGCATGGCACAATTGCAAACATAAACTATTTGCAAAATGGCTGGCGACAAGATTGTTGATTGTTCACAAAATTGTAACAGCGAAAGGATAAGCGAGAATGGTGACTTGAATCTTAATTTGAATTTGGAGGACGAACTCGTCGAATCAGTCGAATATATACCTTGTCCGGAATTTCAATTTTCGGTAAATCAATTTCCACTCTTTCAATCTTGTGCCTTGACATTTTTCTGTCAAGGTGCTCTACAATATTTTATGACAATAAGTATTGTTCATTTTGCATCAATAGCGTAATTTTGTATACGATTCTATCGTAGAAGATGTTACATCAAACATATGAAATGTTTCTCTACATCGAGAATTCTTTGACAATTAATCGTACAATTTTTTGTTGTTAAAATAAGCATCCTCTTTCTGTGTTATAACTTCATTAATAAGTTACTTATTTTTTAATAATACATTTGATTACATTTATAGTTTTCATATTATTTTATCGCCTCATTATTTTTGTAAATTTATATCCATGTGTGTGTATATATAATGTGCATAAACTTAAATTTTTAGGCAACAGCATGTTATATTTGTAACGGTTATTATGGACCTTGTTTTGAGGAACCAGTCTGTGCAACTTGTCATGCATTTTTATTTCCAAATGATATTGATCTATTACAAGTCCCAATCTTCAGTGAGGTATATATCTAATCTATCTTCTGAAATAATCCTATATTTATTATCTAGATTATTTTTTTATATAACATTAATAAATTGTTAATATTGATAATGTGTACAAGTTATTAATATATTACTTTTCATGCATTATTAATAATATTGATGTTAATTTTACTCATACATATGCTTTTTCAATCTAAAATAGAAAACAGATGACGAAGATTCAGGAAATGATGAGCCAACTGATCTTTATTACAATCATGAGAGAAGAACTAGTCAACAACAACAAAATTCTCCACAGAGCGTCAATCCTAATATCCCAAACATACAACAGAATGCCTCAAACCATAACATGAACATTTCTCGCAGATCTTATGTGCAATATCAAAATGCAGTGCCTCAATGTAACTATCATGCTCTGCAAAACAATTCAAATAGCAATTCTGTTGATAAATGTATGGTAGGGTTTCCAAGAAATGCCTCAGTATCGCGTGATGTGAATCTCGATCTGCAGAGTATGATGTGTCGAACGAGAAGCGGTTGTCATCAAAATTGCATAAACGGAAACGATCGACACGTTCAAGATATGATGGAGGAGGATTTGCGATGTACATCAGAGACATTTGGCCATGATGGCCAGAACAATGAACCTAGAGACAATGCTGCACCACAGTATCATTGGAACTACAGAGTGTACGAGGATGTAGGCGAGCCATCAAGGCCATATAATTTATCTGAGAGACTAGAGATATTATCGAATCACAGGCACATCGATCATGAACCTATTAACGAACCAGGTCTGGTAGAAAGATTACCGCCCGAGGTGTTGCTCGCAATCTTCTCGCATCTTGACGACATCAGTCTGTGGTCAGCGGCGAATGTTTGCCGACGATGGTGTGGTTTATTATCGACGCATGTAACGCAGTTGCAATGGAAGCAGCATGTCAAACTACGCTGGCCCCTGTACAAGCCTATCGGCTGTGTCAAAAATTGGTACAGGGTGTATGATTACTTAGCATCCTCGGCGCCATGTCGAACTTGTTTGGCGCAGACGTCTTTGAGATCCAGACCTTCGAGGATGGAGGAGAATTCTTGGCGAAGGAATAGACTACGCAGTGAACTTAAAAGTTTAAGAATTGATCCACCTGAAGGAATTGAAGCAATGCCACTTGATCATATGTGTTGTCATTGGCAGGCCACAATCACGGGACCAGTAGGAAGCCCATATGAGGGAGGATTATTTTATCTATATCTACAAGTACCCTTCAGGTATATATGTAAAAACTACAATAATTCTATTTTTCATAATCACATTTCATATTCTTGATAATAAATTGAATGCTCCAATAAAGAAATATTAAAATGTCTGTTAAAATTTAATTGCACAATATCTAGAAAATTAAATTTTAATATAAAATGGATTATAACAAAATAGATATAACAGAATAGATTATAACAAAAAAACTAATACATTTTTTTTAATTTTATGTCAATGCTTTTATCTAAACTTTAAAATCTATGAGTAAAAAAGTGCCTAGTTCTCATTTTGTATTCAGCACTTTATGTTATTAATATTCAATTTTAATTACACATCTTACATTATATTTTATATTATTAAATTTTATATATATAACATGTACTTTTCTAGTTATCCCATGTGTCCACCTGTAGTGAGGTTTCTAACAAAAATACTTCACCCAAACGTCTCTAGACATGGAGATGTTGGCATAGATTCGATACATCATAATTGGTCTTTGGCTCTTACAATATCTAAAGTCCTTATTAGTGTACAAAGTCTACTTACAGACCCATATTGTCAAGTAAGTAAATTTTGATATTTTATTGAGTTAGGAAATAAATCGATTGTTTTAATTAAAAATTTGTATAAACAAATCCAGAAAATTATAAAATAAATTGAGAAATTTACAATATATTCTATGCATCAATAATGCAATTATATTATTATTGCTAATCTGTGACAATGATTATTTAGGTATGTATGGAGCCAGAATTAGGAGAGATGTATATGAATGATCGTGAGAAATTCGAGGAAGTGGCAAGAGCGTGGACATGGAGGTACGCGATGCATGATGTTGTGATGCCACTTTAGTGTACTGAAATGTATAAATCTCAATTAATTTGTGTAATTAATACTTAAATTACTTAGACGTTATTAATATACACATTAGATTCTTATCTACAAATTATTTAATAAACTGATAATAATTTGTGATATATTGTACTAAGGTCTGTGAAGAATGTATATTTATAGGAATTATTTGCTAATCACTATTGTATACTAGTGAACCGATCATTTTGTATATCCTAAAGTTCATTATAAAATATATATATATATATATATTAACATTTTTACATTGTTATTTTAATATTTATATTTTTATGAAATTATCAAAGATATGTCAGATAATACAATACATGGGAACTTGTAAAACAATTTTCCAAATTTTTTTATTTGAATTTAAATACTTAAAATAATTAAATAATAAATTGAGCTTTTTTCACGAAAATTGTAAGCTAAATGGTAAATAATAAAATATATAATAAATTTTTTTAACATGATTTGTGTGATCGAACAGAGGCTCTTATGGCAACCCTGCTTGTACGGCGGGAGAGCGTTGATTGGTTAACCTAAAAGTCGCGTGTTTAAACATCTCGTCGACCGCAGAGTAGCGCTTGAATTACGATTGAATTTCGGTCGAACGAAGGGAATCCAGGTTCCGGAAGGAATCGAGAAGAAGGACAGATATTTTCGAGCGGGCGCGTAAACCTGGAGCTCGATTTCCGCTCGCTCCGGGTGGCCTGAGATGACAGGTATGTTTCGAGCGGCGACGTAAGATGATCCTGAGGAGTTTCCCGTTCGCGCAATGGGTCCTGATCCTGTTCCTCGCCATCGTGATATTCTATCTGCGGCTGCGGCTAAACGAGCTCGAGGAAAACTACAGATCGCTGCGTATGTGTCAAATATTGAATACGTGTAACTTCGTTTAGAAATTGCTCCAAATTCTCTTCGAACATCCACGACGCTAGAGTAACTTCGTTTCCTTTTCCAGACGATGCTGTCGTGCAAACGAGGCTCGACACGACTAGGAACGACGCCCGCGTTGAGGCGCCGAGCAACGGGGGCAGTCCCGAGGACGTTGTCGTGATATACAACAGGGTGCCGAAGACTGCCTCCACCAGCTTCGTGGGATTAGTTTACGATTTGTGCAAACAGAACAAGTACCATGTGCTGCACATCAACGTGACCAATAATATGCACACCCTCACTCTCGCTAATCAGGTGCTACATCTGTCAGTTTGGGACAATTCAATTGTCTGTGTTGCAACATACTTGTTAAAGCACAATCATTTTTGCTGCGATAACATTTCACATAGCAGAGCATAGAAAGTATAAAATATAAAGTATCACTAAATTTTATTTCTACTTGCTGTTGCTTTGTCTTATTTCTTTATCAATTAGATATTGGTTGCGTTCAGTAGCCATTATTTCATTAAATTTAAAAAGTGATAAACTAAACAAATCTATTTAGTTCTCAACTATAATTTTTCAAAACACTATATACTGATTTATTTGATATTTTAAATTATCAAAATAAAATCTCTTAACTTTTTCTTACCAATGCAAAGATAATTAGAACATTTTTAATTTATACTTTTCTAAAAGTATTGTTACATACATAATAAAGATATTTTAATATATTAATGTAGAAATACGTATAGGTCCAATTTGCGAACAACATATCAAACTGGAATTCTATAAAACCAGCATTTTATCACGGGCATATGGCATATTTAAATTTTGAAAAGTAGGTAGAGTGAAGTTTACATCTTTGAGATAAATTCGCTTATTTTATTTAACTAATAATATAATTTAATTTGCAGATTTGGTATTAATCGTACGCCTTTGTATATAAATTTATTAAGGAAGCCTTTAGATAGATTTGTATCTTACTATTACTTTTTACGATATGGCGATAATTTTAGGCCCCATCTGATAAGAAAGAAACATGGAGATACAAAGGTTTGTATTTTTATATCAGAAATATAGAAAATATAAATAAATTTACTCGATCAAATTATTTTGTTTGTTTAGACATTTGACGAATGCATAAACATTGGTCAACCTGACTGTGATCCTAATAATATGTGGCTACAGATTCCATTTTTATGCGGCCACGACCCAGCTTGTTGGTAAAGCTTCATCTTTTTATAACTTTGCAAGTAAAAAAGTTTTGCAAAAAATTTATCTATATTTTTTAATACACTTAAATCAAAAATATATGTATACTTATATATGATAATTGTAAAAATATATATGCTTATTATTTCTTTTGCAACAGGGAGATTGGTAATAGCTGGGCATTAGATGAAGCCAAACGAAATCTACAAAGACATTACTTCCTAATTGGTGTGACAGAGGAGTTAAATGACTTTGTGGAGGTATTGGAAAATGTATTACCACGATTTTTCAAAGGAGCGTACAACTTTTTTTTACATAGTAAGTGTCTAGTAATTTGAGAGTATTTATTAAAAATTTTTCGAAATCACAGCACAACACATATTTTTCCTTTATTCAAGAGATTATCACAGTTAACATATTATAAATCACATTAAATATAATACTTTTTTTAACTTTAGACAACAAGTCACATTTACGACAAACTACTCAAAACTCAATCCATTAGCTGAGACAGTAGAGAAGATTCAGCAGTCGGTTGTCTGGAAAATGGAAAATGAATTGTATAATTTCGCTTTGGAACATTTTCATGCTGTAAAAAGACGACTTATAAATGCTTCCCCTCAAGATGCAAATCAACGCTTTATGTACGAAAAGATACGGCCAAAATAAATCTCTACTTTTTTATATAAAACTTTACTTGAAGAATATAACAGTGCAAATTACAAATTCTTCCAATATTCCTGCGACGAATAACTGCTGAATGTGTACTTAATGTAATTAAATGTAAGATAATTTTTTTTATAAAATCATTAATTTATCATTAATCCTGTGGTCCTAATCATTTATTTTCTTTTCCTACACACACATAAATTATACACAACATAAAAGTTTTTCTTCAAAATTCTTTGTCTCAACACTTGTAATATTTTTAAGAAATTAATTATACAAATAATTTAAGCAGATCTATTTAAGAAAGTATTATGGAAAAACAATTAGCATAATGATATATTTGATTTGTATACTATGTGTCATTGACTAATTCGACACTACAATGATTTCTTGGTCTAAGAGCAAACATGTGAACTGGAAATAAACCACGTGGAAAGTTAGTTTGTCGTAGTTCCTTAACACAAATAAGATCAGCTTTTTCAAACAGAAATTGTAAACATTTCATTGGTCTGGTTACAGAGGAGTCCTCTGCATCAATTTCTATATTATTGGAACTTGTAATATTTTCTTTCACCACAAGTACACCGTTATTTTTTAAACCCAATCTGCAAATTCAAATTTTAAAAAATGAGAAATAATGCTTCATTCTTCTTCTATATAATAAGAAAGCAGACTGGAACTCACGAGCACTTTTTGAAAAATTCTACTAAATCATCATCCTGTAAATGTCCCAATACCCATTGGCACCATATAAGATCGTATTTATTTGCTGCAGGGCAGAAGTCTTGCAAGCCTTGAAAGACAAATATATTAGTATATCTGTTGCACTAATAAAGTTTCAATTTTATAAATATAAATACACTACCAATAGGATAATACTGATCGATTCTCGACGAATGGTTTTCCAAAGAGATTTTTGCTACCTCTAAGAACTTGGGATTTTGTTCGACTAAATCTATGCGTTTAAAATTCCTCATTAATAAATTCTTGGTGATTCTGCCAATACCAGCCCCACAATCTAAAGCATATGCTCTCGAAGGTGGATTTTCCAACTAAAACAGATGAAAATAATAGTTTTCTTGCAGATATATATTTTAGTTTACTATTTAATCTCTCTCTTTTTATAATTTTTCTCGAATTTTTGATCAAATTATAATAAATTTCAAAAATTGAATAAAATTTTAATTTTATAAAATGACAATTTTAATTATTAAAATCATGGATTAAATTTGCTATTCTTTATTGTATCACTATTTTTCTATTATTCCTTCTTAAATCGAAACTAATTTTCTTTCGAATAGGAATTAAACACTGCAAAAATTATGCATAATTACGAAACATGGTAAATGAACATACTATACATTATTGGATTTTAAAACTAATCCTAGATTTCACAGCAATATGTATCTTAAATCCACTTTAATTCATCTATTTTTTTAATTAAACGTGCAATTGCATTCACAATCAGATCATTTCACGAAATTGAAAATAGGTTAGATAAGGGTTATAATACGTACCTCGAAAAGAGATTTTAAGAAATGCATAGAGCCTTTTATGTCAGTCTGCGAGATAAATCCGAATCCTCCTAGCATTCCGTCCACCGTAGGTGGAATGCGGTCCCAATATTTCGCAGCCGCGTTATAAAATTCGCCCTTGCACGTGTTCGCGTCATATTGTTCCGTCTGCATTTTTGTGCACTATTTTCTATGATTTTTACAAATATACCACACGCACGATTCCTTATAAGATTCTATACATTCTCGTCAAGATAAATATGACATAAAACATTACAAAAGTTATAGTTCTCCAACAAAATCTCAGATAGCTACCCGGAATGACAGGTGCCAAGGGCGGAAGGGCGAGCCTGTAAATTGTTCCGACATATGCGCACGCACTATCGCTTACGTGCGCATGCGTCAGAAGACCACGTGATTGAACATGTGACTGATCACGTGACTGACAGACACGTATATAATTAATGCAGTATAAGGTGCTCTTAAAATCCTATAAAATTAATTTAATTATCTATATTAATGATTATTATCAATATTTGTGTATTATGATGCATAAAACAATGGATTATACGAAATTATAAATATGTATGTGAAGGAAAAATTATATATAAAAGTTAAAAAAATTTTTTTAATTAACATAAAATCTCGAAAATATAAACATATGTAAATCGCATTAATTATATTAAGCCCTGCGCACAATAGGAAAAATATTAAATATTAAATGTTAAACAGGAGAGAGAGAGAGAAAAAAGATCTTTTCTCTCTCTCCTGTTTAATATTTAATACTTAATATTTTTCCTATTGTGCGCAGGGCCTTACGATAAAAAAATGTATTATTATTCTTTATATATTATTATTATCAATAAATTTATTATTTAATAATGATAAATTTTTTAATTATTTCTTTTTAACATTTCCTATTCAGATTTCTATACTGTGTGTCTATCAATCTAATGTGATATTAATCAATGGATTTTTAACATTATCTTATACTGCAATAATAAAAAAATGCATCTTTTGACGAAACAGTGATTTCGATTCTTGAAATATTAAAGCAACATGTTATGATCGGAATAATTTTCAAACTTTTTTATTTAAATAATTTATGCTACTTGCTCTTTTTTATAATATAAAAGAGAAAAGAGGACTTGGATAATAAAAATTTAAACTTTTAATAATTAGGAAAGTATCAGGAGAATATAATCAGATAAAAAGTAGCACAAATCACATAATTTGAAAATTGTACTTTAAGATATATATATATATATGTCTGTGTGTGTGTATACTAATTTAATATATCTTATTGTTAATATGTAAATATACTTTCACGCTCTTAGAGAAACGAATTGATGGAATACATCTAAAATATGAGGATCCAAGTCTGGAGTAAATAATAAAGTTTCCAATGTTGAGGAATACTTTTGTACTTGTTCCTGATGCTGTAAAATAAATATAAGCCTTTATTATAAACATCTTGTAATTATAAACAAATGAATAAGAGAGTTATATATTAATAATTTCCAAATCTTATTTTTAAAATTAAATTTATGCTACCACATGAGATAATAAATAATTTAACTTACAGATAAGAAAACTTGTTGTAATCTTCCTACAGTCCATTTATACCAATGGGTGTTGTAATCAATTCCATCTGTATCACAGCGCACTAAATGTTCTGAGAGAATCATTATAAATCGCTAAAAAAAAAAAAAAAATATATATATATATATATATTACAAATATATATATTACATGTAGTATATTATATACAATACAACATATATATCCTATTTTATATATAAACTATACAATAAATGCAACAAGTATGTTGCTGTTTTTTATCTCAAAAATATCTTTCTTTTGCAATAATAATGTACATTTTTAAATACCTGAAATATAATTAGAAATAAATTTTTCTGATTTGCTTGTGCAGCTTCCAATTTTTCTTCCATTCGTTCTACTACATCTTCCGATGGCCTCTCCCTATTTTTTTCTTTATTATTATCCTCATCCTCCGAAGAAGAGCCTGATCTACTTTCTGCTCTCCTTAATTTTTCCCTAGCTTCTGCTAATTCTGTAGTCAACTTTGTCACATGCTTATTCATTTTGTGTATCGTCAAATGTAGTATCTCCCAAATATATAATCTGAAAATAAAAATTTTTAGATTATAAGGAGAATTTTTCAATATATATCTATACAATATTTTAGTAATATTTGAAAATAAAAAATGAACAAACATGTTATAATAAAAAGCTTGTTAAGTAATGCACTAACTTTGTAAATTCTGATGCCATCTCTTTGGAAAATATCCAATTGGCGATAGCACTGCATTCAATAATAGCAGTTTTTAAAAATTTGTCAGTTAACACTACCATCATTTGATAATGATTCTTCCACAATGCATACATGTTTCTTAATATACATATCTGAGCTTCTTCTGTTTCAGCAAGTACCTGTAAACAAAATGTATTTACAAGTGTGTATATATAAAAATTTATATACATGTACACGTGTGCACACACATTTGCATTATTTAGCAACATTGTCATGTGACTTACCTTAAAAACATAATGAAACTTAACTATAGCTGCAAAACTATGACTGAAACTTTTTGAACCCAGATTCAATAAGGTTTGTACAAAAACATCAATCTTCAAAGGATTGTAATTATTTGTCTCTTCATTCTCTCTAGGACCAGGTAATGTATTTAATACATTCAATACTTCTTCTGGTGTACATTTACGTCTTATAGAAACCACCAATTCATGTGCTGCAGCTGTACCAGGAAGTGAACCTGAAATAATTTGCAAATACATTAATGTTACTATTATTTTTTCAATATTTTTAATTTTTTTTACCTATATCTTTATTATTTTTAGTAAAATCGCACAATTTATAATTTATTTATTCCATTGTGTACTTACTAGCACCTTCAGATGAATATTTGTACACAGGATCAGGAGCTAGTGGAATCAGTTCTACATAAGAATCTGGCATCATGTCCCGAATCCTTTGATAATATGACAATCTAGAAATGAAAAGATTTCACGTATAATTTCATATTTTAATAAAAATTGCAGGTGCTTAGAGTTTCAAATATAATATTGGTATAAAAAATATATATATATATATATATATATATGTAGCAATTTATTTTAAAAAAGCGATTTGTGTAATAAACTGACCTCAAAGCTTTAAGCAGGACTTCTCGTATAAATTTTGGTCTTGGATGTTCTGGATCACGTTGCAGACAAGAATCCCAATCTTCCCATGACCAACGAAATTGAAAGTTGCTCAAGTGATATGCAAACCACCAAACAAAACGATCAAAAGCTGTGGCTGCCATACTATCTATACGGCGAAATAAAATTTCAGTCGCCTGTGCTAATACCTGAAAAATACAATTTAAACATTATTTTTTCTATGTTACAATTTTAGATAATTAAATATTAAACTTGAAAAAATTATATAGTTTATTTTTTAACCTGTGGCATAGTTGAAGGTTGCAACTTGCAGAGTTCTATCAAAATTGATCCATAGCAAATCTCTAAGTGTTTTGGAGTAGGCAGTCTAAACAATTCACCAAATATTACTTCAACAATACAATAGTCCAAAGGAATTTTGGCTTTAAATGGAAAATTCAATAATTGTGCAGCACTGTAACATATAAAAACAATTAATATTATTATATATAATTCAGAAATAATGTTATAAGAGTATTATAAGAAATTTTGTTAGAATATAAAATATTGCACACACATACACATATAATGTTAAAAAAAATATTTATATATATTACCAATCTTTTCTCTCAAAAAAATAATTGTTAATGATCTGTCGCAAGTGTTCTTCTATTAAAAATCTCTCAATAGCATGACTTCCTGGTAATAATGGTCCTTCAGCAGGGCAATCTGTATAGTCAAACATACGAAAGACGACAGTAGGCAATGGATAAGAATAAGATTCATGATGTGGAGGAGGCATCAAAGGTGGTAAATTATGTTGTAACGCTTCGCACAAAATTGAATCAAATGCAAGATATGGTCGTGGAATATGTTTCTCGGCCCAATTGTCTTGTCTCAGTTTACGAACTTGTGCCCATAAGCAATCCAAGTATTCTTCTTGCGGATGAGGTGTATCACTCGACCAAACTCTCAATGCTGGCTGATGTTTCTTACTTCGTTTATTCAAAAATATCTCTATTGTAACCATTAGATGATCTAATTCTTGTTCTTTTTTCTCATATAATTCTCTTCCAACCCAAGGTAGTGTCGATAGAACGGCATAAACATACCTGCAAAATATTATTTATAATTATTTTAAAAAGCATTATAAATACACTTGTACATTTATTTTCTATAAGTTATATAACAAAAATACTTCTTAAGGAAATGAAGATCTTTCTCACATACCAATCACGTCTAACTTGCGGTACACCATCTTCATTTGCAGCATCAAGCATATTGTCAAACAACTGCATCAACGATCCACATGACAAAACATGGCAATTTACTAAATCAGCTAGAAATCTAAGAGAATATCTAGCCACGTCCCATTTACATGCTTTCAAAGAATCCTTGAAATTTTTTACCATATAATCCACAAATTCTCCACCAAAATTAAAATTTTTTGCATTTAGTAGCCCAACAAGAGTAGTATAAATTGTGCACTTCTCTGGCATCTTAATAGCACAATCTGTTAAGATACGTAGAATCTTACTACGAAATAAACCTAAGTCAGCTTCCAATACAGAAGCCAAGCCTTCCAAGTTGCTTTCCAAGGATGATGTTGATTTCTCTCCAACGCGAAGGATAAGAGATTCAAGACGATCTTCAATCTCTTGATTCTCTGATACCCTCCTGCGTTTCTTATATACTCGTTCTAAAAATATATATACATAATTTTACAAATAAAATAAATATAAACATTTATAAACAAGTTGATCGAGTAAGATATGAGTTTGGAGTTAATTAAACTAGTTTAACCATAAATTATTTTGTAAAAATAACAGACTCTTGTCAACTATTTATTTTCTTCTAATCATTATTAAATCTTTATTGATAGGAACTAGCCGAGCAATGACTAGTTCTTGTCAGAAACGCATACTTTCTCATAAGTATTCTTCATATAATTGTTACAAATCTTTTAAACGTATCATCTTATTGATGCGTTGGCATACTAAAATGATATTAGTTTTGATAAAATTTCAAAATAGGCGAGAGAAGAAAGCAAAATAGGATGTTTATATCGACAAGGATGTAATTTTAACATCATAGCTAGCCATCCGGCAAATCGTAATATCGGAGAAATAAGACAATAACTCGAGCAATATAATTACCGTAGCCATCATCCTCTTCGTGTACTCTTCTACGACTCATACTTTACAGCGTTTCTCTCCTTCAACTAAACTTCAGTTTACTCGAAAATACTCTTAACTAACCCTGTTACTGGCGTAAACGAGCCATATGAAATAGAACCGTGCATAGAGAATAAAACAATGATGATGGGAAAAATAAAATCCACGACGAACATAAATTGGACAAAAATCGCGTCCAATAGAAAACTTCGCTACAAATTGTCCCTAGATCAACGAGCTCTCTCATTGGCTCTTGAACTGTCGCGTTTAGCCTCGCTTAAGGTTGACATTTGGGCGGATGCGCACAGCTGATCGAACGAGAAAGGGGTGGGGGTGGCTCCGCCAATCAGGTGTCCGATGCGGAAGGGCATGCGCAAAGATGGCGACCCGTATATCGGCGTCCCAAAAATCGCTTAGAGACGGCGGAGACGAAATTAGATCGGAGTAATAGAATTTCGTCGGATCGTCGCGCGAGCGAGAACTACCTCGAGATCTCCTCCTCGTAATTCTCCGCGGAGGTTAATCCTGGCGCGCATGCGCGTCCAGAGATTCACCGCGCAGGGATCCGCAGAGCGCGAAGAGACACATCCAGAACCTGTCAAGTCGTGTCGGAGGCGACGTCGGTGTCCTCCCGCGCGTATTCGTGTGCGTATTCGCGTGAATCGTCGTGTTTGTGTGCGTGCGCATCCCCGCGTGCTGCACATACGTTTATGTGCGTGTTTGTGACGAAAACAGAGCCCCGAGATCGTCGTGGAAACGCAGAAGAGTATCTCTCTCTCTCTTCTCTCCGTGCGACATCCCAGAATCGTGCGTGACGCAACAAAACAAACGCAAAGAGAGAAAGAGAGAGAGAGAGAGAGAGAGAGAGAGAAAGAGCGAGAATAGTCGTCGTAGCCGAGAGAGTCGCTCGGTAATCGATATGACATTCGCGTAATCCGCGTAATCATGGGTCGTCGTCCTGCCCAAGGTTCGTCGTCATCGTCATCGTCACCGTCATCGGCATCGTCATCGTCGTCGTTGTCGTCGCGTGTAAACACGACGGCGATTCGGTGAAGACGGAAGAGTCCGTAGAGAGAGAGAGAGTGCGACTGCGAGACTTTTGTTCCGAAAAGAAAAGGGAAAGAGAGAAAACAAGACGAGTGCGGAGCAAGGTGAACGAGTGCGATCCACAGTCTTCCGATAGGGACAACATTCTCGTCGTAGGAAGCGAGTGCTCCGATTTAGCGTTTTGCGCCAGAGAAAACCGCTCGAATGCGGAGATCGTCACGATGGTGATACGGTAAATAATCAATATTTATCTTTGTAGAGAAAGAGAGAGGCAGTCCCTCTTCTCTTAAAGAGAGACGAAGAGAGCGATCCCTCCTTCCTCTCCCCTCACGGTCGATAGAACGCACGACAATCGTGTCACATCGACGTGCTGCAGTGTACGATTTTCTCTATCTGCAGCCGAGATACTGCGTCGTTGCTATGCATATATTTATGCATTAGATACTTAGATTTGTATTATATTTATACATACATTTACATGTACATTTTTTTGTATATTTATATTTATATTTATATGTATATAATATATATTTACATATAAATTTATAAAAATATATATATATATATTTATATGTACATATAAATATACAAAAAAAATGTAGGTATAAATATAGAAAAAAAGGTGCATTTAAATATACAAAAGAATGTACATATAAATATATAAATAGTGCAGAATGCATAGATATGTAAAATATATTTACAAAGTCTCCTTGACGTTATCACTGGGACTACATGACGGAAATTACGGTCGTTAGCCATAATATTGCTTGATATACCCGGAGATCGCTCTTTTTTTTTTCGCTCTCAATAATGTTATCGTATCCCTGTCTCTGCTGGCTTCTGTTTATGACAATGCACGGACGAAGACACACGTGAATGCACGATAATATTGCCCGATTATTCCGTTAGCCTTCAATTTTATCAGAGGTCGTTTCTTTGTTCTTCTTTTCCGACAATGTTTTATGTTTACTCGCTCCATTCTTGATGAAGAGATTAACGAGAAAGTGAGGCTGAAAATTTATCGCGTCATTAATAATGCATCAGGTATAACGTAAACAGAGATTTATATATTCGTATGAGCGACTTTATGACTATTAATTTACAAAAAAGAAAGCGTCAAGAGATATTATACCGAAAATATTTAATCATCATTAGCAAATCATTAGCGAGAATCGCGAATTTTATCGGGAGTAAAATAAAATTCTAGAAAGTTTTGTCGGGAATGTCACTTAATATGACACTATCCGATGATTTCGCAACACTTAATTATTTACTGCGCGAGCGATAAGTGTGTTTTGTTTGTAATTTGAATATCTGCTGACAGTCTTGCTGTGTATAATGACTTGTGTATGCTAAAAGCTTGCTGATAGTGCGTCGAAACCTTGTATAATAGCATGAATTTAGTTTCATTTTATTCAATGCAAATATCTATTGTCAATAGAGTAAAACACGATAATGCATGAAAAATCAAACTTTAACATCAATTGTTATTTCTATGAATTAAAAGGGATTATCTTATTTTCTTGTACGAGAAAAGAGATTGGGTTGTAAAGGAATTAATGTTTTGTACACTAAAAATTATCAAGAGAAATGTTTATATGTATTTAAACAGATTTTCCTGTATGCAGATTATTAACAGCATGCTGATAAATGATTGTTTATGTATTTTGATATTAAAAAATGATTGTTTATGTGTTATATATTATTACAAGGAATTTTTAATATAGTCCTAATTTCACAAATTATTATTTTGATTATTTTAAATATAATTATTTTAATTTTTACATAATTTTACATACAATCACATTACTATAATAGCAGTCGTAATAGCCCACTTGCATGTACCTATAGAGAAAATTTGAGGATGATTGATTAGGTAGGAACATCTACTGTATTATTATAATATAAACTGATTATAAATATAAACGAGGAAAACATCACTGAGAATTGCAGAAGGACCAATTGAAAAAATCAAATATATTTTTATTTGAACATAAAAGTTAAATAATGTAAAAAAAAATTATACTTATCACTAAAGCATATCTAACATTAGAATCATCAGAGAAATGATGTCTAAAAACTAAGAGAAACAAGCTGAAAAAAAAGGTTTTCCTTTAACAATATAAGGCAACAATAAAGAGACGGACCGATTTATAAACAATGAAAATTTTAAAGAAATTAATTTGGCGAACAAATAGAAAAGAGAGAGAAGGGAGAGAACAAGTGAGAGAGGCCAGCTAATTATGATCTTTATATTGAATGTTTTTCATTGCAGATCATAATTACCGATTCGCAGCTTATGCAATTGCTCAGATTTGTCTGCAACCGCGTGAAGATCCTTAAGACTGCCCGTCCTTATCAAGTTACCCTTGCAAGTACCATGGAAGTAATAGAAATCTATAAATCCTACTGAAAGGAGGATGCCAGTAACTAAACGCATTCCATATCCTTCGCGGTAAGTAAGAAATTACGGTTTACGTATTATTACGTAATGTAAGCCGCGCAAAACTGTCTCACAATCACTTCTGCTCAGATACAATTTGAATTTCTTTATAGAAAAGGCACCCTTTGTAAGAAAACACGAGGCTGTACCGTGACATATAAGAGCTTTTGCGTAAAAGAATTACATTGTAAAATAAAAAAGTAAACGACAGATCTGCTATGTACATAATATGTGACAAGGTGATGTATCAAGTACTTGGTTTCAAATCTTGAGCAAATCAGTCTCATTGCTATCTCTAAATCTAATGAAGAGAGCTTTTGCTTATGCAAAGGTGCAACGATTCATCTGTTTGACGAATTAGCTGGCCTTGATTACATTAACAATCAAGTTAACAATGTTAAAGTCCGATGTAAAACATGAAAACTTTATTGTAGTCTCATACCTTTGATATCTATATATATATATATATATATATATATGTTTTGCTTCTGGGATGAAAGGAAAGTATTTCCAGTTACAGACATCCTTCTGTTCAAAATTTCCACGATTATCGACACATTTTGATCCCATTTTAATTTCCAACGACGATTTCCAATTCCTCCTTTTCCTTGGTGGAAGTTAATCACGCAAGATTAATCAGAGCACTCAGGAAATTTATATAATTGGTACAATTTAACACACAACGCATATTCTATTACGATTACATTCATCCTCCATTTTACTCTTATGATCTCCTAACTAGGGCTATTATGACTGCATTGTATTAATCTAAGGATTTATCTTTCTCTCCTGCAATGTCGAAAATTTTAATAAGATAAGAAAATTCACTGCTTTTTGTAGGCTTAATAAAATTCATAGAAGATTGCATAATTACCGCATAATTTTTATGTTAAATCAATTTTTTGCAGAGAATTAACAAATAAAAATGTTTCAGTAAAATTTTTCATAGAGTGATGTGCCACTATCTTTTTTTTCAAACTGTTAATATTAAAAAAACAAGGAGAAAAATTAATAATTACTAGAATGTTGAAAGATGTTATGGTAATTAAATAAAATTGATTAATATCTCAACAAATTAAGCTTTAAAACTGTAAGTAGATTACAACTTATCTTTCAATCAATTTTAATTTACTTGCTATCAAATTTAATTTAATTTTTTGTTATTTTTTAATTTAATTTGAAGGCTCATTTGTAAAATACTTAATGTTGAAAAACATTGGGGAAAAAAGAAATTCTAAAATTTTTACTAAGGAAAAGAGACTAATTACAAAACAAAAGAAAAAAAGTGATAGTAGCGGATCACCCTAAATATATAGATATACATGTATATAAATTGTAAAAGATTTATACCATTATTTTATTAGATCCGACGGCGGCAGTAGTGAGAGCCCGTTGCTCGTGGAAGAAGGTGAAACAGTCGGGGCACCTCACAGTCCACGCAACATTCACAGTCACAGCCATTCACATGGCAATCCACACCGGTCTCACAGTTACCATCATGAGAAGCCGAAACAATTAGTGAAATACGGTGAACTAGTTATACTCGGGTAAGAAGTTTTAGTAGATGTAAAAAAACAAAATGTGATTAGCGAGAAACATTAACAATTAATGAATCTTTGGCAGATACAATGGTTACCTTCCACCTGGCGATAGGGGTAGAAGGAGAAGTAAATTCGTATTATACAAAAGACCCGTGCCAAATGGCGTTAAACGTAGTAAGCATTACATCGTTAAAACGCCTCATAGTTCACAAGCCATCCTCAACACGAAGCAACACTCAATCTCGTACACGCTTTCCAGAAACCAGGCCGTTATCGTCGAATACACGGAAGATGAAAAAACAGACATGTTCCAGGTAAAAATCCCAAGTCTTTATGCTTCTAAGTTGTTTCAACTTTTTGGTAAGTTTTACCCGATAGGTAGCATATCTTTATTTCTTTTTTTAGAACTTATCTGAAAAGAAACGAAAATATGCTACATGCCTGGTAAAACTTACCAAAAATTTGGAAAAATCAGTCCTAAATAATCGTTTCTGTTTTATTTCTCGATTTTTTTTTTAAATTATATGGCAATATATATGTATGTGTCTAAATCAAAATTATATTTGTATAGATCGGCCGTTCGTCCGAATCGCCTATCGATTTCGTAGTGATGGACACATGTGCTGGCGGTAGCGATAGCGGACCTGCTAATGAGGGACGTGGACCTCCTAATGAAGGACGCGTCGCCCAGAGCACCATCAGCAGGTTCGCCTGTCGGATTCTGGCGGATCGATCGGATTCCAGAATCGCGAGAATTTATGCTGCAGGTTTCGACAGTTCGAGAAATATTTTCTTAGGGGTAAGATCTGTAAATTGATTGCGCAGCGATTGATTTTATGTAAACGAATTTATAAGAATTTCATAAGAGAATGAACTTTTTCGGTGGCATTCGGACATTTTATAAGCTATTTCTCAATTCAGGAAAAGGCAACCAAATGGCAAGAGAATCGCGAGATCGACGGACTTACGACTAATGGAGTCTTGATAATGCATCCGCGGGGTCAATTCTGCGGTGGCGAAGCCCAGTGCGGGTTTTGGCGGGAAGTAAGCGTGGGCGGCGGTGTTTTCTCGCTTAGGGAAAGCCGAAGTGCTCAACAGAAAGGCAACGTCGTGGAGGAAGAGAACAATATTCTACAAGATGGTACTCTCATCGATCTTTGCGGCGCTACTCTTCTCTGGCGATCAGCCGAAGGTCTCGCAAAGTCTCCGGTAACATATTCTTTAAAAAGATTATATGTAAAATATAATGTAATTTACATTAGGAAGATGTGTAAATGCGTACTCTCTTTCGCAGACAAAACAAGACCTAGAAGAGTTAGTCGATGCTATAAATGCCGGCAGACCACAGTGTCCTGTAGGCTTGAACACATTGGTCATACCCCGCAAAGCAGCTTCGGATTCAACGCAGCAGCAGCCATACGTTTACCTTAAGTGCGGCCATGTACAGGGACATCACGATTGGGGTCAGGAGAAGGACAAGGTTACAAGAAGATGTCCTATGTGCCTAGTCGCAGGGGCAGTAGTCAAGTTGTCTATGGGAATAGAGCCTGCCTTCTACGTAGACTGCGGACCGCCCACTTACGCATTTAGTCCCTGCGGACACATGGCTACGGAGAAAACTGTCAAGTTAGTAATGCACATTACATTCCATTATACCTTGGAATATTACATCTTAATTGCACTTTGAGTTACTCGTCTTTTTATCGCCACTCCGTTTCTTCTTGTTCGTTTTGCAGATATTGGGAAAAAGTAGCCATACCGCACGGCACAAACGGCTATATCGCGATCTGTCCCTTCTGCGCGGTGCCGCTCGAGGGAACGCCAGGATATGTAAAACTAATTTTTCAGGATAATGTAGATTGAAGATATATAAAATAATGAAACATGTAGAAATTAATAACTTCTTAAGAAATATAAGGATTATTAAACTCGACTGATGCTATTTCACTGAATACCCATAACAGTTTCCTTTTCTCTTTGCCATAGAATAATCTAATTGCTACGCATAATTTACAAAATTTTAAGCAATTAATAAATGGATTGATAAATTTTACAACATTAAAAAAATCAATATATATAATTCAAGATTTTTTAATTTAAATATTTACCTATAGGGCAATTGCAGGCAACGTTAAGAAGATGAGAGACAGGAGATATGTTTTTAATATTTTATTGCCAAAATACACGTAAAAGTTATGCTTACTCGTTCTCCTCCGAACGCAAACGTGCGCTAGCATTTGTTACGCGTATCGAAAGTTGTTGAGCACGCTCGACGATGGCTTTCCTTTTCTTGCTGCTAACAGCATGTGCAATTTCTGCACAGAACTTGCGATTTTGCATCATTAAGACTTCAAGCTCCTGTAAGTAGTTGATTTTTATTAGTATCTTACTCAAAAGTAAATGTTACTAAAATATATATACAAAATAATAAAAGCAATATGTTTTCTATTTTTAAATAATTTCTACAAATGTAATTCACATATTATGTATTACAAAATATATATCATGGGAAATTGATATATATTTTGATATTTAAGAACTTGAAACTATTGCTTTACACTATTTTATCTCACAAAACTCATTTTTAATATTTCTCATTTTATTATTCTTTAAAAAGAAGAAATTTGATAACATAAAAGCGACATTTACCTTTACGTTATGTACAAGGACCTTGCGGAAGCCTGTTGGTAGCATATGACGTGTCTTCTTATTGCTACCATAACCAATGCTGGGCATCAAGTACTGACCCTTGAAACGCCTACGTACTCTGTTGTCAATACCTTTTGGTTTACGCCAGTTGCGCTGAAAAATGTAGCCAATAGTTATACTTTCTACATATGATTCTTTCATTACATTTAATAAATAATTATCATTGCAAAAATTTAATTTCTTGCTTCTTAGTGAAAATAAGTTAAGTACGCTAAGATAATTAAATATTTAATAAGTAAAATATAAAATATATATAGCACGTAAAATAAATATTTAAAATGTCTTGCATAATCAAATTTATAATACAATAAAATTCATATAGATCAGACGATATAACCAAACTTTATAAACACGTTGACGAGACTGACAATTAGCGAAATAAGACATGTATCTACCTTGAGTTTGTCATATCTATCACTTTGATGCCTGATGAACTTCTTCGTCCTCTTCTTCACAATCTTGGGCCGATAGACCGGTCGGATGGACATTTTTAGTTCTGTTTAACAACTGAAACAACAGATCAGCAATCTAAATCACTTTGCTAAACAGTTACTCTGATTTCGTCTCGTTCCCATAAATATTGCACTTTTATACTTCAGAAAATCGTCGACGATCGATCGATTCTCATAAAACAATCGTCCTAAGAACGATGATTATGAAAATTAAGGATTTTCCGCGTGATACATACCGTTCGCTAAAATGCCGTGAAAGGAAAAGGTTAGGTTTCACGAATATACCCCCCACGTTTAAACATAGAATACAAGAATATAGAGTAGAAATCAACGTTTTCTTTTTTTCTTTTAAACACTACCGCTCTCTAGAGTAACTTCATCAATTAATCGCAAGATAAAACAGATTCCTATTTTACCTTCCGAGAGTCAAGAAACTTTGAACAGTCGGTAAAACAGTATCTCCTGGTAATTTTATTGAAAATCGGAAATTTTCAAAGGTTTTCTAAAAATAAAAGAACCCATGTGCACAGTGAACGAACACATCTGAAAGAGCACATGTGTGCGAAAAGCAATGTTGTTTCCGCAAGAAAATGTGAGTTACATATATATAAATGTATAATATATTTTACGCTCCTTTTCGTGTGATAATTAATTTACCGTTCCTTCAATTCATCCTGTCATTTTTTTCTTTTTTTTTCATACTCAATCGCGCACGTGTGTTCATGCATGAATTTATATATCGATTTATATATCATTTAAATTTCTATAAAAAAAAGAGAAAGAGAGGAGCGGATGAACACTTGAACAAATCCTTTATCTCTCACCCACGATTGTCTCTCAAACCGCGCGCTCGATACACCTTATCAGTGACGTGTCTCTTTAAATGCGCGCCTCTTCCTCTCTTTCTCTCTTTCGCTCGCCTGTCGCTCGCGCGAGATCAACGCGGATCACGTCGCCCGACGAGGACTCGAATCCGCGATACGACGAAGTCGTGACCATTCGTGGCTGTTCGCGACGGGACCCCCAACCTCGTCCGTGATGACGCCATGATCTACGTCGTCGTGTCACAGCGCGGACCGTAGACAGCGGGATCCATCCGCCACCAGAGAGCGGTTCCCTTTCTTCTTTTTTTTTTTCCTCCTTAATAATTATGAGTGTCATTGGCCGGGAATCCTAACCACCGGGACGCGGAAATACGGAAGGCGACCCGCGGTGAATCGTCCGCGTCGAGCACGTCCGTGTATTATCGACGAGATTATCGAGGAGGCGGTGTGGAGATAAAAACGGCGCTTTATTAAGGTGTGTTCTCGCCCCGCGCGAGAAATGTCCGTCGAGCGCGACGTGAACGTCTCGGAAGAGTAATCTCGCTCTTCAGGGATAATCGTCAACGTTTGCGCCGGGTCGACCCGGAGGTCGACCCCGCCTCGTACTTCTTCTGGATACTTTTTTCACCTGCCTGCAAACGGGCGAGATTCCTTCCCCCTCTCGTCCGCCCGCGCGCGAATGACACATCCCGATGGGACGATCCAAAATCGTAAATCGTAAATATAATGGCCGACGAATTGAAAGGAAATATAGATTTGCCCGTAGAAAAGTGTTGTCTTGTCCTAGAGAAACATGTTTGACGTTTTGCATCTTTGTGGGAACGATATTCTAATAATTTCGTATCGTGTCTTTTCTTCTCTTTTAATGTGCGCTACACCTTTGACATTTCCATTGCAGGAGGATAATAAGAATGTCTGTGCCACCTCCGCCACCGCCTCCACAGGTTGCTGCTTCTGGGCCACCGGTGGCAGACAACAGAAACTTATTGTTACAGTCCATAAGGGCAGGTAAAACTTTGAAGAAGACTGTTACTGTGGATAAGAGCGCACCTGCTATTGCTGGTAAATCTATTTTACAAAGAGTAAACTAGTAAGATGCAAGATTGAATCGTGTAAAACATGTTGAATTCTTCAATAAAAGTATATCGTTATATATAAAGTGAAAAAGGTATAGGAAATAACAATAAGTATTCGTTTCACACAGGTAAAATTAAGGGCGAATCAAAGAGCCCTTCATTAAGTAGTAATAATAGGACTAATACTTCTAATGCAGCGGTAAGTAGCAGTAGTAATGGTGGACCCATGCCACTGGGTGGTTTATTTGCGGGTGGTATGCCAAAATTAAAACCTACGGGACTAAGAGGGAACATGACCGAGAAAGAGGGACAAAGTGTAAATGTAAATAACTCTAGCTTTCTTCATTCGTCGCCTGGATCCTCTCATAGTATAAAACGCGGTCCACCTCCAGTTCCACCACCAGCTGCTCAGAAACCACAGATATTCAGTCAGGTAAAGAAACAGCTGTCTAATTGATCTGCGTCTCTAGTTGTCAAGTCACTGTGTAATTTCAATATCGCGCAGGGACAAAGTACCATGGATTCCACGACGAGCAATTCGGATACGATGCCCAGATTATTCGCGAAATCAGCCGCCGTGCCTAAACCAGTGCCGTCGTCTAGTCTGTCGAAACCGTCGCCGCCGCCGAAGAAGCTGAACCTGACGAGTAACGTGGCTAGCGTGGCGAGGGCGCAGAGCATGCGACTTCCGCGCTCGTCTCCGGTTCTGGTGACGACAACACCATCTTCCTTGCATCAGTCGCAGGATTGTCTGCACGAGAGTATCATGCCGCAACCAGCAGCGAGACCTACAGTGAATCGGGTTCTCAGGCCACCGATAACGAGACCTCCGTCGCCGCCGATTTCGCGGACGTCGAGCTTCGTGCCTGCGACAAAGCCGCCGTCGCCACCGCCGTCAACTTCCCGGTCCACGAATACGAGACCGTCGTCCCCGCCACCGCCACCAACGACGACGACGCGATCCTCGAGCACGATGCCCGTAATGAGGGCAGCGCCGCCGCCGCCGTCGAGGGTCACAGTCACTGCACCTTGCATACCACCTCCTCCGCCACCGCTTCCTCATCGTCCAGCTCCCACGCATCAGAGATTAGCACCGCCGCCACCTCCGCCCCCGACTCCTCCTACGAGGAGTCTTTCGGTGCGCAACGGCAGCGGTCAAGCCGTGGCGAGCTCCGTTGACCTGGAGATGCGATTCGCTGAGATGTTTCATACAGCATCTAGCTTACCACCTCCGGAACCGTTTAAAGGCTTCGTCAAAGTCTACAGTAGCAGGAATGGTAAGATGGGGGGAGACGAGAAAATTGATCCTTGGTTCTCATCATAAAATATAGTGCACTTCTGATGTAGATAATAATGTGATAAAAGTAGATGCTTTTTCATTCTAGATTTAGATGCACAATGCCGCACATCTAAACGCATCCTAATAAATATATTACACGTTATATTTTAACATGCTCTCATAACGTGCATATATTACTTAAATACATTGATACACATGTGATTATTATTTATATACAATACATAAAATGACACCATTTTTTTTATATGTTTCAAGGTTTTTTTTTAAGGTTTCTTTCAAAGAACTAATTTCTATCGACGTTACTCCTCATGTATTATGTTCCTGCAAAAAACACAACATATCAAGACATAAGCATGTATGACAGAGACAGTTTGCATTGATTTTATAATATAAAAATATATTAAATCAAGTTGCATGCTACTTGTATTTTTACGAATATACAAATTCATCATTATTTTATTGTCACGAGAGACGGTAAATAATAGTGATGTTTCAAAAATTACAGCAGCAAAGCAACAAGCTCCAGCTCCACCTCTTCAACCATCTTCTACCCCTAGTTCACTGCATTCGTTGAATACTTCGTCTGGGAATAAACAGTGGCAACAAAATGCGACTTCTTTGGCATATTGAAAATACAGTCTGTGTATACTTAAATCATTGCTTTACGCACTGATTATTGTTTAAAAACTTCTAAATGCTGCCACACAATAAAATGTTAAATTAAGTATGTGTGAGAAGAATGAATCGGTAAAGCACAAGCGTTTGAGAGAGAATGATATCCTGAATTTGCGAGCCCAGTTATACAATAAAAATGTTTTAGACAATATTTTCTGTACAGTTTATCTTAGGAAAATCTATTTAATATAGATTATACTTATATATATATATATATATACAAATCGTTAGAAACTCTAGGCCTTGTTAACAGAGAAATCTAAAAGAGATTAAAACTAAAGGCACATTTATTTTCATTTTAAAAACATATTCATTTAGCCTTCTTAATTTTACATACTGTATTATACTTCTCTTATATACTTCTATGTAAAATTATAACAGATATATCATCAAAATCATTAATTTACGACTCACTGTGTATTGTATCATTATCAATATATAATGATTTCTCACTTCTTATATATTGATAGTTACTTATTTAAACATTATATACAAAGGCCAAAATATAAGGTTGTAACTTATTTTTCAATACTAATAAACAATTACAACAGCAAAATTTGTCGATTTAATAATAATTATATTAATATACTATATAATTTTTAAAATGCAATTTTTCATATGTAGGATAGTAAGTGATTAATATATTTTCAAGTAAAATATAAAACGTCACTTATCTAACAATATCTTTTATTGTTTTTTATAATAGAATAATGTTAAGTGTGAAAATGTCCAAATTCAGATTGCGTATCGCAATCATATTGCAATCGAATAGCATGTTTGCTCAGCAGGATTAAAAAAAAATGAATATAATGCACTTAATAAATTTAAGAAAATAAATGCATTCTGTAATTATCAAAAAGGGAAAACAGACACTTGTCAACTAGACGAATAAATTGTACATGTAAATAATCAATGATTGCTATATTTAATCTGTTTTACGAGAAAAGCATCTAAGAAATAAATAAGACACCTTTGGCGATGTCCAGAGAAAAAAAATTAAATATTACAATAAAACGATATTAGCCGCAAGCTGATTTTAAATCGGCGATATTCCTCTAAATTTTTCACAATAATGTATTTACTCTGTGTGAGACAACGCAAGATTACGAGACAGTATCACATTAGACAAAATTTAATTTCTTATAATTCAAGCTCCCTCTCGATGATCCTGCGATATTCATCGAAACCTTCTTCAATGCATCGAACGGATCCTTCTCCACAAACCCACAATTCTGTACAAACCATCTGAATTAAACGTTCATCATGCGACACCAATATTACACCAGCCTGCAACAATAAAACGATAATATAATGATAAAAACTGACATCATATATATCCAATAAACATATTTGAAATTGAAATTATAGTTAACGTATAAATAAAAATGGCACACCTGGCAGTTGTTGAGAGCTTTACCCAAGGCTTCAATCGATTCGATATCGAGATGATTCGTGGGTTCGTCGAGCACCAGAAAATTAGGCATTGCCGCACACATTAAGGCGAACGCCACTCTGGACTTTTGTCCTCCCGAAAGAGAATTTATGGTTTGCAAAGCCAAATTGCCACTTATCCCGAAACTTCCGAGCATTCGCCTGTACTCCTCGATTGGTTTGCCTGATGAAGCATAAATAGCAATCATTAACGGGTCCTAAGATAGAGAACATGCTCGCATCAGAAATACATACCAGGAAAGTGCGTTTGTAACAATTCAACGGGACAGACGCGCATGTCCAGTTGATCGACGTGATGCTGACTGAAGTATCCAAACTTCAGATTACGGTGTACATGCACCGTACCTCGTGTCGGACTTAAAGCTCCTGTGATAATCTTCAAGAGAGTAGTCTTGCCCGCACCGTTTTCCCCGACGATACAGATCCGCGACTGCAGACCGGCAGTAAGGTTCACATTGCTAAACACCAAGTCACCTTCGTTGTAGCTAAAAGAGACTTCGTTAAGTTGTAGTATCGGTGGACTCAGTGGCTCGACATCCGGGAAATTGAGAGTTACTTCGCTCTCCTTCTCCATCGGCTTCAAATCAGGTCTGTTAATCAAGTTTGTTCAAAGTTAAATTTTGACTTTTTAGTCTTCAAATTAGTTGCACGTTCAAAAATCATTACTACTTACAATTTCTCCAACATCTTTATCTTGCTTTGTACACTGGACGCGCGATTCGCATTGTACCGGAACCTGTCAATAAATTCCTGTACATGCGCTCTCTTCGCCTGCTGAGCCTCATATTCTCGTTGCTGATTTCTTTCGCGTTCACCTTTCGTTTTCACGAATTGCTCGTAATTACCGCGGTACGCCTCAATTTTCTGTCCACGTAAGTACAAAATATCAGTGGGGACCTGTAGGGAAGGAATAGAAACACAAGAGAATTAATGATATATATAAATATATTTACAATAAAAATATTTAATTAATCAAATTAAATTTTATCATGTAATCTACAAAGAAAATAACTAGTGTCAGAATAAAACGATATATTAAGCTTTTCTTTCTCTTTTTCTTCTTTTTAATAAATGGAAACGTAAATATATTTACCGTATCCAAGAACTTTCGATCGTGCGATACTACAAGTAATGTTTTCGGCCATGTTTGTAGATACTTCTCCAACCAGAGAATCGCTTTGATGTCAAGCATGTTCGTTGGTTCATCGAGCAACAATAGATCTGGTTTAGAGAATAGAGCTCTCGCGAGGGCCAACCTCATTCGCCAACCGCCAGAAAACGCTTTGGTTGGCCAGGATTGTCTTTCCACAGTGAATCCAAGTCCTGACAGGATCGCACTTGCTCTAGCTGGTGCCTTGTCTACTTCGGCTAACTGCATCGCTTCGTACACCCGCGCCAATTCCTCGCCTAACGCATCGCCCGTCTTGGAACCATCCTTCTCTATAGCTGCCTGTAATTTCGTCTCCTGACTGAGCAACGCACTTCGCTCTTGATCACATTCCAAGACGGACTCCAACGCAGACGTATCATCGCCGGCTACCTCCTGCTCGACGTGCAACACTCGCACATGTAATGGTATCCTGAGCTGTTTGCTAAATCCATCGACATTTATCCATTATTAATAATCCAGAAATCTGACTATTTGAATGACTAAACAATGATCTTATCTCCATACCTCGATATCATCCGAAGCAAGGTGGTTTTGCCAAGTCCGTTTCTACCTATCAGACCGTACCGTCTGCCAAACGCGAGCATTAAATCAGCACCATGTAATAATACTCTATCACCATATGCAACATCAAAGTTCTCTATCCTGATGTCCTGGGCTTTGTTCACTCCACCTTTAGTCTCCATTCGACTGTCTTTTTTACTTGTCATTTGGCTCGCGCTAGCTGCACTTTCAGCTAGATGATTGGCAGTGTTAATGCGAGATGCTGATCCCTGCTCATTTACAATTCGTTTCTCCTGCTTCTGTTGCAACTTTGCCTCAGCCTTTTCTAGTTTCTTAGCATCTACTTTCTGTTGTTTTAATAATAAAAAATGTAATTTATATGAATAATAATCTTATATGAATCTAATCTAATTAAATACAAAAGTAAAGATATAAGTATCAACATGAATAATCTTATATAAAATGTATTAATAAGTTAATAATTATATCATTCAATTATATATTATTTAGAATAAAGATTTATATATATATATATGTATTACCATTGCATCATCTCTAGTCGTGACCCATATACTCTTAATCTGCTCAACTTGCGATTCTAATGTAGCAGCCAGAGAACCCAGATGCACCGGAGCATTTAATACTTTATTAACACCATTTTTTCTCCTGTCTATATCATCATCATTTGAACTACCTTTTAATATTTCCAATAATTTGACACATATTTGCCTGTAAAAAAAAATAAAATATGATAAGCTTTAAGTTACGTCAATTGCATTAACAAAAAAAAAGGAAAGAAAAAAATTAACGACTCTTGCGATTGCGGTAACATGATGTAATGAACGGAAATACTATACGATTTCCGTTCAGACAATTAACAGGTAGTTTCGTTAACGAATTAAAGAATGACAAATGCGAACACATTTACAGACCTAACCTCGTTTTCTGATTTGTCCGCTACCTCATGCAAAACCTGCCCAATCGCCTCGTACACCTCGTCGCCATCCTCGAAGTCATCCTTGGAACTATCCAGGATACCTACGTACACACGTCAACGATAGAGCTGCGAACTATTATCGGTGCAAGTTATCCTTAGGTTATCTCACCGAAACGTACCTTCAACGTATTGATACAGATCGTCGTCTATCGTCGGGAATTGACTACGAATATATTCGCCGCAGGTCGCCATAATTAAGGTACTTAAGTAAAAAAAAATTCGTAATCCTAATCGGGAAGAAAGAGCCACGCCAGAGCGAATTTCGCTGCCCTTGACAGGCGAGCCGTCAAATTCCCACCGAGCAATGTGGAGATGGAGGCACCGAATCTCGCGCATGCGCAGTGACGTCAGCTTTAGCAGACGCTATTAAACTTCAGTCACGTGCGAGAATTAATAAGTCGATAATCGATTATGGACCTATCGATTATCGACCTATCGATTTTCAAAACCGGCCTTCACGTCGGTAGATCAAGAAGATGTTGAAACAATGTTTTCGGAGAGATGTTAAAAATATTTTCTCAACGTCATCGATCCTCTATTCGCGCGACCGTAATTTTTCCGCGTTTTACCTCTAACAATCGAGATATATCTCGCTCGTAACGTCTATCTTTTTAGCGCGGCAAACGATCTCGGTGGTAGCCGCCATCTTGTAGCTGTCAAAAGTAAGTGATTCTCGCCTAATGATGCTGGACGAGGAGTCGCGTTTTTCTTCTGCGAATCGTCGCGTTTCCCTCTCGCGAACATCGTCGTTTCGCGTGATGTCACGCACTGCGTCTGTCAATTTGTAAGTCAACTTCGACGAAATAATTACGAATCTGCGACGAATCTTCTCCCCCATTGCAAAATAATGCCTGACAATAGTCGGGTTGGACGAGCCGTTTAGGCCGCGGATGTTACCCGAGACGTGAAATGCTCTCGCTGACGGCAGACGCGCGCTTCTGCTGAGAAGAGGATACATTCACCGAAGGAGAGGAACGAGATCGCGCTGGCGGAGACTCGCGGAAACCGAGATACGGAGACGACGGACGACGTCCCGGAGTCGAATGTCGTCGGGGAGCGGTTGTGCGACACGACGAAGATGGACGAGCGCGAGATTCTTTCTCTACCGTCCTTTTCCTCTTCCAACCCGGTGAAGGTGAATAAGGAACGTCCGCGAAAAAAGCTCTGGCGTAACGCGGTCCAGGTAGTGGCTAGTGACGACTCGAGCGAAGACTCCGACGGCCATGAATGTGCTTTCTTTCCGGCTAAGCGACACTGTAGCACGCAGTTGTCCGAAGTCAACGAGACACATAATTCGGACAAGGTAATTATCGCAGGAATATCTATTCTGAACGTTCCTTTCTTATTACAATATTGCATTTATTAATTAATACTAATTACACGAGCATCATTCCCACCTGTCGATGTATATAACTTTAGTTTTACACATTATCAATACTTTTGAATGAATAATATTAAGTATATTATATCGTATAAGAGATAATTATAAAGAGGTATATGAAAAATAATTATTGTTTTATAGGAACAACATACAACTGCAAACACAGAGACAACAACTAATAATGTAGGGAATATTGAATATGATGATATCATATACCAAATACAGATTGAAGAGAAGCTTAAATTATGGCAAGCTTTTCAAGAGGAAGAAGGATCCATGGACAATAGTGTCAACGAGGTTTTGGCTTACTATAGAATGATGCCTCCACTGATGCACCCTCCTCTTCTGGAAGAGGATTCGGTTGGTTCAAGACTTCATTTATCGTACAGAGGGAATGATATGGAAGACACAGCAGTGACGATGGCGATTCGCAATCACGGCTTAGTCCAATCGGTCGAGCTTGCTGTTGAGCCACATTATTATCGTAAACGCTTAGGTGTAGATTGTTCCTTTTCGTCCGTGTTCAAATGTATGTATGAACTCAAGGACTTTCCTTATGAAACTGTCTACAGCAATGTAGAAACGGGAAGATGCAATGCGCTGGATGCGGATAAAGTATATGAATGTGATCAGCCAGAAGATTTCTTGGAACGTGCTGTAGGGGAAGCGATTAAGAAGAAGGGTCTGAGTGCTTTAAGTGTGGATTACGGTTGAATATGTTGGTTAATATACCCTTCTCTCCCCATTCCTTTGATGTATTTATATAATAACATAGTATATCTAATTGTTGTGCTCTGTAAACCTATCGCGGTTTTATTTTATAGTTAATTTTTATCGTACGAGTTATAAATGTATTTTACAAGCAGTAATCTTTTGAAACATTTTATACTCAAATGTATACATTCCGATGTAACAGATATCAATCATGTGATTTGAGATCTATTTTATTCAAGGATAACTACTATGATTGCTTTTTCGATTATTAATCTGTTTAATAGCCAACTATTAATAGTATTGATACTATATTAATTATATTTTCATATATGTACTATATGTGGAAGTATAATTGTATATAATATATATTATATATACATATATTATAAATCAAAGTATAGCTTTGTAAACAATACATATTTCAGAAGTATAACTGCTATTTTGATTGAAGTAAAAAATTTATTTTAATCAAAGAGACGCACATGTTTCTTCTCTTTACTGAACTTGTATGCTTTTTCCCTAATGCATATTAATTACATATAAGACCTATTTATATTTCTGTTAAATATGATATAGTTGCAAAATGAAAAAGAAAAGATGCAAAGAGAAATTGTATTGTAAAGAATAAGGTTGACACGAGAATTCTTGCTGTTTAAATTGCGCGGGTTTAATTAGTAACTAAAAAAGGCGCATCTTAGATTGGCAGCACGAATCATGTTGATAGTTGGTAGTAAAACAAGTTACTAGCATCAGTAAAAATAATCTCCAAATTTGTCGAACGTTGATGAGTGATGTGTATGTTTCGTTTCGATATCCAATTAATTAATTAATTAACGCTCTCATTAACATTCCATAATTTTACATTATGGCCAATTCATCATTTTCGTCATCCGTATATTCCTTTAACGAGCAATTTACGAAGGAGCAGGAAATAGCACTTTACAGTAGCATAAACATGGTAGTAGTTATGCAAAATTTATGTTTACATATAAATTACGTCTTGCTGAGATATACTTTGCCTATTTTTAAATCTGTTACAGAATCTAGAAGCGATTCAAAAAGCTACGCAAAATATTAATGTACAATTTAAAAAGGTACAAGAAGATATGCATGTCACAAATGCCTTGATAAATGCAATTGAAACAAAAAGTCCAACAGGGAATGCGGATTAAGGCTTCCCAAGGAAATTCCATTTATGAAAACCCAAACAATGCAAAAGTATATTTCAGCAATACTAAAGAAATTGTACAATAAATTCACAATTTTCCAAACTGTAGATTTGAGAATGAATAGTATTATATGGAGATTAACTAAATAAGAAAGATTCTCTAGTAATAAGAAATTTTATTCTGTTAATGCATTGTGAGAACGAATCTATAATAGAAATCTATAGTATCAGAGAAAATGCTTATTTATTAAGATTAAAATTGCATTTTTGTAAAAAAACCCAAGATAAAATAATAGAAATATTTGAAAAGTTTATATTTCTGTAAAAGCATCTAATGTCAAAAATCTGCAAAATTATGTAAATTTATATATGATACAAATTATATCAAATAAAAAATATTAATTTTCTGAATTATTTGTTTATTTTAATATAAGAATGGAATGAGGCAAAAAATGATAGATAAGGTAATTAGATAACTTTAACATTAATCATTATTCTCAAATGTAAATAATTTATAACGTTTATGACAAATTTTTTTATATATTTTATAAATCGTATAATCTCTAAATTGTTTTTCTTTCTCTATATACACACACATCACAGTTTGAACAAATGTCTTGGGAATATTAAATATGACCTTGTATCTTCATTACATTCTATTCGAGTGATGTAAACTACCATGCCAGATGTTTCACATTTATAAAAATCATGATGTAATAAGAAAAACACTTTAATGTCTAAATTAATGTCATTGTGTTTTTTTAATGTCTTAATTAATGTCATTATGTGTTTTTTTAATGTCTTATTATATCATGATAAAAATAAAGAATATTTCCATATGTAACATGTGGTCCGAAAAATGTTTTAGAAAAACACTTCGCGTGGGATTTCATCAATATAAAGTGCTTGTTGTCTGTTAAAAGTTCATTGTGTACGATAAAATCCACGAATAAACTATCTCTATATACAATAACGTATCATTTCTTAATTCAATAACGAAAAAATTCGAAATTATTAATTAACAATGTTTGTGCGCTGTTTTTTCTTATATTTAATTCTTCCTTCCTGGTTTAGGTAAGAATAAAACGTCTTTTTTATTCTATTTCTTCTATTTCTCAATATAACTTAAATTTAAAATAAAAATTTAAACAGCTTAATCTTTCTTCGAATAATCTTATTAGAGATTGCTTTGAAAATTAAAGATTAGTTTCGTATAATCGTAAATCGTTTTTTAACCAACTGTAAAAAATGAACACTAAGAATATAAAGGATTCTTCATATATTCAAGCAAAATTAAAAAATAATTATATATATATATACAATAAAATTAAAAAAGATATTAATACTTTCTCTGGATATGCACAGTCTGTTATAAGCATCGCATGTTATATCACGCTATACTTATTACATAATACAGATTTACGTTTTCAAGATAAGATGATATGTTTTTGATACAATATATAATTTTATGACGTTCTGCGGACGTCTGGATGATACACAATCCTTCATAACAACACGTACCTTTGACTTTACTGATAAGGATATATTAAGCATTCTTAGCGAGCAGTGCTCACATTTTAGCTCATCTTCGTGATCAAACATATCTGACTAGAAAATCGAATCTTGCATTTACAAATCGAAGTGAATAAACATTGTCAATAAACGTACGTCGAGATTTTATCCCGTTTTAAAAAGAGAAACCAAACAATTCACGATTAATTTCAATACTCGTATTGTGTTTTATAAAAATATGCTATGTTAAACTTGTCTTTACTCAGGGCTATCATGACAATGCAAAGATCCATCACAATGGTAAAATGGGGTTCCGTGAATGGTCAGGAGATTGAGAAGTACACCTTGACAAACTCCAATAATCAAGAAGTCGATGTTGTGACGTATGGTGCGACAATAACTGCCATCAGAACTCCGGATAAAGAGGGTAACATAGCAGATGTCGTGCTCGGTCACGACAACGTTGAAGGTAATCCAATAATGAAATAATATTCAATGAAATATTTGACATATCAATCTAATCGATCTCATTATAAGGTTTGTTCTTTGAAAAAAGCTTAAGAATCAAAGAAATGAGTTTAAAACTCGAAAGACAAGTGATAAGTTTGATTAAACATTGTAACATTTTTCAGGATATCAGTCGTCGAGTAATCCGTACTTCGGTGCCACCATCGGACGTGTTGCAAATCGCATTGGCAAGGCAACTTTTGTCATAGATGGTCAGACTTATCATGTATCGAAGAATATAGGTGAGAACAGCCTTCATGGTGGTACTCATGGTTGGAGCATGAAGGTCTGGAATGCCTCGATCAATCATGATCGTGTAATTATGACCTTGATCAGCCCGGATGATGACGAGGGTTATCCAGGAAGAGTAATAGCACAAGTTACCTTCCAGCTAACAGATGATGGAGAGCTGCACATACATATGACAGCTAAGTCATCTGACAAAGCAACGCCGATCAATTTGACAAATCATAGCTACTTCAATCTCGCTGGACATGTGTGTAGTATATTACTTATCTTCCCTTTGATGCAAGAAATAGTTTCCATCTTCAAGAAAACTCTATTGCATTGTTTCTCTCTATTCAAAGACTGGAACAAGATAGAAAAAGCGCCAATAAATGCTGCAACTTTTGAAATAGTTTTATGTGAAGAACTCTTATTCATCAGAAAAATATTGAGATTAGACTGTAATTGTTTCATGTCTCAAATAATAATTGCTTGTTTACATTATTAAACAATGAATCAGAAAGTTATTATATCTAACGTTTCTTTTTTAGACTACAAACGCAACGGAATTATATAACACGTATTCACCTTGAATGCGGATCGCTGGACTGTTACGGACTCGGAAAGCATTCCAACTGGCGAAATTCGATCGGTTGAAAATAGCGTGATGGATTTGAGAGATGCGACCACGCTTGGCAATGTTATTGATAAGGTGCCAGGCGGTGGTTACGATTATAATTTCTGTTTGCCAGAACCGTACGATTACAAGAGAAGTCTCGTCGCTAAAGTACTGCATCCGGTCTCGGGACGCAGCTTAGAGGTGTACTCGAATCAGCCGGGTGTTCAATTTTATACAGCTAATTTTCTGCCGAGAGGAATGAAACGGGTATCCTTGGCAAGACCGGAGCGCGGTATTTCAAACATGGAGCTTTTTGTTTGGAGACGCAAAATTATCCCGACGCCGTAAATCATGTAAGTTTCTTCAAAATTAGTTGTAGATGTTGATAATTGGTCACGAATAATTGCACCAATCTTATCGCATTATTAATCTCATTATATTGTGATATAAACTATGAACAGAAATAAAAAAGATAACAGTATTCGTAATAAAAATACAGAAAATTGAATTTCAATTTATGCTAATTCCATTCATAAATGTAATTTACTAAAATCAACTATGATTGATGATTACATACTATTTTATGATTTTTACAGGCAAACTTTCCAAACAGTATTCTGCGACCATGTGCAACATACAATCACATTGTTATATATAAATTTGGAGTGAAAGTTTGATGCATTTTGATATCTGTAAATTAAAGAAAAATTAAAACAAATATCACATACTAAAAGACCTTGTGTACTCTTTGTTATCCTATTGTTAATTATAAAATAAAATTCTATACCAATTTACTAATGTGTCTCTTTGTGTATAATTTAAGTTAAAACACTTTATTCAAACTTTCTGCAAATATATTATTATTACTAGCTTTTATATAAATAAATAACAAATTGTTATAAAGTATATACCTAACTAGACAACGATGGTGAAAGATTAACTTCTAAAGGATTATGTTTCTTTTGGGTAACCGAGGGATCTATATTTTCTCTTAATAATCTCTCTTGCCGTTGTTGCTTGATTGCTGCTGTTGGTGGTGTATAACGATCAGATACCCATCCTCTATATTGTATCCGACAAATCCAATAATACCCACAAAAGGAAGCGTAAGATATTTACCAAACTGACCAAAAGCTCTCACTACTAAGGGCCACATTTTTTCTAAGTACACGTAAACTGCAATAAAAATAGAATCAGTTTATTTTTCAGGCAAAGATGCAAATAATTTATATATAAAAATATATACACTTGTGGATGCGTGTATAAATATATAATATAAATATCAATTTAAAAATATTACAACATAAAAATATGTAATACGATAAAAATAGCTCGATATTAAATATAAATATAAAAATTAAATATACTTAAGAAAATATCTTGTAGAGGTTATGTGAACTCTCAACAGGCCGGTAACGTAATAATCATTTTTGTTTTAACGCATGCGCAGATTTCTGCTTTATTCTGCGCTGCTGCGCATGCGTGCGACAATTTTTCTCAAGCGTCACAACATATTTCGTTTGTTGTGTTCTAATAAATTTTTATCAATTCACGATGCCTGCGACAAACGAAGAAGAGGATCCATACGCACATTGTGCAAAGGGAGCTTTAAAATTGAGGAGTGATCAAACAGTCAGCAAAAAGTAAGTATTCTTTTTTTCTTGAGTTTGATGTTTATTGATTCGATTGAATGAGGTTAGGTTTATTGTCATTTTTGTTCTTTTTTTTTATTAAAAATAGCATATATTTAAAATTACCTTTATATTTCGCAGGAAAAAGAACAAAGATGGTAAAAGAAAAAATTGGTGGAGGTTTCCAAAATCATTGAGGAGAAAAAACCTGAAAAAACAGAGGTGATACGAACAAAAGCAGAGTTGGCTTTTCAGAAAATGCAAGAAAAAATGGTAAGACACATAATATTTATTAATATTTATTGTATTAATAAATAATTTGATTTTGGGAATTCTTAATACTAACATATTGTAAAAATTTGCAGCAAACTGAAAGGATCAAACAGAAAGCCTCCAAGACACATAAACAACGAGTGGAGGAATTTAATCGACATCTGGATAGTTTAACCGAACACTTTGACATACCTAAAGTGAGCTGGACAAAATAAATTTCGACATGTCTCTCAATTATATGTATATATATATCATGAATTAGTTTTAAATTATGCTAAGAATATAACATTATATATAATTATGACATTATTTTAATTCTTAAATACACACATTAAGCAAGTTTTTTTATATATTCCTGGTTTTTGTTCTTAAAAACCTCGCATAAAATTTGTATTAAATTTTTAAAGTTTAAAAAGGCTTATCGAGAAAAAGTATTAATATATATTGTTCAACATTATAATATTTATGTGTATATTTAAAGATTAATTAAATTTTATTATTATATTATGTATATGTATACATACTTATAAATATAAAAAAAATATAAAAATTATACTTATACTAGATATTATTTATAAAATGTATTTCAATGCAATATATATCTATATAATAAAATGCTTTCTGTTTCACACACAATACACATGAAATAAGAGAATTGTTTATTTCATAATAGTGACAATTTTATTTTTTGCATCTTTTTCATCTTAAATCAATGAATAAATAGTATAGATAAAAAATACATTTATATAATTAAAATATATAAAACACATATATATATAACATATATAAAAATGTAGACAATTTTGAAAATATTTATAGATAGTTGTAATTTTTACTTAAATTCCAGAAAATCTAAAACATTCCATTTCATTTCTCTTTCAAATAGTTTCTCTCAAAAACACTGTCAAATAGTAAAAATTACTATCATTAAAAGATCTTTTTATAATAAGAGAATATTATATTTCAATCCCCTTTCTATTAGACAATAAAAATAATCTCATCAAATCCTGCTTGTGATTTTTTGTCCTATTCATAAAATGAATAATGTGCGAATCAGAATGCACTTGTTTTACATTAGAGATTCTTTGTGGACGGATTTCGCGCGGACATTAAGATATCTACATTATATATTACCTATTTATATAAGAATAAGGCAGTAAGTGTTAAAGGCACATATACAACCATAGTTACAAAATGGACGGAATATATATATATATATAATGCCAGTGCAAAATAGATCAATTGTTTAAACTTAATATTTATCTTAAATATTTATCGAGCTACGAGAATTTTATGAGAATTAATGAACGCGTTTGAACCTCAAAGAAAATTAGTTTTACGTACTATAAAATGCTATATCGATCTCTACTCTCTACTATAAAATGCTATTACTAATGGTATGATAAATAAGAATAAGAAACAACTATTTTTATTACCGCCACTTCCGAAATGGAAGACGTTGACAAAGTTTTCCGTTTGTACCCAAGGATTACTCCCATCGTCGAAATACATCGGACATCGATCACGTTCTCGCTCGTATTCCTATTAATTAATAATATGTTGGCAAGTCTTATTTCGAATTGTGTTGTTTGTTGCTTTATTATTTTGAGGATGTTTCTTCCTTCTTACCTGCAATTCCAATGCAACTGCGGCACCTTCTGTGTAATTTTGACTCGACACATCTTGTTTGAGATCACAGAATGGACCAATAGCCTGAGACAAGAGAACTCTATTCAAATCAGCCCTTTGATACACCCAACAACGATATTTGCTAAAGGGATCCAGTTCGTCATAAGTTATTAGATATGATTTTAAATTCTCCTTCCAAAATCCAATACATTTCATCACATAATCCGGATCACCTGTAAAAATGTGATATTATAAATATGTAAATAGAATTATATGTATTAGCTGTATATCAAATAATTATGGAACTTACTGTAAATGTCAACTGGTTTTCCCAAGTGATCTACAGATAAACAATAAGTCTCATCAATAGCAATTTCCTTTTGATCGGTACTGCAAACTGAGAAGTCGGAAATATTTTGTTTGCAATAAATATTTGGACGTGGAGATTTAGTGACGCCGCCTAAAATCCTTGTCTCAAAGAGAACATCACCCTTTTGATGGAACATATATTTGCCTGCTATCGGGCAGCGCACCGGAACAGGATTTTTCGCTAATAAAATAAAGAAATAATGTAATACAATCTACTATTAAAAAAGCAAGGAAAAACCCTTGCAATTTATATAATTACCTAAAAACAGATCATGTTTCCAAGCTTCTTTATTGGGAAATTGAACCCAAGAACACACTGTATGAAAATTATCTTTTATCACAGCCACTCCACGTCGATATCTGATAACATTATGATGTCGTCGTACAAAATCAAAACAAACATAGTCTTTTTGGCTGAAAATACATTCAATATTTATATAAATGTATATTTTTACAAAACATGTGTAAGAATATTTTTACTTGTTGATTTTACACAAATATATAAATATATTTTTCTTATGAAATATTTAATTAAAAAGATTTATATATGTAATATATATAATAAATATTACCATCCATCGACAGTCAATCTCGCCATCATTACTCTCGAGTCCCTTTGTTCACGGCAGACGTAAATCGTTCGACGATAACGTCCTTGGTCTGGATACCAAGTCTCAATAATATGCGTTTCGTTGATGAAGATATCTGCATCGATATTAGCAGTGTTGATCCAATTCCCAGACATATCCTCGGGCAAACGACAACCCGGTTCAACTACCTCGGCCTTAACCGGAGTAATTCGCAAACGTTCGGGACTTTTCTCGACAGTTTTAAGAGTATTACACTCCGCGGTAATCGATACACCGATATACAAATCGTCGTCTCGATTCTTTAAAAAGCATCTATATTTCTCGTCCTTTCGAGATTCTTTTGTATTCGCTACTGCAAAGAAGTGATTCTTGTCCACAAACCAATCACCTAAACAACTATATTCTACCACTGAAACATTTTAAATATCAATATATTTCTTGCTATATAAAAATCTCAAAATATATATATTTTGTGAATATATATTGTAAATTATAGAAAAGAAAAACTCTATTACATCCATCAAAAGTTCCTTTCATTCCAGGGCAACTCTTGTAAGTAATATTGAATTTTGATTAGTTATAAGAAATTGAGTTCCTGCAGTCTGACAAGACTTTATTTGCGCATCTGGATGATTACACTCTCCTGTAAATCTAAATCGATTCTAAAATAAGAAATATAAAGCATGTACATTACAAAGTTATATATGTACAACTGTTACACATATACACATTAAAACTACATATTACTAATAAAACATTATTGATATTAATTAATAAAACAGTATAGAATATTCATTATCTTACTTGATAAGCAAACTGCCAAACTCCTTCCAGAGAAGATCTACAGTTTACAGGCACATAATTTTCAGAGAATAATGTTATTAACTGCTGATTTGCATTTAAACCTCTGCAAACATTATCCACAGTGGGTTCAACGCCATTGGGTAAGTTTACACAGCTTACTGTAAAAGTACAAATAAATACATTTGTAGATTATATATTTTACATATTATTTTTGCATATAATAATTTTCATTAGCATAGAGTGACTTGCCTTCAAGTTTTTCCAGGACGTTTACAGTTCTAACAATAAGTTTCACGCAATGATAACAGCTGTCGTACATGACTGGAGTATTAGAATCACGAAATACAAACGTATAATTAACAAGAAATTCGTCTACCATATTTACACATATGCCCCTCCCAGTCATACTGTTAGCATTTATTTCTGTTAAGGTATTCCTGCCATTTTCCCATGAAAACCAAGATCCTCTGATAACCAATGGAATGTGACAACCTCCTGCATTCTGAGCTCTGACAGCAACTGTCAAATGTCATTTCATGTCTTAATCATACAATATTTCAAAATTTATATAAAGTAATGTAATAAATGTATCTTCTATACAATATACACATATATCTTATAAATAAAATAATTTAAGTAAAATATTTGTATAAATTCTCATAGTGTGCCTATGTTATAATTATTCAAATTAACTTTGATTTACCCTAAATCTGATTTAAAAATATACAATTTGAATATAAAAGAACAGAATATAAATGTATAATATTATAAAATAAAGGAAAATTAAATTTTTAGAGCTTAATAAACAAAAATATCAAAAGTACATTAATTCTTGTGCTGAACCTATAAACGTATATTTTCTATTTCAAGGAAATTGGATAAACTTACCATGCCAGATGAGGCATGTTACGAGCAGGAATATACAAGACCAACGTTTCATTATATTAGATCATTTAAAAAAATAAAAATTACGTAAAAGATGAAAAATTACAATGCAATGTTGATTATGAACTGATTTGAGGAGAACCTAAACACACGCCCAAATTCATTAGATGCGATTTCGATGAAACCGCTCATATGACACATTCCTTAAGACATTATCGCAAAGGATGCGTATTCGCAGATCATTGACCAATGCGATTGTGCTTACGTCACAGGATAATGGCGTCTAGAATCCCTAGAAATAACTAATAATTATTTAATAATAAATAATAGTTATTAATATCAATTAATTATTAATAATTATAATTATAAATAATAATAAATAATAAAAATTATTATTTATAATTAATAATTATTTCAAGAAACTCTAATGGCGTCAAAGACAAATTTTATTAGAAAGTTTAACTAGCCAATAGAAGAAGATGTGCTACGTCAGAGAGAAAAAAGTAACTGGGATTAAAGTCCCCTAGGAAATTTAAATGATGTTTTTGAGAACGCGCCACTTCCGAAGAGCCGACGTTGACGTGTCTCGTGGCAGAATTTCTTCTGTCACAAAGTGCTGTACAATGAGGGTGATAAATAGGTTAATTTGTCTGCTTTTCGTGTTTGCCGGTGCAAACGCCGGTGGTCCGACTCTCGTTTTACTGGATAACCTTGCAATTAAAGAGACACACTCGATATTTTTCAAGACATTACAGGGTATTCATTATCACTTTTATCTTTCTAATTAGTCACAAATATTCGGCCGCCAGCGGCTTCCCTCAGTAGCGATTTTTACAATTTTGCAAGCATTATTGTACTTTCAAAATACCAGCTGCGTCTCTCTAAACATTGAATTAATAATTAAAAACGAATCTTTTGTGTATTTCAAGTTTTTGTTTGAATTTAGTAATCATGTCAGAACGTACTGCTGATATTGATTATCAAGAGATTTACATTGTATAACATAAAATTTGAGTACATTATGTAACATCTTTAATTAATTAATTAAATTATAATTTTATTTAAAAACTAACAAGCCAGTATACTAATCACAATATAAATATATTTATATATTTTATCAATTATTGATTCAATACATGTTGGTAAATTTTGTTCTTATTCTCACTCTTGTTAGAAGATTGAATATGAATATAATTGATAGACTACTAAATAATTAAATATTTAATATTTTTTTATTACTAAATATTTTTGAATTATTATGTTACAGATAGTGGCTATGTATTAACTTTCAAATCAGCTGATGATGCAAATCTGCAGCTCTCCAAGTATGGTGAATATTTATATGAACATCTAATAATATTTGCACCCACAGTTGAAGAATTTGGTGGTGCTTTGAGTGTGGAAGCAATAACAGAATTCATCGATGGTGGTGGAAATGTTTTGATTGCTGGCTCCTCACAATCTGGTGATGCTTTGCATGAACTAGCCTCAGAATGTGGCTTGGAAATAGATGAGGAAGGTTCCACTGTGATCGATCATATGAATTACGATGTTTCTGATAATGGTCAGCATACCACTATAGTAGCAGATCCAGCTAATTTGATAGATGCTTCAGTCATTGTTGGAAGCAAAGACATCCCTCCATTGCTCTATCAGGGAACTGGGCTAATTGCTGATTCGGATAATCCTTTAATTTTACGTCTATTATCAGCATCCACTTCAGCATATACCTACAATCCAGACCAAGTGATTAAAGAGTATCCACACGGTGTTGGTAAAAATACTTTGTTGATAGCAGCTTTACAGGCAAGGAATAATGCCAGAGTTTTATTCTCGGGTTCGATATTTTTCTTCAGCGATGAGGCATTCACCAGCCCTATTCAAAAGGGACAAGGTAAAAAAAATAATAATAATATATAGAATAGAGATTATCAGTTACAATTTTTTCTATAATTATCAAAAGTAATTATTTAATATTTTGAAATTATCGAAAACAAAGAGTTTTATTTATTTATCCATTAAAATCTTCAATTCAGTATAACTTTGATATCTCTATTAAATTAAATATTTTTAAATCAATATCAATTCCTTGCAGGTGGTCAGAGATACGAGAAATCTGGAAATCAGATAGTAGCCAAGGCCATGGCGCAGTGGGTATTTAAAGAGAACGGCGTCATACGCGTGTCGGCTGTTCACCATCATCGAGTTGGCGAGTCGCAGCCTCCAGCTGCATACACAATCATGGACGACGTGGTGTATTCGATCAATGTCGAACGACTGTCAGGAGGCAAGTGGGTGCCCTATGAGACGAATGATCTGCAGCTGGAATTTGTGCGAATTGATCCATTCGTCCGTATGACCATGAAACCTGTAGGAAACGGACGTTATGAAGGCAGGTTCAAGATTCCCGATGTATACGGGGTGTACCAGTTCAAAGTGGACTACAAGCGCATCGGTTTGACCCATCTCTACAGCACTACCCAAGTGTCTGTGCGTCCGCTGCAACACACGCAGTACGAACGCTTTATACCTAGTGCGTTCCCATATTACATAAGCGCGTTCTCGATGATGGGTGGCGTGTTTCTGTTCTCTCTTGTGTTTCTCCACTACAAAGACGATATGAAATCCAAGTCTGAGTGATTTATTAATGTTTTGATGTTCGTAAATATTGTTTGTCTCTTTTTGTCTTTTGATATTTGTTTTCAAAGACCATAGTATCACTTCTTTTTTTTTAACGTGACACTAGAATAAATTAAAGATAAAAGTTAAATTTTTAAAGTCGATATATTACTCTTTACACTTTGGAGTAAACTGTTATACTAATTTCAATATAGACATTCTCTTTCAATGCAGTACTGAATGAATAGTATATACTGTGTTGCAAAAATTGTATTTCTACATGTTAAGATTTTACACAGTGCTTCTATAAAAAAAATAGCAATTAAAAAAAACTTGCACACAGTTTACGTTTATCTCGATATTTCTTTAAAGATTAGAGCACTGTTTTTCTATGTATATAAAATACTTTATAATAGATCTTTTGTATGTAATATTAAGAATTTGTAATAACTGCTGTGGAGCAAATAAACATTATTTGATCAATTAATTATTATATTATGTACAATAGAAATCAGTTTATGATTAAATTATTTAATATTAAATATTAACAATTTTTTCATTATGTAATTTATATTTTTTTCATTTGTTAGTATGTATTGAAAATTCTTCTAATATAAACATGAACAATCAATTGTACTAGGGATATATTTAGGGATTTTCGAAACTGAAGGTTTCCGCTATGAAAACCCTACCATTCTCGTGTTCGACCAATCAAACGAGTCTCAAAAATGGCGGGCTTTTTGCGCATGCGCCATGTGGCAGCAGCGAAGGGGAAGTGCGATTTTCGTGAACTTAATAATGCGAAAAAGGCGATTTAAATAAATAAATGTAATAATTTTTATATTAGTATTGATATTATTTATAATTAATCTTCTGGATAATGTAGAAACGATTAAACAGAGAGGCTGAACAATATTTCACTTTTTAATATTTTCGTTCTTCGTATTTGGCGCGCATGCGCAAAAAAATCGACACTCCCGGCTAGCAACACCGCGACCAATCCGGACAAAGCCACCCAAAGATTTAAATTTCAACGTACAGTTGCAATAATTCCGTCGTGAACTCGTGGACTAACTGCCTGGTTGTTCGTTGGCAGGTTTCATGTGCTTGATTTTTTTATCAGTCACATTTATAATACATAAATTTGTTAGATATACGAAATTCTGATTAGGAAGAGAGAAATTGGAGGAAGACAGCACGAAATTCGTGCTTGGACGAGTAACTTTGCACGAGAAACAAATGTACAGTTAAATGTAAGTAGTGTACATTGTGCATTCTGATCTTTCTTAATTTTGTAATGGAAATATTTACGTCTTTGTTAAAATAGTTAATTATATAATAATATAGAAATAGCATTGCTGCATTATTTGCATAGAGAGATTAATAAATAATCTCTATTATTCTTAAAATATTAATACTATTTTTAAATGTTATTATTTATACAAGATAAAAGATATGGTACATTGTTACATAAACTTTTCATGAAAATTATCATCTTTATTTTAAATACGTTTTTATTGTGAGTCCTTCAGATGACATACAATATTAACGATGAGCTGACACAATTCTTGTTGACAAATAAAGGGATGGTAGTATAAGTTAAAAGTCTAAACATTGTTATGTTAATGTATCTCAAATTGATAAAGATTTATAAATAATAAATCTAGAAATAAATGTATAATATTTAAATAAATAAATCCTTGTACTTTGTTACATAGTTATATCAACAATGCGATTCATATTTGATTATCAAATTATTATTTTTTATCTCAATTAATAGTTTAAGAATGAGATTAAGATACAAAAGTAAATATAATTTCCTGAAAAGATTTTTCTTTTTAATTCTATATAATTCTTCGCAAATATTTCACATAAAGTTATATTTAGAAAAATAATGAGTTTTTAAATTTTTATGTTTCAGATTGTTGTTTGGCAGCATTGTTATTTGCATAGAATATTTCATATATTTTGATATACTGTGGTGATCCTTTATGACTTATATTTAAACTATCGACTAAGTATTTTATATATCAGATTGCCACAATGGGAGATCTTTGTAATATACGTGCACCACAATGGATAGACTTGACTCAAAACTACAGTCCTGTACAGACACATGATTTCTTTGAGAGAGAACATACAATGCATGAGTGTACAGAGGAACCTAACTCTACTACTGGAAATGCAGATGTTCAACCTACATCTCAGGTGGAGGTCTCGTGTATTAATGAAAAAGCGCAAGCGGATTTGGATATAATAAAAAATACTCCTGTCAAGGTAATTTCTCCAAAATATGGTAATAATAAGGAGACAGTAGTAGCAGAGGCAACTTACGATCAGGTGTTAAATGATGCAATGAGAAAATTGGAACTCTATACAAAGCAGCCTAAAACTCGAGATGTATTAAATAAAACCACCCAAGAGCCAAAAATTTTCAAGACTCCAAACTTCCAACCTAAACTTATTAAATCGTCCAGATCCATTGGATGTATATTGAACAAAAACAATCAATTTGAACAAGATTCCATAGGAGGATCTGCAAAAATTAATAAAACCTCAAGCAATTGTACGTCAACGAATACGAAGAAAAAATTGGTTAAGCAATCCCTGTTTAAGCAAGATAAAGATTGTGCAAAGAACGATATTTTTAAGAAACCAAACCATCCAGTAGATTATCCTAAAGCTAAAGAAGATAAACAATGCAACAAAGAAGACAATAAAGAAAGTAAAGAAGATAAACAATGCAACGAAGAATACAATGAAGAAAGTAAAGAAGATAATAATGAAGAACATAACGAGAAAGATGATAAGTCGCAAGATGAACAAGAATCAACCAACGAGAAAAACAATAAAGCAAGAGACAATCAAGATGATGTGGATGCAAAAGATAATCATACGCAGTCTAAGCACGTCGCAGTTCTCACCTGGCAAAATCATAGACGAAGTGTGCACAGACGTAGAACTTCGATCAACAAACCTTACGTAGGATTAGCGGAAGCGGTGTCACGTTTCCAAAACGATACACCCAAACGTTTCCGCACCAGAAGCAACAAGAACAATACTATGAGCCCATCATTTTATGTGTCCAAATTGCAAAACCGTTTAAAACCGACAATACCAGTCTCACCAGCACTCATATCGAAGACCAGGACGCGTCCCGTCACCGTACTGAATCAAGAAGAACGCGAATTGCAAGAAATCGAGGAAATGAGGAAGTTTCGGATAAAAGCCAATCCAATACCGTCTAACGTCTTGCGGGGTCCACGCGCGGTCAACGTTGCGAGGAAGCAGACTGTTGCAAATACCGCTACACAGTCTGAAGAAAAGACCAAAAGCTTGTATGAGTCCAAGAGTCCGCATCGCGATAAGGCATCCAGCCTGAAGAACACGGTCACCAAAGTGGTGGTGACCGATTCCGAGGGTATAATCGTGGAACATGAAGAAATTGCGTTTTTTGGTGTCCCCAAGAGTACTGGTGCCACAAAGAGCGTTACGCGTGTCGTGCCATTTAGCTTTGAGACACGCAACAAGGATATGCAGCTGAAGAAGGAACAGCGGTTGAAGGACTTGCAGGAGGCTAGTAAAATCAAGGCGGAGTTTCATGCTAGGCCGGTGCCGAATTTTTCGAAGCCGTCGACGTCGACTTCTATGAAGCCGCCAACGCCGACTTCCACGAAGCCGCCGACGCCGCTGGTCAAGCAGCAACAGAACGCGAAGAGGCAGCTCCTGCCACGTCCGTTCAGCTTTGAGGAACGAAATAAAAAATTGTCGCAGAGGAAGGATCAGTTGGTGAAGCAGGTACTCGAAGAGGACAAGCGGTCACGCGTATTTCGCGCGAATCCGGCACCAGTTTTTAAACCCGTGATGGTACGCGGTAGATCCAAGGATAATCTTTCTTTGAAAAACAAGAGCGTGAAGACAGGAAGCGAACATGGTGCGGAATACAAGTGCGAGGATCAAGAGAATAAAGAACCGAATGAAACCGACTCTTGCAAGGCAGAGGGCGAGAATACGCAGAGAACGGCAAGTTCTAACGTTGACAAGCAAAAGGTACCGTTAAAAGCTCTTCCAGTGGAATTGAACACTGATAGACGAGCAAAACAACGCCGCAATTTTGATGAACAGCTGAAGCGTAAGGAAGAAGAGGAAGAAATGAAGCGTCAGAAAGAAGATAAAAAGCGGCTGGAGCAAGATAAACATTTGAAGGCGGAGCTGCGCAAACAGGCTGAGATTAAGGCTAAACCGATGCCAAAATATAAACCACCTGTTATCGCTAGAGCGACGAAACCGCTGACCAATCCGCAAAGTCCCGCGTTTGCGAGTAAACTTAAATCTAAACTAGATAAAAAGGCATGAAAGTATGATATAAGAATAACGTTTTTTTCTTTTTTCATTTCATATTTTACATCATATTTTACTCATTGTGTATATTTATAGAGGATAAAGGGATACAATGTAAGTGTAATATTGTAGAGTATAAATAAAATTGTAGTTTAAATTTTTATTATTTTATAATCATATATCATTTTTTTTATATAATCTTAAATAATTTTCACCTGCAATAATTTGTGGATTTTTATATTTTAAATAGAAAAATAATACTACGCTCACACACTTATTGTGTTCGCTGGATGTTATTTTATTTTATTTCAATTCCAACTGATCTGAGCTCTATAAACTTGTATAATATAGCTTTTAAAAAATGATCAACAGTTCTCTTAACAATTTCTCATCACTGTACATTACAATATTAGCTTGTACATATATACATATAATGTATGCATAAGTGTATATGTGTACTCACATATGTACAAAAAGCTTCATTAACAAATGTTTGGTATTTGAATATATTTCCATATCTGATATATATATATATATATATATCAGATCATATATATATATATATTCCATTGCATTCATTCATACTATACAGATTTATATCATATCAAAGATAGAACAAAAATTTTTTTATTTCAGAATCATTAATTCATATATAAGCCTTTCAGAAGACAAACTAATCAACTACTTTTTATAAATTTTTTATTTTAATATTCCAGAATATGTAACTAATATTCTAATATTAAAATTAAAAAGTTTATAAAATATAGAGTTGATCACAATCTTACGAGAATATATCTGCAGTTGTTCTTTTGCATTAATGATTTCAGCATTAAAAAGATAAAATTTTATTCTTTCTATCAATAAAATATAAATTTTTGTTTTAGTATCAAGAAAGAGTTGAAGCATGATTTGTTTTTGTCAACTATGTGATCAATATGCTTGATTTAAAATTTATGCACATCTGACATAGAGCAAGTTACAAACAAGCTCCACTTGCACATATCATTTAAAAGTTAATATTTTGAATCTGCAATAATATAAATTCTTTCATATTGTATCATTTAACCTTCTATAATCAAAGTTATGTAAAGAGAAAAATGGAAATGTAGGCGGGCTTGAAAATTTCACTAAACATAAAATATGAACTGTTAATTATAAAAATGCAATCGAATAATTATCGTTAAACACTTGTTCCATGTACAATAGTCATGTTTTAATTGAGGGTACTTTAATTATGGCTATTTTTAAATAATAGTAAATTAGCATAATCGCGGCTTGGACGATGTGTGATTTCGATTTATAAATATATTATTTTCAATAACTCAACAATGCACATGTACTTACATCACCAGCAAAATTAAAATTTACACGCGTCACGTTGCTAGAATCTTATCATATAAATCAACATTCCGATTTATAAGAAATAAATTGCGCTCTACATAGATTGGTTAAATCGCTGAGATTGCTTAATGCGATCGCTAAGGAATTTCTATCACGTTCGACCACTCATTTCAATACGAAACGACAGTAACAATGTACAGCATACGACGATTCCACTTTGATCGTAGTGAATCCTTTTTCGAGCAATTCATACGTTCATGTTGCTTTCCGTTCTGCCTTATCACACACTATACCAACTGTTCCGAACTAGTAGCACTAAGGTCGAGCAAACGCCACGCGGCCTTGGAGTTGAGTTCCGTCCGATCACGACACATTACCCAGACATAATTGACGCGCATCACTTTCTGCGGGTCTCCCTCGATCACCTCGTTCTTCGAGTTTCTCACACACATGATTTGTTGAGATTGAAAACTAATGATTAAAACCGGTCCCTGGTCCATCATCTTGCCCATCATTAGATCCACATTGTCGATATCTGCAATTGATTGATATATTCCTCTTTTACTGCTCTCATATAATTGTACATACAATTTAAATAACGAATTGCATACCTAGAATTTTACTATCCGAGTAATGTCCTAGCTTCTTCACTTCCTTATGCGGTTGTGCAATTATGTTGTAAGGGCCTTCGTGACACCAGTCCTTCAGAATCTCGAGATCGCCTTTAATCATCGCTTCGAGAATATTCGGAATGAAATCGGTCTCGCAATCCTTTAGGAACTGTATTTTACTAAAACTGGGATCCAGTTTACAGATCTCTGTCAGAGTCTCCGATAACTCGGTCTTTTGGAACAACCCTCCCACAATGTCCGAAACCTTATCCGTAAGCAATTTGGAAGCGCGTAACACAGCATTATCCGACTCGTCGTATTTCATTTTCCAGTCCATTACTTTATTCACGTATGGATTATTATCCTTCAAAAGAACAAATAGAATCAAAGATAGGTATTTTTTAAATTAAAACTTACTTAAATTAAGTACATATTATCTATTTGTACAAAACTCATTACAAGATACTGTGCAATAAATACCTTAAATTTTTGCCAGGCATGGGAAAACATAAAGTCCTTGTGTATCTCTACACCAGTTGATTCTTTATCAGGCATAATTTCTCTAGGTTCTATCGAAACTTCTTTCCTCTTTCGTAGCTTTTTAGGTGGAACGTAAACTTTGCCTGTATCAAAGAATTGTGTAATTTAATTCCGTTTTCTACTCTCTGTCTATTCAGCCAAATCTATCTACCTAGAATTCCATGTTGGTCAAGTTCATTTCGTACGGCTTCCGCGGTGTCCGATATCGTTTGAAATGCCCCTGTCTTACCAAGTGCTTGACTCTTTTCAGAAATTGTTTCTGCTGCACCTTTGGCAGATTTTGTGATCTCTTCGCCCAACTGGCCCGCACGTTTGCCCAATTCAGTCTTACTTGCTTCTTCGATAACTTCTTGCATCTATTAAGTTTGTATAATTGTATAACATGCAATGCACTATTGTGTATAAATTTATTGCTTATATATACCTTCTCTTTAATCGTATCTAGCTTTTCCTTAATAACTTCCGAACCTTTGTTAGCTTCAGATTCGACAGCATGGAATTTTTGTCGCGCTGTTCGCAAAGCATCCGATTGTTCAAATTTCTGAGTCTCCTCTCTGAATTTTTGTACAGATTCCTTCATTTTTTTGTTCTTCTGCATTTCTTGTTTGATATTCTCGATGAACTGAGACCAGAAGCTTGGTCGACGTGGATTCGAGTACAGTCGAATCTGCAAAAATAATTTTTACTTACTATCAGCGTCACTCACTCTTAAAGCAAAGAACTTACGAGCTGCATTTGTACGTTGAGCATTTCCGCCGATGTCGGTTGAAGCGTACACAAGGACAAACGTTCCCTCGAGCCATTTCTCAGGTTTCTCGTCGATCTCGTGGCCCCCCTTAAGCATGCTCTACAAGATGCAATATTCTGAAACTATTGCAACATTAGTTACAATTTTTATTTTCAACACTGATCGCTGTTTGTGCAATTTTATTGAATTATAGTTTTTTTTTTTACTTTATATTATCGCTTAAATATTACAATCGCGTTATAAATTACATAATAAATTACTGAATTAGAAAATAACGATGTCATTCAAGTCATTACTATTTATTTTTCATACATTTTACAAAATCAAGACAGGTGAATGAAGTTGTTATATTTTCCCAATTAAAGTAAATTTTGCGAGATGCCGCAAATCATTTTAATTATCGCACAACACTCACAATCGCGTGAATAAATTTTGCGAATAAAAAATAACCTATACTACGATGAGAAAAGCACCGGCATTTTTCGTAAACAAGGTTATGAATTTACGCGTGACTGTCAAATAACGCAGACACAGCGTTTAATTAACGAGATCACGTCATCAAATGACGCTGGTTTAGTTAGCAATTTAATTTTCATTTACCATTTTCTGAAAGATTTAATCTGTATCCGTATTCGCGAAAAGTCCTCGTGAACTCGAAGCTCGAAGGTTAGAAAATAGAGGTTAGTAGGTATGTATTATCTTTCTCGAAAGCATCGCAACACGGCTTCCGATTCGTTGATTTCTACGTCCAAGATGACAGTTCATTGGTCGCCCGACGAGTTCACCGATTGGTTGTCGACTAGGGAATTTTCAAGTTACTGCAAGAGTAATCAATCGCAGCGCGCCCGAGAAATTTTTCATTTTTGACAATCTATGTATGTTCGATGTCTATGGACGAATGTAACCTTCGCACGAAGAGATTTGCACATCTATTTTATGTATATATTTTAAATATAGAAAAATAAAAGAGAGAGAGAGAGAGAGAAAGAAACAGGATGGAAACCTAATCTAGTATTTTAATTGATTTATTAACGAAACTTTCGTAAAACGCGTAGGTATACAAAATCGAGAGCACGACGTTGTTACCAAAACCTAACCAATACTCGTTCAAAGGTAAAAAAATATCGAACGATTCGATAATTATAGATCACAATACAGGTGTAAAAGAAGGTAGGAAAAACGAAAGAGAAATATGTTTATTTTTTTTTTTATTTTATTTTTAAAAGAGAACGCGAATCTACGATGTGCAGAGGTGCATGAAAGAGAGAGAGAAAGTGAGAAAGAAAGAAAGAGAGGGAAAGGAGGGAGGGATTCGCGACAATAGAGTGGGGAAGAAGAAAAAGAAACGACGAATCGGCGCGACAGTAGTAGTACGATAGTAGGAGAGGAGAGGTTTATATCTCGTATGAATGCGCATATATATGCACATAACACACGTACACATTCATATATTAGAAAAGATACACCGAGTCGCGGCACGCCGAAAATCTCGCCTCTCGTAGCGAAGCATTGTTTTCGCGGTGCTTCCGATCAAGAGTTAACGTGGTGAAAGGGAGAGGACGAAGAGGAAGTGGTGCAACACGCCGAGGAGAGGAGCGAGTCGACGTCTTCGAGCGGAACACCGAGAGCGGCGAGAGTCTGACGCCTCGTCATCGTCCTCGTCGCCGTCGTCGTGTCCTCGTGGTGTGGAGTGTCCGGTGCTTCGTCATCGTCGGTGCCGAGAAGCGTGCTCGCTGAGGAATGGCGTCGGACGAGGAGGTGGACGAGAATTACGCAGGTGAGGGAGAGAGAGAGGCGAAGAAGGAAGGAGAAAGAGAGAGAGACAAAGAGAGAATGGCATCGGACACGATATAGTACAACGCGGACGCGCGCTTTTCGGTATGTCAATGGCGGCCGACGCCGCCACGGGTTTGCATTCTCCGGTTCCGGAGGAGAGAGCGAGATCCTCTCCGCGAGACCGCGAATGCGCGCGAACCTCTGTCTGTCTCTCTCTCGCTCGCGCGCACGCCGATTGTCAAATGTCACTACGCGCGGGATCGGAATTCGCGCCGGCCGATCTCGCTCTTTCCCCGGAGAGATTGATTACTCAATTTATGAATGATTAAAAATGACACCGCGTCTCTTGCAGGATGCTCAAGTTTCTCGCGATTAGATCGATGGGAATCGATATATTTCGACAATCGCATATCTCTCTCTCTTTATTCGATATTTATTTCACGTAAATAATAAACAATAAAATAAACGAAATAAAATAATATATATAATATAATAATATATATATGTTGAAAAAAAATAATCGAACGCGGCCATTGCATTTGCGATAATAATCGAAAGATAACTTCATGCTTCTAAAAACGCTCGTTAAATATCGATGAGTATCTCGAATGACATATCGCGCGTCCGAGGGGGGAAAAGATTGATTTTCTCCTCGGAGTAATTACGGCTTGTACACATCCGAGTCCGAACCATTTCCGATCGACGAAGCATAATTACATTTACGCCATGTTACAACGTATGTACTACCACACAAAAAGAAAAAAAAGAGAAAGAAAAAGTTATGGATCCGCTTACACACGCGTCATATATTGCGCGCGCGTGGTTCTTGATACACGCATATATATGATGCAGCCGGCGTCTAACCTCCATTTCGCGGCTTCGCCAGAAATTCGCCGCGAGTGAACGGGATTTTTTTCGCGATTACTCGGCCTTGGTTAATTAAAAGTCGGACGCAAAATTAAATCTCGACGTGTGCGTGCGAATACGTGTGTGTAAACATATACATAGCGTAGCATTTACGTGTGTGTGTGTGTATGTGTGTGCCTCCTGTATGTCAAATGTATGTATGCCTATATTAAAGAAAATGGCGGACGCACACTCGCACAAAGCATTCGCGAAACGTTGATTAATTCAAAATCGTCTTGGCTTTCGCGTAAGTCTGTCTTTTCGGCTTCGCCGATCGTGGATTTGACGTTCGGCGTGTTCTCTCTTTTCTTTCGTCGTCTTCTCTCAACTTTTCGACGCTCTTTCGGAATTTTGTATCGCCGTGCATATTATTAAAGATACGCCGCCAATATTGCACTATAGAGCGCGATTGATTCGGCCATTATTAAAGATCTTTGCGAGTCAAATTTTTGCTGGGTGATAAATTAGAAGACGCGAGTTTTTCTGTGAATTTGTCTTTAATCGGCTCCAATTTTGTTTCATTGTTCTCTCAAACTATTACGCCAATTAGAATTGTGATATTTATAACTTGTAAGGTTCAAAATTAATATTTGTAAGATATGTAAAAGAGAAGTGGTAAAATGTAATGTGAAAGAACATTGTTATATCTTTGGAAAGAGAAATCTTATTGTTCTTGTTGCAAAAGATAATTTTGCTCATGTATGTAACGAATGTGCATATGTATGTATGCATAATTTTGTTCTTTGACAAAATATTTTATGTATCGCAGCTTCTACCTTTATCTCGTTAATAAAACAGTACTTCATAGTAACTTGCAATATTATAAAAAAAACAATAATTATTAAAAGAAAAAAGATATTTTAAAAATATGAACATTTTTCAGGAGAGGATGACATGGATGAGACTGGAGGGCAGATATCAAATGTTGGGCAGCAAGTAGATGGCTCGTCTGATGCTGAAGAATCTCAAAGACTAGTAAGTTTTATATTTTGTATAACAAGTTAAGTGGGATATGTAATAGTAATATTACTTACAATTTCTAATTATAAATAATATTATAGGAAGAAGATGATGATTATGAACCAGAAGAGCGAAAAAAGAAGAAGGGGAAGAAGCGAAAAGCACGTAGCGAAGATAAGAAAGGAAAGAAAAAGAAGAAAAAGAAAAAATCCGATTCTGGGGATGTAAGGATCTTTTTCTCATATATTTTACATTTGTTGTATAAGATTGCAATTATTATTTAAAAAAATAATTTAGCAAAGATAATGTGTCTACATTTATCCAACATTTTCGAAATTTTAGGAGAGCGACTTTGGTGGTGGAGCAGGTGAAGCAGGTGATGCTGCTGGCGAGGATAGTGACTATGCGGTCAATAAAAAAAGCAGAAAGTCATCATCCAGAAAATCCTCCAGCCATAGTGCACCGACCACTCAGAGCCAAGAACCCACAACAGGCATGCCCACGATCGAAGAAGTGTGCAACACATTTGGCTTAACAGATGTACAAATTGAGTATTCTGATGCTGATTTCCAAAACTTAACGACGTATAAACTGTTTCAACAACACGTCAGGCCACTTTTAGCGAAAGAAAATCCAAAAGTACGTACATTTTTCCATTTCTTATGCCATGTCATCTATGTCACACATTTCGTATTTAGTATGATAATTTATCGATTAGTATAATGTGTTTATTTTGGTAACAATTTCTGTTTTTGAATGATTAGGTTCCAATGTCAAAATTGATGATGTTGGTGGCAGCAAAATGGCGCGATTTCTCTGAATTAAATCCACATACACAGCCAGACGCGGATGTCTCATCTACAAATGTAGACGACGATAATAGAAATGCTAGAGCAAATCGAAGTGGCGCTATGCAGGAAGCAGAGGACGAAGAGGAAGACGATGAGGATAGCGATAGGAAGAAAAAGTCTCGCAGCTCGAGAGCGAAAAAAGGCAAAAAAGCATCCAAAGTACCGACTCTTAAGATTAAGCTTGGAAGACGTAAAAGAGGAAGCTCGGTACGTATTCTGATTAATTGTTCTGATTTTGATATATAAATATTTATAAATTGATTAACTGTGAATTTTTTTTCTTCAGGACGAGGAAGCGGAAGGTAGTGCGGCAGGTTCCGCAGCGGATTCTGATATGGAATTTGAGCAGATGCTAGCTGATGCGGAGGAGACTCCTGGCGGTGAGGGTAACAAAGGCACCGTCGAGGAGAGCGGTGTCGAGCCGCCTGCCGAGCCGCCAGTTCGCAGAAAGGCGAAAACCAAAATCGGCAATAAAACCAAGAAAAAGAAGAAAACGAAAACTACTTCCAAGTTTCCGGATGGAGAGGAAGGTCTCCAGGTAGAGTTACGCAGCATTTGCTTATGCGTTCATTGTTGTTTTAAACGTGCTTGCAAATCATGGACTGCCACATAATAAACATCATTCTCATACTAAAAGCTTTTTGGAGATTTATTTATAATTTGCTAGTCTCGACGCATGTCTAATCATTGTGCTTGTTAATATTATCACAATATTGCGATTCTTTCTATATAATTTCTATTTAAATATGTATATTTCAATCTTATCATAATATAATGCTAACTTATTGATAATTAGAGGCACAACTTGATTGACAGAGAGATAAATTTATAGATATTGCTATAAAAAATACATTTTTCTATTATACATTATATATGCATATATATATATATATATATATATATATATATATATGTATATGTATATATGTATAAGAGAGTTGGCGGTAAAACATGTTATACATATGCAAGTGAATATTTAGAAAACTTCAAGGACGCATACGCTACGTTGTCTGACTCTGCCTAAAATAATTATAAATATTTTACTTTTTTCTCTTTAATAACGTTTAAAACGGAATAATTATACTTTATACAATACTTCATGCTTTTAAATATGCTTAATTATTGTTTTAATTTCATAAATATCTTATCTAAATTATTTCATCTAAAACGAGTAAAAAAAGAACAAGTTAATTATTTTTCTTTTTTTCTTTTTGCTTTCTATAGACTGACCATCAGGATTACTGTGAAGTGTGTCAACAAGGTGGGGAGATTATATTGTGTGACACATGTCCCAGAGCGTATCATTTAGTGTGCCTAGAGCCTGAATTAGAAGAAACACCTGAAGGGAAA